AGAATTCTCATCCATGGAATCCATATGTTACACCAATTCCGGTACAAAAACTTTTTGTTTTAAACCTTTTGTCCGGGTACAGTTACACATATACACCAGGGTGATGATGGTGGCGCTGATGCGCCCATTGTGATTGGACGAAGACGAAAAATAATTCGCAGTCCATGCATGGATATTTCAGATTGTGGGGATGTTTTCCGTCCAAGTGCGCCATGAATTCGAAGAATGATGTCGAGACGCGGGAGCAGCGGCGACAAACCCAATCTCCTCTTTCGTTCTCCACCATACATGTTCGATATTGATGAATTCTGTCTCCCATTGTCGATGATGGTAAAGTGTTGGACGGGATATTGATGTTACGCTACTCGAAACTGGCCCCGAAGATGAGAGATCACACAAAATAGATCCACAAGCACGCCTATAATGATTGCATGAACAATCCACATTATATTTTTCTTAAATAAAATAAACTCTCTCAAATAGTCGCAATCGTTCGCCGGCCGTCCAAAACGTTTCGTTTCGTCGTCAATTTCGAACCGCTCGAATCCAAACCGATTTTACAGCTCGAAAATCTCGCTCGAAACGAGAGGAGGGAGAAAACAGGAGGCTCGACAGAAGCTCGCGCACGCGGTTGGAATTTGTTTGCGCAGGCGGACGCGAGATCGAAAAGTGCCAAACTACAATTTCTGCCGAGATCTTACGATCGGATAATTTGCCCCCGCGAAGTTACATTATATGTATCATTGCGCATACACGCGTACACAGTGGCATAATCACGCGCGCGCGCGAGCCCCTGTCTATCAAGATCACCACGCGGTAGCAGCAACATTCTCAATTATGCGTAGCTCGCGTAGATACGGTAGTTTATAAACTACATAAAAATTGCCAATAACCGGTATACGTGCCAAGATCAACGGAGTTCCCGAGTGTAGTTTCTCGGAATCGAGAAGGGGGCGGCGGAGACATATCTGATGTTACAGTACGGCTGATAATCAATTATACACTGCAAACTCGCACACGCATATTTGATGCGGGCGTATACGATACATAGCCACAAGTCGAATCATTGTCTCTCAAGGTTCATTCTCAGGCGTAGTACCCATACACGTACCTCGTCGAGAAGAGTCATTACACAAATAATTACGTTATTATTTTTACAATCCCGCGAGCTGTGTAGCTCCGAAAGAAATTTGTGACATTACATCGTATGTGCCCTGTTATCGAACTAAGTCAACGTGATTATCGCGCGGGGGTCGGCGGCGGCCGCGGGCCCCCAAGCTCCGTAATCGATTGCTAGCAAAAACGAAACATTGCGCGGCGCAACGAGCTCGATATCGTATAGCTCGTTTATTACATTATAGGTATTTGTCACTAATGCGCGATTGCTGAAAATGGGGCGAAAAAAAAGTTCGCCATCCATCGTTTAGATTTGTTGCCTCGCCTAAAAGCTGGGTACCGCATTCCGGTGGAAAAGCAGGAAATTTTTCGTCTATATCTTCCCTGACACAACGGTGCCACGCGTTCGAGTATTATATATACGCCTCTCTATGTGTGTATAAAAGGCGAGCATCGCAAAAAGTCAACGAACGACATAATCTAAGCTTTACATTTATGTATACAGTACTACTGTGTATCGCATGCGTCGAGGCATATAATAAATGTTGAGCTCTCGTGGTGTCCGTTTCAATCTCGGTCACGCATCAAAACTCGAACTTTCGCTGCTATGGCTCTGCGAGCGCAGCCGTGTACAAGACATTTACCTTCGCTCCCGCATCTCGAGACTGCCTAAGCCGTCCACCCTGAAAATCATCGTTCGTTTAATACGTACTACAGTAGTGCAGTCTATATAGTCTAGAAATTCGCTATATATATAAGCTTTAATGCGAGCGTCGTAGCGCATTGCGCAATCCCGCGCACATATAAATCCATATAATCACGGAAATATCAATTTCACGCACAAAAACGCTTTCAGTTTTTCCTTATATATGTTTTTATAGACCGTCGTTCGCTGACTATAACCGAGCGCACATAGATACGAATCTCGAGGTTTACAGAGCTTAACTTGTGTCTGTGTGTGTGCGCGAGCTAAAGGCATCGATTGTTAAAAATATTTTACAGCTCGTTCTTCGCGTGTGTGATGTATATGGTGGACACTGCCTTGCGGACATATCCTTTATAAACGTACTGTGACGCTGAAGCGAGCTCGAGCCTGTACATATGGCCGATTCTCTGTGAAAATTTTTTATTTCGATGGTGTGCTTTAACATTTTTTTAAACAACTTTTGAGATTGTATACTCATTTTTTCAAACGCTGGAATGAAACATTTTTACGATGAACTCATGGCTATTATTAATATTGAAACTTTTTTCCTAAATTTGCTTCAAGGATCCACCACAAGATGGCGAGTACCTTTATCTATGAATCTGCAAGTGGCAGAGGAAAAGTAATTGTATAAACGAACTGTATGGATCGTGTTTCTTGGCAATTTTCTTCGTAACAAAAAAATACATTTTTCCGCCGTTCGATTTCACGTAGAATCGACCATATACATATGAGCTCGTGGAATGCCCCCACAGCGCACCTATTTTATCCTGAACCGAGTGAGAATTGGATTTGACGATCGATTATAAGTAGTGAAAATACCGCGTGAAATTTTTTTCGCAAAAAATTTGAGAATTAATCCTTTATAGATCTGCGAATTCACTTTTACCCTTTTATCGCGGGCGCGCGCGGAGGCTTATTATCGCAGTCGCCACTGCTGCTGTTGCTGCTCCGATACATTATGACACTGAACTCGAGCTCGACGTATCTGTTTAAGAAAATCTGCGAAAATCATTTTATGCTCGAATAACCGTTTTATTTTTCGAGGTGTAATAACAAGACTGCGGTCCGCGTGTATACAACCTTGAGAGCTATTATATCCGTGCCTATTCATTAAAGTCAAATCATCGGGATCTACAAAGTAGTAACATTTGACGGGGAAATTTCATCGCGAAATAGATAATTATACGTACCTTCGGTATGGGAATTTTTCGTTTGTTGGTTCGTACGACTGCGCGTATACCCATACTCGTTACGAGCAATGATTGATAAAAAAAATTAAGAAAAGATGCTACTTATAGCTGTATCTACAAAAAATGTTACAAGTGCACTTTCGAGCTCGATGCATGTGCGTTTCAATTAGTAACGTTCCTTGTGAGTCATGAGAAATCTTACACACAGAGCAGACCCTTTTGGACTCAAGAGAATGTCACGTGGTATCGGTCAGTAGCCAAGATCGGACCGCTCAATCGAGATGTATAAATCGAAGAATTATATAATGTACAGAGTTGCGATATTTTCTGTAAAAGTAAATTGCCAATTCGTGAAAAACGAATTTGGAGAAAGGGTGTGAGAAAGCCCAACGATATAAGATAAGAGTTGCACATCGAAGCGAAACTTTTGTATACTATGGATGTGTATTTGCATTGGGAACGAGTCGAAGTCGTCGAGTTGTCTCAAAGCTGATAAGATTTACGCAAATATCATTGAAATGACATCGAACTAATAATGTCAGAATCGGGATTACACAATCACTATTACAATTAATCAACGCGACAGAGAGAGAGAGAGAGAGAGAGACAAGCCTTCTTTTTTTCAGGATATACCCAATTTGCAGCGAACGAGGTAGAAAAAATATTTATATAATTTGTAGAATAAAACAATCCAGAAATGACGTGTAAACTACCTGAATCGAAAACTACAACTGCACATGAAGTAGCGTTAGAGGAACATTCTAATCGTGGTACGGAAAATTTTCGCCCCGAACGCACCTCTGTAATATGAAAGTGGTTGTATTTGCACGAGACGTGCACGTGTGCAAAAATCGCCAATATTAATTACATATATACACGAGAGTAGCTTGTGTGTGTGTGTGTGTGTGTGTGTACTGCGTTCGAGCATTTATATTCATAATAAACACCGTATATATATAATACAAAGTATATCAAACGCACCGAAGTTTCAAGAACGAAATATTTTCTCAGGCACCCGCAGCCCGCCACGAACTTCTTGGAAGCCCAACGAATTATTGCATTGATAAATCCTACGAGGCGTAGTGTTTAATCGCATACGAATAATTGCAAATTAGATCGATTTCCTTTGGTTCGGACGGATGTGGTTTTCAACTATATTCATATTGAGTCGAGGTAAAAATCCCTTTCAGGAAAGTTTTGGGATTGAAACACGTGGAAAAGTCAAATTAACTTTTCGATCGAAGAAAAATCCGGCATAGCTGTAAAAATATTTTAACAACTCGTTTAATATTTTTTTCGATAAAATTATACAACCGCGAGAGTAAATTATTGCCGATGGTCTTCGATCCAGTTGCACTTACCCTAGTATGGGATTATGCATCTGGTTCTAATGATACGTATAATGTTTCGTTTTGAAATAAAAATTGAGCCCCGAGTAGAGGCCTGTTGCGATTTTTCAACATTGCACAATACCCGTTAAAATTCCGCGTGTCGCCATTTGTAAAATTAAGCCTCTCGACGAGCGTAATCTGGTTTTTGACTTATTATAAAATGAAATTCGATACCTCGCGTGTACCAATAACAATCGATATAATAGGTGTACATTGGAAAGGTTGACAGAAAATACATTTTGGTAACTCCAATGCATCGCAGAGAACCACACACACGACACATATATCCCTTCTAAAATAATATAGACTCTCGGATAGAAAAGTAGCTTACCCACGGAGAAAGCTCCTCCACCTATAAAGTGCAGCAAGGCCGCTTGTATGCGTGGTGTGGTGTGCAGTGTCTACGTGTTGCAACTGCAGCGTGGGGGTATTTCGCGGCAGCAATAATAATATATATAGGGGCTCTCCTCGCCATCGACATCCCATATAGCTAGTTTTCCGCGCATCTATACACACCGTATATCCACGTATGGTTTCGTTGCTCGTTCGTTTTTGGATCAAAGTTTGAAAAAAAAGTAGCATATATAAACGAGGATGAACGTTATTATGGTGAAGTGCTTGTTGGTGACGGCGTGCCTGCTGGTGGCGGCCGGCAGCGCCGCTTACGCGCCCGTCAAAGGCGCCGCGAGATTCGGCCGAGCTCCGCTGCTGGAGCGATTCGCCTGGCGAATTCTCGACTGGAACTTCCCGTCGGAGCTGAGCAGGCAGCAGGCCATAGCGACGGGCGACTATCAGCCGGAGAACGCCCTTCCCGTGGGCATCGAGATCTGGAGGGACAAGCTGTTCGTCACCGTGCCCAGATGGAAGGACGGTAGGCTATTATATATAGGTTTTTCCTCCACGACTCGATTGTGTAGCTTTGCTTTTGACTCGTTACCTAATTATTTAAGTAAAGTTGGGCGGGGGGAATACCAACATCGAACTTTTTTTATCACTAACAAAACATAAACATTCTTCAAAGAGAGCTCGCGAGATTACGCGCGACAAAAAAAAAAAGTAGAGAGATGAGAAACGACACTTCTTTTTCGGGAATACGTAATCGATGATTATATATTCTCCAAAAAGTATTCCACAAATTATACAATGCAATGATTTATCAAAAAAAAAAAAAGTCCATATCTGTTTTTTAATTAGCTTCGCTCGCGCGCGATGTGTGCGCAAACAATAATTCATTTTTACAAGACCTTATGCACACACGAGAGGAAGTTCGAGCCGAGTATATAAAGTTGAGCTCGCGACAGGTGCTCTTGTGTCTTTAGTATAGCTCAAAAATGCACGGGACGAATAAGTGCCGTTTAATCTTCGCGTTCGTCGCGTCGATCTTGTTGTGTAACGTCGAGGCGCGTCGTCCTCGCGGTGACAGATCGCAGCCGCCACCTCCTCCGCCGCAGGAGCTGATCTTCAAAGACGGCGCGAAACCCGTCGGCGTGCTCCTCGAGAACGGCAACGCCCGATGCGAGGTGAAGAAGGAGAATCGCGTGCCCCTGCAGGTCAGGGCCCAGTGGAAGATCCTCGACTGGGAGTATCCCAGCGAGCAGTTCAAGCAGGACCTGATCAAGTCCGGCGATCTCGCCGCGGAGAACGCGCTGCCCGTCGGCGTCGAGGTCTGGCGCGACAAAGTGTTCGTGACCGTGCCAAGGTGGAAAAAGGGTTAGCAGACAAAAAACATATTTATTTATCTTAATGAAATTCGTGAAATTCGGAAAAAGGCTCGACTGAAATTGTGTGTCGACGATTATACATTTATTTATTTTTTGATAAAATTATAATTTATCGAACTCGCGTAGTGGTGATCGATAATCAACAAAAGACTGACGTTAGTTAAATACTGCGGTCGATTAAAATATGTCAACTTATTCTGAATAATTCGACGTTTAATCATCATTGCTCAGGTGCCAAAGAAAAAAATCGAAATGAAACAGATCGTGTGTCAAACACAAATAAATGTGGCACATTTCGCGCAATCAAAAATTGTTTCTCAGAGCCATAATATTTTTATCCGAAGAAAAATTATCCTGTATCGGTTAATTACTCATTTTTGTACAAAATCGAGAGTTCATTTTATTATTTATTTATTTATTTATTTAATTTTTTTTCTATTACGTCAAAGACGAAGATTCAAAAAAAATTTTAACGACACGCTAAACCATAATTTCAAAGTCTTGCCACAATTACGTTCGAATAGACCACGCAAAGGTATTTTTATTATCTAATTCACAACTGAATCGCGCTCGATTTTTTTTTCTCCTCCACGCGCACGCATAACGTCGACAAAGATACGTCTTAATTTCTTCGGCCCGACGGTATACGGAAAAAGTAAAAATCGGCATAGTTTCTATCTCTCTCCCTCGCAGATATTAATTGGATCGTTCTCATTATATACGCACAGTCGTTATTATAAATTAATTTGAGTTATATTTGGTCGCGAAGCCGTTGATAAATTTTTTTCGATAGCTCGCAGTGCGTCTCTAATTTGTTTCAATTTAATGAAACGAGCATTTCTAGGCACGAGGCCGAAGCCTTAGCAAAAAAAAAAAAAAATAATGATGATGAAAAAAAGGGTCCGGCACACGGGCAATCGACGATATTATGCCCCGTGCGCGCGAGCGAGTCACATTCTGCCTCGTTACGTGCAAAGGTATTCGGTGTATATATTTATTAGGGACATTAAGTCTAAGGCCTCTCTCGGTGGTGCGTGTGTGTGTGTGTGTGTGTGTGTGTATTATGCCGACTCTTTCACAACTGCTTCCAGGGAATTGTCCCCTTGCATATGCCTCGCCCCGTGAAAGCACAGGTATATACGTATCGAACGAGAAAGAGAGAACATTTTCATAATCTCTTCTGGGCCCCGCGTGCAGCGGCAGCAACATGTTGATTCGAACCGTCATATCTATCAAAATAAGTGCGCGACACGCGAAATTTTGTTTATGCACTACGCCGATACGTCGATACATACACAGCGCGGACAAATATACGCCTTATTTTTATAACGCGCACTCGAGCATGTATAAATAAGCATAATGCACTTTTATGCAACGCAAAATTGTGCTGCCCTAAATTTTTATCATTGCTCTTTTGAATATTTTTTTTAAACGATAAAATTATAGAGAGTGTTGGATTTCGTGGTCATTTTGGCGTTTACATGCACATTTGAGGGGAACAATAGGAACGGACAGTTAAGCAAGTGGGCACGTTTCATTTCGATATTGGCCTCCTTTTAACGAGGATCGTAATACGTATTATAGCTGCACGCACCTTCGATAATAAGTACACTCGCGCGCGCACTCACATACTTTCGTATATTCTTTTTGAAAGTGACCATCCATCGACGAACGGCTCGCGATCGAAAAAATAATATACAAAATGCCAAAGGAAAAAGAGACCGAATCATATTATACGCTCGTTGAAAAGTTTGTTTACACAACAGGCATCAACGACCACAACGACAACAACGCCAATGGGCGTATAAATGCTGTAAATATCTATCTCTCGTCGTCGTCGGGCGACGTAATCACGGGGTTATATCGCACTGGTTTAATTAGGGAATTAGTTGGTCGATTGCGAAATGGTATCTCTCTCGCGTAAACACATTATATATATATATATAGAATAAAATAAGGTGCGCGTGCGTGAGTACGTGCGTGAGCGAGTATATATATATAAACAGCAGGGAGAGAGAGAACGAAAGTGCTATATAGTGCGCGGGAGAGAAAAGTCGCGCAGCAGCAGCGCCCGCGGCGCGTGGGATTTAGAAAATTGAAATTCTCCGACGTATATAATATGTGCTCGAGCGCATTCCGGTAAACAAATGGTTGCACGCGCGCTCGCAGACTCGCGAATCGCTCACTCGCACTCGCTTGCACTTATACTTTATAACTCGAGCTTCCGTAATGAACGCGGCCCCCCGACTTTTTTTTTCTCAGCTATGCGTTAATAATATATGTGTTACTGCTGTGCATTACTGCGCTCGAGATCACTGTAATAGCGCTGGCTTACGATGAGGCCAATTGCACAATGATAATTACCCGCGCGTGGAACGCGGCTCATCGAATTGTCGGCACCTATTTATAATTGTGGGCTTTATATATATTATATAGTTGAAAAATTTTAATTGACGTCACCGACGATCGGGTTCCAAATATTTTTCATTTTGCTAAGTACTTTCTTGGAATTATTTTACATTTATTTTTTGTTTGTAAAATGTAATTGACGAAAAGTCTCGAGAGATCGATATTCATGCATTTTAACTGTTTAATTACTCTATGTACGAGAGCGAACTCAACAGTCGAATAAAAGCTTTACACAGTCGAGCGATTAAAACTATTTTTTTATAATTAAATTCAATGCGTGTTTATGCATGCACTCGAAGGCACAAAAAATCAGTCTACACATTGCGCCGTGTCCGCAGAGGCATTATGTACACGTCGAACAGCCTAATAATAGTGCGCACTTGACAAGTAAGCGTATACATAGAAAGTACCTGTTTATGCCTCGGAAACATAAAATTTGTCCGGTTACACCGCACGCGAGTTCCTCTGGGGAAAAATCATCGTGTTTATACGTTCCGAAGCGACGACGCGTTGAGTTAGGCCCGACAAATTATATCGGCCTCGCGGTATATTGGCACTTTCTATCGCGTAACCGTATCACTGGCTTATGTACTTATGCGTCCGTATATCTCAATCGCTTCGAGTATCGTCTATTTTACATGGAAAATTGACTTTTGAGTAACTATTTCATATGATTCAAAGTGCATTGTACGATTAATTGGCTCATGTTTGTGGTTTTTCTATTACAAGTGTGCAAGAAAGAATATTCGGCGCATTTCAAATGGCCTGGAAATGATGTGACTTTTTAATCGCATTAAATTCTACAATACTACTTGAAGCCACCGCCACAAGATGGCGCGCACTTTAATTTGTAAATCTGCAAGTGGCAAAGTCAAAATAATTAGATAAATCAAAGCGCGGTTTTAAAAAATCCATAAAGTAAATTATTATTGGCATTTCTAGGATGTTGATTTGTATGTGTCCAGTTCTTTTGTTTCTTTTATGTTCAAGAAACTTTTTCGTTAGCCCAAAACTAGCCATAATGAAATATCAAGCATCTCTAACGGGTTTGCGTAATCAAGTATTATTAATAATCCGAAATAGACCTTTAAAAAAAAAGAGAAAAAGATAAAAATGTCCGTCGACTCGCGTCGAGGACGAAAAGAAAATACCCTCGTTGTTTGGTCGGTCGCGCATAATACGGTACACATACCGGAAGGAACTCTTTGATCCGCCCACGTCCTATACGTACATATATTATACGTACATAATATGTACGGGGCTCGCGCGCGCGACGCTCGCCTTTTTGTTCGGCGCGTTTCAGGGGGTTGTGCTGACTACTACTATACTACTATATTAAAAATCTCAAGTTTAGACCTGTCTATGCCACATATAACATAATATAGACTTCTCTCTCCTCCTCGTTGGGCCGCGCGCCGCGTACGCGTGCCGTCGTTTAGTAAGAATAATGGTCGCTTGTTAAACGTATACCTCGAAGTTGTATAGGCAATCGTTAGTCTTTTTTTTCTCTTTCATTTCGTTTCATTTCGATCCTGCCTCGTGCCCATAATTGTGTACTCTGTCATTGGCAAACTCCCCGCTCTCGGCCGCATATTATACATACGATGTATATTTTTCTTCGTCAAAAAATGAAAATAATAACGATGTCTTTGAAAACGCGTTCTCAGATTTATTGGACATTTTTCGGGTAAATTTCTTGCGAACGACGATGAATAATCGCTGCACGATGGCGGCACGCGCGCTGCTGCTCTCCGCCCGAAATATTATTATATTATTTATACGTATGAAGTATAAAATATACAAAGGGTACGCGTTTTTGAATGTAGACAATGGGGCGCAACACGCGTTAATCGGGACAGTTTACCGCGAGATTTTCGGGGGCAGGGTAATGTACGCCGAGTCGATTAATAACTGCAGTAATAACGCCGAGGGGCTCTCGTATACACGATCATTTCCGGTTATTTTAATTCTTTTCTCGTTTTGTTTCTCGACAGCAGAAGAGTTAAAGAGCGCGGCGCCGAAAAGACAACTGCTTTGCATATATTACGTCGAGTCATTAAAGTACACGTCTGACTTTGAATATTATTATGTGGGGCAGTATGTAATATTGTATATACAGAGTTGATGGACATTGCATTTCATCGAGGTGACGAAATCCCGACGACGCTTAACTCTGGGATCATTAAAATCCATTAAACGTCCAATTACAATGATCCGAAATTGAGATTAAGAACGATAATTTTCCGGAAACGCGCGGCCGAGAATCGAGCGGCGAAAGTCAACGAATGCTTCCATCGAGATTATCATGAACGTGCTCCGCTGCTAGGCTAAAACGCGACTCCGAAAATGAAAAAAAAAAAAAAAACGAAGCAAGCGTGTAATACGTGCAGATTGAAATTCCTCAAACCCCCTTTTTTTAATATTATATACTCTCGGCTACTTGATGCTACGCTAAAACGCGATAAACGAAGATTGCCCCCGTGAAGAAGAAGTGCATCGAGTGCGACCTTTTAAACGGCCCCGATTTCACGTATAGCCCGTATACGCGCTTAATCTTATCCACTCGTGAATCAATCTTTTGTTATTATATAAGTGCAGTTCTCGGGCGTATCTTTCTTTTTTTTTTCTCTCTCTCTCCGCTGCCTTACTTTTTTCTTAGCTTCGTATTATAAATGCGCGCAGCTCTCTCGGATGCTGCTGCTGCTGCTGCTAGCATTTGCATAATATTGTCCCGCGGCGTGTTATATATATATATATATGAAAAGTTTGAACCCTCCGCCCTTTCCTTCCTCTTTTGCTCTCTCTCTGGAGCTCGTTCTTTTTTTTTTTTTTTTTGAGGCCATGGGTATGGGCGTCTGGCCGGTTTCCGCCGTAACAAAAGCTCGTCTCTCTCTCTATACAGAGGCTGCTGCTGCTGTATACGTTTTATTTCGCCCGTTTTTCGGATGTCCTTTCACGGCCTCCGAGCTCCGATTTGAATGCAGCCCATTTATCCCATTTGCACGAGGCAGTTCCTCGGGGATATGTTATATGCGTACAAGAGTTCATAGAGTGAGAGACGTTGCTGCTGCTGCAGAAAACTTTCACGTCACGAGGCAGCAGCGCATTGATTCAATTGTGTGCGCGGGGGTAGTATATAGGTAGTACGAGCTCGTTCGCGAGAAGAGAGAGAGAAGACTTAATTATAATGCCTCGTACATAAAACGTGTCATTGTCGTCTTTTATTAAGTTTTACGAGTTTCCCGTGCGGTTACGTAACATATATAAACGCGAGGGCCCCATTGTACGTTATTATTGTAATAAATATCGGAGAACGGACTATATATAATATCCCAATTTGCCCAATTTTTCTGCGCAGGAGACATCGATGCCATTGTGTGCGCTTGTATAAGGTCATATTAGCGGTCGTAATACGCGTCATTGTCAACTCCTCCCCCACTGATACATGGAAATTCGATTAAACTTGACAAACGAATAAATGTGCGCCTGTTTAAGGTAGCTACATTATTACGCAACGCTCACAAGCTCAAAGACAACTACATATATCCTATACACGAGCTGGAGCTATTATGCCATTTGCAGCAGCAGTAGCAGCTCGATATATTGTATATATAGCTATATTACGAGCCGCGGCGCGTGCTGCATTTAAGAGAGAGAGAGAGAGAGAGAGTAAAAACTACCTGTAGCTCAACACGTGTTTTTATGTATCAATGTTACACAAGGCCAAGGTGTCGACGTGTATATATACGTAATATATAAAGAAACAACAAAAACGATCGACACCACAACGTAACTATAATAACTCGCTTTGTATACGGGGCGCGCAAAATTCAATTCGAGGACTCGAGATTGGCCTCAATATACACATTTTTATAATACACGAATATCCGTTATAAATGGTGTAATTGTCTCGTATGGACGTGACGACATGCCCAATCGACATCTCTGTCATTCCTGATCCTCTATGTCCCCGGGACGCGCAGCTTTATACGACCGAATTTTCAGACAAATATTACACGGATCAGCCTTTCGTATTACGTCGTAATAATAAAAAAAAATGTATGGTCCAAAGTCTTCGTTCGTTGAATAGAAATATGTAATACGTAGGCAATGCCGAACCGGAATTTAGATCGCATATACAACGACGCGTATCTCCGAGTCGTCGACTTTCGCACGTCGCGCGCGACTTTAACTCGCCAACAATTTTGTATACATGTCTAGATATATCCTTCGGTTTAAAAAACGTCTCGGGACGAAATACGTACACGAAAAAAAAAAAGTAAAAAAAGCTCGAGTAAAGAAGCGCGTGGGGTGTTTCGCTCCTTTTTCTCTCTTTCTTTCTTCAACGTTCGTCGTCGTCGTCGTCGTCGTCGTCGTCTTGGCCCATAGGGTTATATTGTTGCGTTCGCGGGCACCGTTACGAGCTGCATTGTTTCGCGACGCGCATCGTAGTCCTCGGGGTCCACCCTCTCGGGCTGTTACAACAACCAAGAGAGTTCCAATTTTAATCGCGCGCGCGCGCGCGCCACTCGAGCGCGATCGCCCTCGAGAGCAGTATAGTCATATACATAGGTTAGTTCTTGGCTTGAATGAGAAACGCTTTCTTATCCTTTCTTTTCACTCGCTCGCTCTCGGCTCTCTCGCAGTTTTTTTTTAACCCCATTATTCAGCGATCCTCTCGTGTATGAATAATGCAAGTTGTATTGCTCGAGCCAGTTCTCTAGAGCTCGAAGGAAGAATTGAATGCGAGAGCTGCTGCGGCGCATTGTCGAGCGACCGATCAACTTCTCTTGAGACGTCGTTATATTCATAAAGTGCGTGTGGTATAGCCTCGATAAATAGAGGCCCGAGACGAGAGTTTATAGCTACAAAACGTTCGTAGCTCCAGAGAGAGAGAGAACCGAAACGCGATACACAACCCTGTGACTTCTCGAGCGGTGAGCTCGAATGCGTTTTTACTATATAGCTGCTGCTGACGCCGACTTTGCACGCAGAAGCGAAAGACAAACGAACGAGCGTTACATTCGCGTCTTGATTTCGTCAGATTTTTGCCTAGATCTCTACAAAGTCCATGAGACTGTGCGTATTATGTACGCTCGATGTGTGCAATGACAATGGAGGTGGGAGTGTTGAGAGGGCTTTTCAACCCTGTCGCGTCGTACTGTGGTTATATAAACCGAGACAATGAAAGCAATGAATACATACAATTTGAGATCTTTTACTTTGAACGATCGTACGATGGTCAATAAAAAAAATTTATTTATTAAATTTTTCGGATTTTAGAAAAAATTGAACAGGTCATAAGTTATACCCCCAATTTCATGAAGGCACGTTATTTTGGGAACGAAAAAACGATGCAATTTGGAAATTATTTTAAATCTCATGTTATTTTAGTAGATAAATTTTACAGTACAAAAATTATTATTAGTATAGTACTCACACTAGGACGGATCGCTCGGTCGCTCCATCGAGCTCTCACCCGCCTCACAAATTGCGCGCCGATCCTCGTTCGCGAGATTCTCGTCGACGATCTGGCACCGGATCTCGATCGCGGCAGCCGATGCGTCGCCACAAAATTTCCGCCACCCATTCGCGCAAGAATCCGCGCAGCGCAGTATCGCGGCCGGTCGCGCGTCGAGTTTGTCGCGAGCCCCACCGTTGGGCCGCACCCATCCACGTGTCTCGTGCGCCTCGTCGAGCGGCATCCGCACGAGGTCGTGGAACGTACGCCCGTTCGTCATCTTGATCATCTTCAGTTCTTGCGCGACCGTTTCCTCGTCGTACCACGGCCGTGGTGGTTGTGCTTGTCGATCGTCAAGATCCGTCCCCGTCTCCGCCGCCGACATCTCGTACAATCCGTACTCGGCGAACAGTCTCGCGTTGGCGCAGAACCGCCAACGCGTCGTGTATATCCAGGACGTAAAAATCGCCGAAAACCATCCAACTGATAGTAATGCACTTTGAAAAAATGTTAAATAGTAATTTTGTCTTACGCCACCCATTTTATTCATTATTCGTTGGGACAATTTTTCCAGGCGATTTGCCATTACTTTTTTTAAACGTTATCCCTTTTTTTCTCGTTCGCAGGAGTTCCCGCCACCCTCAACTACATTCCGCTGGACCAAGTGCGCGGCGGATCGCCCAAGCTCATACCCTACCCGAGCTGGTCGCAGAACGTCGCCGGCGCCTGCGGTAGCGGCCTCACCACCGTCTACAGGTAAGAACATTTTCACCACCGATACTTTGGTTTTTTTCTGTATAAATACGAGCTCGTGCGCACGTGTGACACTTTAGTAAATTAATTAAGCGTGTATATAATACAATGATCGATCGGATAATGATCGGATTACAATAATGGGATCGAGGCGTCGAAAGTCACACGCCGAGGTGAGATTTAAAAATGTCTTCTTTTGTAAAGCAGAATCAATTCGTTAAATCTCGGTCGATTGATGCGATTATATATAGTAGCTTTGACGCCGTTTTCAGAATCAAGGAAAACCGTCGCGTTTTCGGGTTGACAATTTTGTCAAAATTCATTTTCACCCGCGCGGCCATCAAAGAGCTTAAAGCCAGCCAGAGATACATCAAAGTCTAATGTCGTCTTTATTTATTTTTTTTTGTTCGTACGCAGAATCCACGCCGACACGTGCAACAGACTCTGGGTCCTCGACGTGGGTACCGTCGGAATCGGCAACGAGACCGTCCAGGCCTGCCCCTACACTCTGAACGTGTTCGATCTGACGACCGACACCCTCATCAGGCGCTACGTTCTCAGGCCCGAAGACGTTAATTCGGTAATTGATCTCGCGCGACTCTGCATACCTGAAAGTATATTAACGATCTATATATTTTCCCTACCGTAATAGAACACGTTCATCGCCAACATCGCCGTGGACATCGGCAAGGGCGGCTGCGACGACGTCTACGCGTACATGTCGGACGAGCTCGGCTACGGCCTCATCGTCTACTCGTGGCAGCTGAATCGCTCGTGGCGCCTCGAGCACGGCTACTTCTTCCCCGACCCGCTCGCGGGCGATTACAACGTAGGCGGCCTGAATTACCAGTGGCACACCGAGGGCATATTCGGCCTGAGCGTGTCGCCGGTGGCCCTCGACGGCTATCGCACCCTCTTCTTCCATCCGCTGAGCAGCAATCGCGAGTTCGCCGTGTCCACGAGGATACTGCGCGACGAGAAGCTCTCGGCCAACAGCTATCACGACTTCCAGGTGAGGCGACGCTCTTTTTACCTCCTTTTTTTGTAATGAGTAGGAAAATATTTCGAAGGATCATGTTTTTTTTAACGATAATCGTAAAATCAATTTTTCGGACTTCGTTATCTATTGAAAATTTATAAGCAGCTAGGTAAGCAATGAGTTACAATTTTTTCTGTAGCAAGATTTATCGCAGTCAATAGCGGCAAATTTTATTATGAGTGTTTTGATTCCATCGACAGATGGCGTATCGTAAATTCGCAAGTGGCAAAACCAAGTTCCGATCATTATAAGTATTCAAAAAATATACTATCATAACGGATAAACTTTGGAAATGGTCTTTTTTTTGGATACTATACTCGATCATTTCTCACCAAGGCCAGAGAGCCTCGTACGCGTAATATACGCAAGCATGGAAAGTCCCGCGAAGAAAATTATGCGCGAATCTCGATACGACTAACGAGTGCCTATAATACACTCGGTGGCCTAATTGCGCTACATATGTAGGCGCGTCATGCATATTATAATAACGTATATCGAGAGCAGCGAGGTTTTTTTTCCTCTCCTCGTGCCCGCCTGGCTAAATTTCATAATGTACGCGCAGAAAGAAAAATCATAATACATGTGCAAGTGCGGGTACGTATGTACGCGATTTCAATGTGTATAATGTAATATTGGAAAAAAAACACTTTCTTCTATGAGCCGCGTGGCAATCGGAACGAGAAATAAGCTTGTCGCTCATTGAAAATGAGTACGAAATGTTATAAATATTCTGTTCAGATGTGTACACAAGCAAAATCAGCAAGTAAAAATTTTATATATTTAAATAAAATTGTGTGTCTGTGCAATAATCCAATAATAAACCAATAATAATCGAGCACAATTTGTTATTTACTTTCGAGCGAGGTTTTTCTGACCATCAATTATTCGTAATCATATCATACGCATGTTTACTAAACTGGAACTTATGTAGAATTTTTTTGCCCAAATCAGAGAGAAAAGCGATCTATGTACACTGAGGAAAAAAATTCATTGATTCAATGAAATATTTATTTAAATACAATTTGTGAAATAATTTCATTGATTCAATCTTTTTTATGTCATCCAAAAAAATATTTGATTGTTTTTACCAAAGTTTCATTGCTTCAATCAATCATTTGATTAAATTAATAGTAAATAAAATATTAAATTAGATTTCATTGATCAATGATTTTTTTTTTCTCAGTGTAGTAATCATTATTGCTAGGAGTTCGAAGTAAATATTACACTGTATAGTTCTTTTTCGATTGAAAAATTTATTAATTTTTTTTTAAATTCAGACATCGATGAATGACGCTAGAGAAACAATTGTCTGAATTAGTCATTTAAACAAATATACTAGATCAAGTATGGTAGTTTTGCAATACAATTAGCAATCAGTTTGTTACATTCGTTATCAGATTATAATGCATCAGCGATGAGCCTTTTTAAGATTATTCTTTAATAAAAATGATTTGCCGAATTTATGACATGGGTATAGTGGGCATTACTTGCATGCGACGATTTGACATGTTTAACGAGACTAGTTTGTTTCTTGTATTTTTGCTCACAGAAATTTCATGGGTAATTGATATTTTTATGAAACGAATCGGTGTGAGTTTTCAAACACCATTTTTGAGAAAATGTTTTTTCACAAAACTCGCATGGGAAGGTGATGCCATTATGTGCGAAATCGGTATGATGTTTCAAACGATCCTTTCGGAAAAATTTCTTGCCACAGGCATCACATTCATAACTTTTTTTACTATTATGAACCAAGTTGATGTGGGTTTGGAGACTACCCTTTTGAGAGAACGTCTTTCCGCAAATATCACATGTGGGAGTTTTACCATTATGTATCGCTTCAATATGTTTCTTGAGATAACCTTTAAGTGAGAATGACTTTTCACATAAGTCACAGCCATGAGTGATTTTAAGATGCATCGAATCGATGTGATTTTTAAGATTACTCTTACGTCCGAATGACTTTCCACATGTATCACAAGAATGGGCGATTTTACAATCATGCATCAAGTTGATGTGGGTTTGGAGATTACCCTTTTGAGAGAACGTCTTTCCGCAGATATCGCATGTGGGAGTTTTACCATTATGTATCGCTTCAATATGTATTTTGAGGTAACTTTTAGCTGAGAATGACTTTCCACATGTATCACATTCTTGTCTGATACTGTTATGTGCCGAATCGATATGATATTTCAAATAACTTTTTTGAGAAAATGTCTTTCCGCAAAAATCGCATGGGTAGGTGGTACCTTTATGCATGGAATTGGTATGAATTTTCAGAGTGCCCTTTCGGGAGAACTTCTTGCCACACACGTCACATTCGTAACTTTTCATTCTATTATGCACTGAATCGATGTGGGTTTGGAGACTACCCTTTTGAGAGAACGTCTTTCCGCAAATATCACATGTGGGAGTTTTACCATTATGTATCGCTTCAATATGTTTCTTGAGATAACCTTTAAGTGAGAATGACTTTTCACATAAGTCACAGCCATGAGTGATTTTAAGATGCATCGAATCGATGTGATTTTTAAGATTACTCTTACGTCCGAATGACTTTCCACATGTATCACAAGAATGGGTGATTTTACAATCATGCACTAAGTTGATGTGGGTTTGGAGATTACCCTTTTGAGAGAACGTCTTTCCGCAGATATCGCATGTGGGAGTTTTACCATTATGTATCGCTTCAATATGCATTTTGAGGTAACTTTTAACTGAGAATGTCTTTCCACATAAGTCACAGCCATGAGTGATTTTAAGATGCATCGAATCGATGTGATTTTTAAGATTACTCTTACGTCCGAATGACTTTCCACATGTATCACAAGAATGGGTGATTGTACCATTATGAACTGAGTTGATGTGGCTGCGAAGATTACTCATTTGAGAGAACGTTTTTTGGCAGATATCGCATGTGGGAGTTTTACCATTATGTATCGCTTCAATATGCATTTTGAGGTAACTTTTAACTGAGAATGTCTTTCCACATAAGTCACAACTGTGGGTGATTTTAAGATGCACCGAGTCGATATGGACTTTGAGACTTTTTCGTTGTCTAAATGCCTTTCCACATGTATCACAAGGATAAGCGATTTTTCCATTTGGCATGTCCACAATGTGTTTTTTGATATTATGATTATAATTCAACTTTTTCATAACTGTTCTTCTATTCTTTGGCTTGCTGAGTTCACAGTTTGAGTTCATATTAAATTGATTGGCGTCGTCCACAAAAGATTCCTTTTTTACTGCATCCAAAGGTTCTAATTTAATGTTTTGAGTTTGATATTCGTTACCATTTTCAATAGCTGCCAAGTGATCTTCAGAACAATTTTCAATTTTCATAACTGCTAATAAATCCAAGCTCGGCTTCATGTCTTTACATTCCAACTCGATCGCCAAGTCGTCATGTTGACTTTCGTGATTTTCGTCAGATTTTTGAAGCATATGAATCTGAATAAAATATAATTTATATGAAATGTTTCATGAATAAATGAGTTATTATGCTATTATAATTACTTACTCGATTTTCATGCGAATGCCTGAGGAATTGAAAATTGTTGACATCGGCTGTCTTGTCAATTACAATGTAATCATTTTCACCGAGCAACACGTCGATTGGTTCTTCTTTCACGCTGAAATATTTACAAAACGACTGAGTATTTTATATTGTAAAATGTTCATACTGTGATTAACATAAAAAAAATTACCGAACAGCACAGTTCAACGTTCCACTCGATTCCATCTTGACTGCTTAGAAATTTGTTGACGATTGATCTGTCTGTAATAGTGTTACAACACATCTAACTAACTTAAATTAAATAATATTTATAAATCACGAGATGAATATTCAAACTAACTAAAGTAAAGAGAAAGGCTGTAATAACAATATTATTATTGAAGTACTCTCATTATTGATTGTTAGATTTGAGCGACTGTCGCCTCTGCCCTCTGCCCACCTAGCGGCTATCTTCGACAGCTTGATATTGATGCCGTATCCGGCGCGCACTCACTTCTGTTTGAGCCTTTGCGCTGCGCGGACCCCTTTGTCCTTTTTAACAGTTTTTGCTAATATAATAAAGTGTTCTTAAAACTATAATTGTTCCTTTTCATTAGAACAACCTTAAACCTATCAGGTTATAGGCCTAGCTTACTTAATTGTGTTGCTTCCACTGTGCGACAACAATAAAAAAAAAGAAAACTGTGAAATTACCGCGTTTTGAGGTGTTCAGTTTCTTTGTGTCTGTTCGTGACTGGTGCGTTGTACCATGAGCGCGGATGCTGATGGTTTGGTCAGCGTCGAGGAGGTGCAGGTCATCCAGAATGGTGAGAGTGGAAATGGTGACTTGGGCATGCGTAAGTATGATTAAAAAAAAAAAAAGTTAATTAAGGTGTGTCTTCGTAAGAGTCTGTATGACCGGAGAAATCGTGTGTGGTGTTGCTTGTTTGTCGCGATCATAAGTTTGAGAATAATTGAAAAATATAACAATCAAAGTTAAAATAAATAAAGGAAAATTTGGAGGAAAAAAAAGTTTTCAATCTGTGTGCGTTTGGAACGTGGCTGTGTGACACGCGGGAGTATAGCGTGCATTCGCGACTCGAGTTTGTGCCTATCTTGTTTTCGTGGAATCCGAACAGGTCGAGCACGTGCGTGCGAGCAAGACAAAGGACGCCGGTCCGGACAAGAAAAACAGCACACGGCTCTTACGTAGATTCAACGTTTAGTTACGCAGACTAATATTATTTCCTAAATTCTGATGTTCTTGGTGTGATCGTAAAAGCATATATCGACATAGCATTGCGCGACTGATCACCGTGTATACTGCGACGTCGTATGTGCAAATTTATGAGTATAAATGGCGCGAAAATACCATACGCATACACGCGATAATTGATGTGCTAAAATGATGCGATGAAACATTGTATGATGTGTACGTAACCCGGGCTATGCGTATACAGTGTTTTTTATAATGTTATAAATATTTCAGCTGAAGGCGAGTTGGAAAATTTTTGGCATCGGTTGACACGTATGTTCTGCTTGAACCAGAATCACCGAAACGAGACGATAGCCTTTGATATCAATGCTGATTTCCTAAAAATAAAGACTTCTCTCGGAAAAGAATACGTTACTGGTGAGTTGTATATCTGACGAGTTACGATGAGATGTAGTGAGATTTGATAAATTTGATGTTTTTCAGTGCACTAGAGTAATTTGCTAGCATACTCAGTGTGACATTAAACTGTATAAATAATCAAAAATTGAGTATTTGTTTATCAAATTACTTTAGTTAAAATTGTTCCATGTTGAAATTCTAAATCAATTTACAAGTGTGTGCTTGTGTTCGGTACCAAACTTGTAATTGATTTTAGTGATTAAACTAGTGGCCGTGTGTTCCGATCACTGTTTATTCACTAGTCTTAGAGTGGTTAGCTTGTGTTCAGATAGCCACTATGAGACAAGAATGCCTTATTGGTAAGCGCGCTATATAAATTACTAATTGCATTCATATTTTGCACAGAACAAAGAATGTTTCCTGAAGCAGAGTGGGACAAATTTATGGATTGGTGTGGAAAAATGACGTCCTCAGAGAAAGAACTCATCATGCCAAAAACTCGAGCTATGAGTTTGCCAACAATGGAACAGATAAATGAGAGTAATGGCGAGTCTACCACGAACGGCGAGAAAGGAAACGACGAGAGGGAAAACGACGGGATGAGAAAAAGCAACGATGCGACTCAAAATAGTACCGGCGAGAGCACCAACAACGAAGTTCAGATTGTAAAGTCGAAATCAGTATTTTTCAATACAGAAAAGAAAAATCCTTCGTCCATATTTTCGGAAAAAGCTTTACAATTGGTCATGAATTCGTGTAAAGAGATGTCGGAAAATTCAAAGAAAATGACTGATATGGTGAGCGAATTAGTAAAGCTTTCCAAGCTCGAGTCAGAAGCAAGGAAACGAGAAAGACAAGAATATGAACAACGAAATGAAATGTTGTCTGAAATGTTGCGAAAAAATAATGAAAGGCAGATAAATTGCCTTAATTCGGCATTAGATAATTTTGAAAGTATGCTTAAAAACAACATGCAAGACGAAGACAGTCAAAATGAAAATGAAAGTGAAAGTGAGATTGACCCTAATTTTAATCTCCAAGATCAAATAAATAAATTGACTGAAAAGAAGTTTGAGTCGTTAGCAAGAAACTGGAGCCAGACAGTTCATAAAGAAGATAATGCTCAGAAACATATAAAAGATGCACTGGAACTTGAACTTAAATCGATAGGAACAAATGTAAAACGCGACTATAAACTTAGTTCAAGTATGAAGTACGAGCACTTTTATGACTATTTTTCGTCTGAATTAAGAGCTTGCGGACTCTTGCATGTAATTGAAAATACCAATCAGAATGAAAATGATCCAACATTTCAAGACAAACAATTCAAAGTTCGAGATATTCTCATTAATCATTTGGATAATCACTATCATGCAAAAGTAATGCATCTTAAAAATCCAAAAGAAATCATAAAGAAATTGCAAGAGTTAAAACGGTGTGAGCAAAATATAACGTCACACTCAGTACGTCAACAATTGTATAACATGAGATACATAGTTGGAAAATCAAGTGCCGCTGAGTTCGTCGAAAAGTTTGAAGAAACTGTAAGAAGTTATGAAAATACATCAGGCGCGGTACCATTTTCTGCGGAAGAAAAACGTGATGCCTTTTACAATGCAGTCATGATATCAGTACCACTCGTTCAAACAGTTAATACTGTGACTAAAAATATTCAGGGTACTGAAGCAAATTACGAGGAGCTGAAATCTCTCGTATTGCAAGATGAGGCTGAGAAAAGGCAGATCAATAACTCAGCTGAGACAATCACGACTGGGAGATCAGCGAACTTAGCCCATACAAAAGATATACGTTGCTTTGAATGTCAAGGCTTTGGACATATCGGAAAAGATTGTCCTAACTTGGGTAAAGGTATTCTCTGTTACAGTTGTAACACGTTTGGCACACACAAAAAGGAAGATTGCCCTCTGCGAAATAGATCTGGAAAAACGACTAAATACAACAATAGATCATTCAAATCAAACTCATCACGAGGCAGAGGTGCTTCTCACGCCAACAATGACGCGAAGAAGCGCAAATACCCTGACAACAGCGCGAAAGATTCTCGAGGCGGAAAGAGAGGGAGATTTGCTAACTACAACAAATCAAATAATAATAAAAGGCAATTCCAGAGTAACTCCAATCAGCAGCAGAAGGTACAAGATAAGCCCAACAGCGCTAATACAGGTAACAAAACTTTACATAATAAATTATATTGTAACAATGTCCAAATTGACTGTAGCAATAGTAAAGTAGATCCTGATTCAAATTTCAATTTCATTGCTGATTCGGGCGCGACTGAGCACTTCACTAATTCTAAATTAGTATTTTCCTCGTTGAATGAAATGGATTGTGGTGTGATTCAATGCGCAAATAAAAATGAATCGGCAAATTTAAAAACAGAGGGAGTAGGTAATGTTGTGATTCAATTATCAAATGGAAAATGTCTTACTGTAGATAATATGATTTTTGCGAAAAACTTAAAAGAAAATCTATTATNGAGTGTTAGATTTGAGCGACTGTCGCCTCTGCCCTCTGCCCACCTAGCGGCTATCTTCGACAGCTTGATATTGATGCCGTATCCGGCGCGCACTCACTTCTGTTTGAGCCTTTGCGCTGCGCGGACCCCTTTGTCCTTTTTAACAGTTTTTGCTAATATAATAAAGTGTTCTTAAAACTATAATTGTTCCTTTTCATTAGAACAACCTTAAACCTATCATTGATGAATCTAATGAGTATAATTATTATTTTCCTATATCAACGATATAATTTTATAGCAAAGAAATGAAAAATCAACCCCACAAAACCAGTCGCGTCATGTCTCCTATCTAAAAAACAAAACAATTTTGACTCTCGAACTCGGATCTTTATAAAAACAATGCAATTTCAAAAATATATATTTCCATACGCCTATTTTCATGTTTTAAAAAAAATAAAAAAATCCGTGTGTTTGTGCGCGTGCAGGTGCTGCCCGAGCGAGGACCGCTGGGCCACTCGACCGCCGAGATCATGGACGAGAACGGGCTGCAGCTCTTCACTCTGGTCGATCAGAATGCCGTCGGCTGCTGGAACTCGCTGCTGCCCTACGCCCCGAGCAACCAGGCCGTCGTCGCCCGCCACGACGAGGCAATGATCTTCCCGTCCGACGTTAAGGTATACACATAAACGACGACCAATCGTCGATCTCCTCTCTCTCATTGCGGTGATTTCGACGTAAAAAAAAACACTCGAGTACGATATAATGAATCCATTCATGAGCTTATACGTATATACGTTCGCTCCCCGCGAGCCAATGAATATGAAACAATTTTTTCCCTTCTTTTTTTTTTTTTAACGAGGATAAACGCGATCATTGGACTCGAACAACGGGTTTTCTCGTTGCAATTCTGGACGAGCTATACGTGTATCGGTATACACCTAATCGTTGATCCGATTGAAGCAATAACGAAAAGAAAAAAAAACACGTATACACATACCGTTCGATAGAGTCATAATTGCGGGGCCGTAATTTTGTAAACACGTGCCCCGTACGCGTGTGTACGCGCGCGTCTGTCTAATTTTCCCGAAATTTTCTCGCGACTTTCGCGCGTTATTATTATCATACGTATACGATCGTTACGTTTCCGCTCGCTATACATACACGATTGTTGCGCAATTTACGCGTGTTTTTACGCCAGCTACGGACCAAACGAGCGTAACCTACAGCACATGCCTCATTCATGTATATTATAGTGTATATAACGATGCAACGATTTTTTTTTTTTATTCGGCTCGTTGCCTTATCTTATCAAAATTAATTCGTACTTACGATTAAAAATTCTAATTTTCTTGCGCAGATCAACCGTGGCCTGATCTGGATCATGACCGACCGCATGCCGCAGTTCCTCGAGTCCGAGGAGGGCCTGAACTACACCGACGTGAACTTCAGGATACTGACGGTGCCGGTGCGCGACGCCATCGCCGGCACCGTCTGCGACAACACGCCCTGGACCTTCCAGGGCAATCAGCTATGGTGGGACCGATGATCGATTCGATAGCATATATAGAGCAATTCTCTCATCATTTTTATGTACGCCAAGCATCATCGGTGCGCTCATTTTTGTGTGCCTATATAGCAGCAAACGATTTATAATAGCCTAAATATTGTGACATCTACCGATTCATCGTCATTCCATTATAAATATTGTATATCAGCCACTCGCATTTCGTTCACGCCCACGCACGCACGACGCGCAAAAATTCGAATTTTTTTCTTCTTTCCTACATCGCAACTGGATTTCCGCGAAAACGCGTTTATGAAACTTGCACGTATATATGTATGTACGTACGAATGAAAGTCGCGCGCGTTGATGTTTCGATGCGGAATGTAATGGCAAAAAAGGAAAAACGCACGCCAGCAGCAGCAGCAGCAGTGGCTACCGTTTTCACAGCCTATACTGCACGCGCGACTTTCATATTTATATGTATCATGTGTGTGTGTGTGTTTGTACGTTTAAGCGAGCACACAAACATAATATAGACAGCTTGACGCACGGCGCGCGTTTCCGCGAGTAAACAATTTTCTCGCGGAGATTGGCCTCTGATGCATTAATCCATACCGGGAGCCGTGGCAACACCTACGAAACAAACTAGTAGCTGCTTGTATAAATTATTATGTATACACTGTTGCCAATCTTGTGTGCTTTTTCCTCGCCTTCTTTTTTTTTTTTTTTACTTTACTTCACTCGAACGCGGTGTCGCAGTACGTGCCTGTGTGGCGGGCTCGATGAATCGTTTGCACGTGCGCTTCTATACCATAGCATAATAGTGGGCAAAAAATTATGTGCTCCGAAAGTAATCATCCTTATCGAATTTTTCTCGCGTGTGTATCTTAGAAAATTCGCGATTGTATAATAAAACACTTCCGTGTCAAAATTTTGCAGTAAATACGGAATATTCACGAGAAAAAAAAATCAAAGATATTTACTCTCTCAATATTTATCGTCGACGCACCGACGACGGTTGACAAGTGCAATCTAGACCGTAATTGAGCATTGGGTTGTAACGCCGACTTTCAACTTACCTCTTTTTTTTTTTTTTGCTCGTCAAGATCATTTTGAGATAACAATCGAAAAGACAACATTGTATAATGTAACGTGACTTTAGTTCCTTTGAAGAAAAACAGTCTATATAGTTGAATCATTACCTACATGGCTTTTTCATAATACATGCTTACAGATATTTCCATGAATGTGCTCAGCTTTCGATAGTTTCGTAAAAATTAGTTTAATAAAAATAATTTAAAACCTTTTTCAGAAAAAAAAATAAATAAATAAATGATGATCCCGAAGTCGATTAGTTTGCGGAGTGCAAGGTACTACCTAGACATTCATCGATTTTTACCAAATACACGATAATCAATTTTTCCTCGTCAATCTTGTGAAAAGACTGTAATTCAAAAGACAACAACAATAGAATAAATTGAGTGTAAAATTAAAGCTGTATTTTTGTTCTTTTCATGAAAAAAACAAAATTTTTCCAACGATACATTAAAGTTTTTCAGTTACATCTGATTTACGCAAAAAATGACGAGAAAGTTTCATGGTTCGTACCCATCGTTGAATATAAAGTTTCGTACCGAGTCGGGCAGAGATCGAAAAAAGATTCTGAAAGACCTGATGCACTCATAGAACCAAGCTTTCAGAGGATGCATCAACTGTTCGACGCAGACTCCTTCGGACGAGCAAATGGTTTCATACGGACGATCATCTAAGTCGGATTCTAAAAAAAAAAAAGCGTAGATAGAATGTAAACTAGAATTGAAAACTAAACTCCGATACTCACCATGTTGCGCGGACGACTCGACGACGAACATCGCCAACGTAACGACGAGAACAACGAGTGTAAATAACGATTTCGATGCCATGTCGTACAGCGTGTTACTTCTAAACTAGTCGAATGTTTATTTTCTAACAATAACAAAAAAGTCAGAGAGTAGTCTATTTATAAGAAAAGGATTCGCAAAGCCTAGATCGTAAAAATTCTCGCGAAAAATTATTTTTACTACCGAGATAGCATTCCGACGGATAGCCATAAATTTTCGGCGAAGATACACGAGCGCGTCAAAAGTCATGTAATCTGCATTACGAGTGCAGCTCAGAGCCTTGAGAGAGAGAGAGAGAGAAGATTAGAGGTACTCGGCTCCGAATTCCGAAAAGCCGCGCGGAGAGAGAGGACAGGCTTTAATTTGCAATTGAAAGAGATAAGCGCGCGATACGCAACTCGTGCGCGTGTATGTGTTTATTATACGAGCGACAGAGATAAATATTGCGCCGATCGTGTGTCCGAGACACTTATACTACTACTTGCACTTGGCACTTGCAATTATGCATGCGTATATATACATGTACAGTGCAGGTAAGATTTGGCGGTCGGCATTCTCGGCAACTGGCAACGATCGAAAAGGGCGGCGGCGGCGGCGTCAATGCGCACATATATATACTACCATTAAAACGTCGACGCTGAGGATACGAGTCGTTGCGCGACGCGCGGCTCTTAATTGGAGCTCTTTTATATACACACGGTATGAATTTCGTCGTCGGATACACACGGTAGAGAGAGAGAGAGAGAGAGGGAATCGCGCGAAAAAAACTCACGCACGAAAAACCTTGTGTATATAATATACCGATCGCGCCGAGAGAGATGATTCGGCCGCACACGAGCCTCACTTATATACGTATACATCTCGAGTGCGGCGATACACAGCTGTATTATGCACTTGTATAGCCGAAAAACTCATATATGTACGAGTACACGTATACGCTGTAAAGATAATTAATGATCGCTGATACACGAGTGTGTGTGTATATAATCGAATCGATGTGGCTGTGTGCACGAGTGCTCTCGAGAGCGAGATCGTGTACACGTGCACGTTTGAATAAGTAATTTCATAATTGCAGAGACGATGTCGCACGCGCCATCCGCTTCTTCTTCTTCTCCTTCTTCTTCTTCTTCATCGTCATTTTTTTTTTTTTTTTGTTTTCATACCGAGACATCGAACTGCCCATTGAAGATTGCATCGAGTATATAATGTAAGTAGTGTGTACCGAGCCTCGGAGAACGATGGCCAATGAACTTGGTTCGGTGTGTGTCTCCCGATTGCACAGCACTCAAAATGTATATCCCTTACTTTATATTTATATACACGTACGTATGTGTAGCGACGGCGGCACGAGATAATTCGCGACGATGTTATAATTTACGAAGTGCGATGATAGCCACTCTCGGGGCCCGCGCGTATAGATAGTGTATAATAACGCGGTATTATCTTTGCTGCCCCTGCGCTCGCCCGTATGCGTGTATTACCACGTATAATCGATTTGGACTCTCGAGCCGAGTAAGAGAAAATTTGCATCTCTCTCCAAATTGTCTCGCGTGAATCTCGATCGGTTTCGTTTCTCCTCGGCGATGACAACGTGTAGTAGGTACCGATCGTATATATGATTCTTTCGGACACCTCATGCCTCGTACTTATACTTACGGTTCATTTAATTTTAAATTTTTCGCGTGCGCCGGGAGCGACATCAAAAAAACAATTTGATTTTGACTTCAACAATTTAGTTATGCCTGAAGAATAGCAAGGTCGTGTCACCCTTGACATTTCAATTTTTTTCCCTCGTCTTTGTGGCAAAATTATCTAATAAAATGCATTCTTCGAGCGCCAAGCAAAGTGTTGATTAAATTTCAGTAATCATCTGCAATCGAATAACAATAAACCACTTCGATATGTTATTGAAGATCGAAATCATATATGATTAAAACAAAAGAAGATCAAATTCAAAAGTTTAGTCTATTACTTCCAGTAGTTTTGCAATTCAATTAATTTTATTTACTCATTGACAAGATCAATATCACTCGCTCATTTATCTTTTCCTCGACCGAAAGATAGATTATTTCGAGAATCAGACATCCCCATATTGCTCCGTATATAGGACGCTTCCATCTACTGCAGAGGCTTGAGCTACACTAACGTCACCAACGCAGTATATATTGTAGGCAACACTAGGCCGCAGTCATTGCATTATGCCTATATAAACGATGCGTGCGCGCGCATAAGCCAGCGCGAGAGTTTGTCCGTCGTCTGCACTAAGCAAGACGCTTACCCCAACTTTGACACCTTAGTTCGAAACAATGCAATATTGACTTTGATTCAAAGTATAAGAACGACTTTATATTTTTGTTTTTTTCATTACTCGCGTTCGACGTTTCGTCTTGTACAGTGAATAGCTTCGACTATACACGTGTTTTTGATACACAAAAACTTTAAGTAGTGCATGTGTAGTAGAGTGCAATACGACTGTGTATCGTGCGTGATTGCACGACGACCAAAAATGTCCACGTCCAACGACTTGGAGAAACTGAAGAGTTTGCGAGCAAACGTCAACTGGGAGATCGAGAAGAAGCGAGTCGAGCTTCTGCCCAAACTCGTCAAATTATTCGGCAACTGGACGGGCCGACTTCCGAATCTCCGCGACGTATTTCGGCCCGCAGAAATCGACTGGCTGCTCTCCAGGGTCTTCGCGAAGAAAAAAATCGGCACGGAAAATTATCAAGGCGAACGATTCGTCGACTTTGTCATCAGGACCGGCTACAAGGACGATCAGCCCGAGACATCGGCGCGTCGCACCACACCGCTGCATCACGCGGCCAAACGCATCCACGACCGCGAGAACAAGAATCGGGCGATCGGTCGGCTCTTCGAGATATACGACAGGTTGGACGTGAACTACGTCGACGAGGCCGGATCGACGCATTTCCACGTGGCCTGCATGGCTGGCTGTCGAGAGGTCGTCGAGAAATTTCTTGAGCAGGGCCGGGTCGATCCCGATGGCGTCTTGCCGAAAACGGGCGAGTCTGCGCTGCACCTGGCTCTGACCAACGAACGCCGGGAGATCGTCGAGTCGTTGCTGAAAGCAGGTGCCGATCCGAATCTCGCCGACAAGGACGGCACGACTCCTCTGCACATCATCGGCAAGAGATGCACCGACGACGACGACGACTTGGTGGATAAATTCTTCGAAATAAGCGAAGAAAAAAATCGTCCGGTAAGGGTCGACGCCAAGGACGAGTCGGGCAATACGCCGCTGCTCTTGGCTCTCTACCACGGCAACAAGAGGGTGGCTCGTACACTGCTGAGCCGAGGTGCCGATCCGGATCTGGCCGGTGCCGGCGGATTGACACCTCTGCACGTCATCGGCAAGAGGCGACGCGACGTCGACGGCTTGGCCGAGCTGTTCTTGGAGGTACTCGACGAGGTGCGGAAGACGGTGCGGATCGACGCTCGGGACGATTGGGGCTGGACACCTTTGCACTGGACCATGCGATTCGGCAACAAGGACGGGGCCTCGTTGCTGCTGAGGAGAGGCGCCGATGTAAATTTGGCCAATAACGAGGGATCGACTCCTCTGCACATTTCGAGCAAGGGATACGGACGTTTCGACACGACGAAGATGTTACTCGACAACGAGGAGTGTAAAGTCGATGTCCGGGACAAGTGGGGCAACACAGCGCTGCACTTGGCTCTGGGCCACAGTCAAACGAGGGTAGCGAAGTCGCTGCTGAGGAGAGACGCCGATCCGAACGCAGCCAACGAGGAGGGCGAGACTCCTCTGCACGTCGTTTGCGCGATGTATCGATCCAACGATCTGCTGGAGATGTTCTTCGAGGTCAACGACGATATTCGAAAGATAGTGCGGGTGGATGCCAAGGATAAGAAGGGAAATACGCCGTTGCACTTGGCTCTGCGTTTGAACAACAAGAAGATGGCCGAGTGTCTGGTAAAAAGAGGAGCTGATATTAATTTAGCCAACGAGGAAGGATCGACGCCCATGCACGTCATTGCCAAGAGAGACAAGGACGACGGCTGGATCGAGCTATTTTTCGGGATCGTCGACGACGTTCGGAAGATGGTGCGGGTCGATGTCCAGGATAAGTCAGGCCGGACGCCGCTGCAGTGGGCCGTGGCGAATCTCAAGCCGAACGCGATCGACGTGCTCCTGAATCGTGGCGCCGCCGATCTGTCCAACTTCGTTTTCCCCACCGTGAGTCACTTCGACGAGTGTCTGAAGTCGCACAGAATCAAAGACGTTCGGTTCAAATCGAGGCTACCGTCCATCGCCCTGGACGTCGTCGATCGTCTCGAAAAAAGAGGATACGAACCGAGCCGAAGCGACGCCTCGACGATAGTGAAATTATTCGTAAAGTACGAATTTTTCGAGGAGCCGACGATGGATCTCGATGAGAAGTTTGCGCAGGAAGCGAAGAAAACGACGATAGATTCGGGTCGGTCGCTCTACGATCTGATCCAGTCGCGAGCCGAAGAGGCGGAAAAATTGTTCACCGACGAGGACTACACCGAGTTGAAGCGCTCGAAGAAATTGAGTCGGATCAAGCTGAGGCTTTATCGAGCTTCTTGGACGCGTCTGCGAGGGTTACTGGCGAGAGCATTTTTCCAACAAAGTTCGTGATGTTTTTTATTTGTGGTGTTACTAAATGATGATGCAGATTTTTCATATCGTTCAAATAAATATATTAAAAAAAAATTAAATTAATTTGTTGTGTTTCAATGTAGTTCCTTACCGTGTGAATTATCCATGCATTTTGTAACCGAGATCATGACTATTGACTAGTATATTCGTTTGGCAACGTTCTCGAATTAAAATAGAGAAAGAATTAAACATATCTCATTTCAAGTATTTTAGACAAAATATTACACGATTATTTTCATTTTGTACACAAGTTTTTTTACGAAAAATCCGAAAGTGACCAATCTAAAAATTCCGATTCTAATGTATCGCTCAAAGGAATCAGGTAAAATACTACAAAGGGTCGGTATTTAGCTGCGGCTCATGGCACGCTTGCACAAAGGAAGCGATCAATTGCGCGTGTAATATAAACGAGCAATTCTATTAAAAATTAAAGTTTGAGTAAAAATCCTTAAAATTCAAGGCTAGTAATCGTGGTTGAAATTTTTTTCCCCTCGACTCGTGTAAGTGACTAGTATTGTCAAAATTGCATAAAACCTAAGAGGATTAAAATATTAGCTCAAAATTAATAACATACTTCATTTTAATACAAAAGTTTATTTACTTTTTAAAGGTCGTTTTTATACAACAATGAAAATTTATAAATTAGTATTTAGAACGTTTGCATTAAATTTTATACGTTCATTGAGTTCTAAAAAGATAGCGATGCGCCGAATTAACGTGAACTTTAAGATTAGCACAATTTGAGAAATTCTTTTTGCATTAATCACATGTATGAGGGACTTTATTATGCATCGAATCGACGTGGATTTTAAGCTGATCCTTTCGTACAAATGTCTCCAAGCATATAACACATTTATGAGTAATTTCTCTATGTACCGAAAAAAGGTGTCTTTTGAGATTACATTTTTGTGTGAATGTCTTTTCGCACGTATCACATTTATATGTGATACCAGTATGCACTGCATCGATGTGGGTTTGGAGATAACCCTTTTGAGAGAACATCTTTCCGCAGATATCGCATGTGGGAGTTTTACCATTATGTATCGCTTCAACATGTTTTTTGAGAGAATCTTTAAATGAGAATGACTTTCCGCATAAGTCACAGGTATGAGTAATTTTATGATGCACCGATTCGATGTGTATTTTAAGATTACTCTTATGTCTGAATGACTTTCCACATGTATCATAAGAATGAGTGATTTTACCATTATGCACCGAGTTGATGTGGGTGCGAAGATTACTCTTTTGAGAGAACGTCTTTCTGCAGATATCGCATGTGGGAGTTTTACCATTATGCATCGCTTCAATATGTTTTTTGAGAGAATCTTTAAGTGAGAATGACTTTTCACATATATCACAGGCATAAGTGATTTTATGGTGCACCGATTCGATGTGTATTTTAAGATTGCTCTTACGCATAAATGACTTTCCACATGTAACACAAGAATGGGTGATTTTCCGATTATGCACCGAGTTGATGTGGATTTGGAGATTACCCTTTTGAGAGAACGTCTTTCCGCAGATATGGCATGTGGGAGTTTTACCATTATGTATTGAATCAATGTGGGTTTGGAGATTATTCTTGTGAGAGAACGTCTTTCCACATACTTCACAGGCATGAGTGATTTTATGGTGCATCGAGTCGATGTGTTTTTTAAGATTGCTCTTATGTCCGAATGACTTTCCACATAAGTCACAGGTATGAGTGATTTTATGGTGCACCGAATCGATGTGTCTTTGGAGATTGCTCTTCTGTCCGAATGACTTTCCACATGTAACACAAGAATGGGTGATTTTCCGATTATGCACCGAGTTGATGTGGATTTGGAGATTACCCTTGTGCGAGAACGTCTTTCCGCAGATATCGCATGTAGGAGTTTTACCATTATGTATCACTTCAATATGTTTTTTGAGAGAAGCTTTAAGTGAGAATGACTTTTCACATATATCACAGGCATAAGTGATTTTATGGTGCACCGATTCGATGTGTATTTTAAGAGTGCTCTTACGTCCGAATGACTTTCCACATGTAGCACAGGCATGAGTGATCTTATAATGTTCTGAATCAATGTGGGTTTTAAAATTGCCCTTTAGCGAGAACTTCTTGCCACATACGTCACATTCGTAACCTTCTCGGTAATTATGAACCGAATTGATGTGCGTTTGGAGATTACTCGTTTTAGAAAACGTCTTTCCGCAGATATGGCATGTTGGAGTTTCACCATTATGTATCGCTTCAATATGTATTTTGAGGTAACTTTTAAGTGAGAATGACTTTCCACATAAGTCACAGGTATGAGTAATTTTATGATGCACCGATTCGATGTGTTTTTTAAGAGTGCTCTTACGTCCGTATGACTTTCCACATTTATCACAAGAATGGGTGATTTTCCGATTATGCACCGAGTTGATGTGGATTTGGAGATTACCCTTGTGCGAGAACGTCTTTCCGCAGATATCGCATGTAGGAGTTTTACCATTATGTATCACTTCAATATGTTTTTTGAGAGAATCTTTAAATGAGAATGACTTCTCACATACATCACAGGCATGAGTGATTTTAAGATGCACCGAATCAATGTGAGTTTTTAAATTACCCTTCGTTGAAAATTTTTTTTCACATACATCACAAGTTTGGTTGATTTTACGATTCGGCATGTCAGCAATGTGTTCTTTGAGTTTATGATTATAATTCACATTTTTCATAACTGTTTTTCTGTTCTTTGGCTCGCTGATTCTGCAGTTGGAATTCATATTTAACTGTTTTACGTCATTCACTAGTGATTCTTTTTTTACTGCATCCAAAGCTTCTAATTTAATTATGGGAATGTTGGGCTTGACGTCTTCACATTCAACAATTATTTCCACTTCGTCGTCGAGTTCACTTCCAAGATTTTCTTCGCTTTTTTTTATTGTTTGAATCTGTTGAAAAATCAGTACTATTATATTTTATTTCCATGAAAAGGAAAACAACTACCAGTTTCTTAGAATTATCAACACTTACCGAATTTTCTGGCGGGAATGGTAAGAGTAGGAAGTTTTTGAGATCAGGCGACTCATCACTAGGCTCCTCTTTTATTCTGAAATAACCTCAATTACATCAAGTATATTGTTATGATTTTTTTATACCAGCGGCCCGAAAGTGACTACTTCCCTGCCGCTGGGCAAAGCGAGAAGAGCGATTTTCGGGCCACTCTGTATGAAAAATAGTATACAGGCCTATTCCGCGAAAAAAGAAAGCCCCAGAGCACGTATTTATCGACCTCGGCTTCGCCTCGTTCACTAATTACACGTACTCGGGGACTTTTCTGTTTTTCACGGCCTAGGGCAGTAATATACTATTTCGTATAGTTTCATTCTCATGAAGTAAAAATTACCTGATGGCACAATTGAGTATATCACTGGATTCCATCGTTCTCTCTTGGAATTTCGATAACAAGTAACCTTTCCGTGATGATTTCACATATAAAACTAACCAAACACGAAAAGACAAGCTGGGAGCGATGTGCTCTCTGCTCGCTTTATCACGGAAAACTATACGTCTGTGCGAAGAGCTCCAGCTTAGAGGCACAGATCAGCAAGAAACACCGCATCGGGCAAACGGCACGGCACACACACAGAGCCCCGCGCGGCGTAAACAACAGAATGATCACAGATCGTATGCTGTTCAAAATATTTCGAAAACTGCATACGTACTTTTTGGATGATTTTATAATACTTTTTACTCTCTGAAATTTTTCTGTAAAGTTGATACAATGTTCATCAACAATTTAATGTTTGCTAGAAGTCTTACTTTTTTAAGGTAATTTTTTTTTAGTAACTCGAAGCTATAAAGCTAAAAAGAGAGTCAGAGAAAAGTTACGAATGGTTCTGTTTCACGTCGAACGCACGGGTGATTTTTCGTCATAAACGAATGCACCACTCTTATACATGAAAAGAATACCAAGCGTATATCACCATATAGGTTACTCGTGCCTACCGCGCCTCGAGGACTCCTCGCGCATATGAGTTTGGCAGGCTGCAGCGCGCGGCAACAACAACAGCAGCATCAACTAGAGAGCTCGTAACACTAATCCGCCTCGTTTAAAGCCAAAACGAGTCGCCCGCGGGGCCGCTTCTCGTATACACTTACGTACGCGCGTATATCGATCTTTTCTCTACCTACCGAAAAATCGTTATCTCGGCCGGACAATCGGATATACATAAGCGTAACGAGGCTCGTGCAGATATTATACATATTATTGGAGCTACTCGTCTGTGCCGGGACCCGAGGCCATAGGAGCACTACTGCGCTGTACAAGTGCGTAAAAAATACTCGTGCGCAGCTACTCCATCGATCAGCGGGCGATTTAGGCGATGCAGATCGGTGCAATCGACTTAGCGTCGAATCGTTATTTTTCTTTTTTTTTTTTAGGAGTAATGATTAATTCGAGGCTAAAGACCCGCTCCGAGGAGCGAAAAAAATACTTTGCCCCTCTCTCTCTCGAGATACGTGCGTGCGTGTGCAATAACTTATGGTGCATTTAATGTGTAATATATATTTCAAAGCCTGTGCGTGCAGTGCACAGCTTCTGCGAGCTCGATATATATATCGATTCTTGACGCTCGTTCGTTTTTTTTTCTTCGTCTTGTTTTTATTTCAAAGCAATTACGATCGCGGCTCGTGTCCGCGAGGAGATATTTCAAAGACGAAGTATAAAAATATATCGGCAATTAAAAGCGTTTAAATTCGGCTCGGAGCGTCGATGCTCTCAATGCTGGTGACTTTTATGCCCGACGGAGTCGCCGAGCTAGCAATAAAATATGATTGAAACGTCATCAAAAACAAATATAAAACGTTACGCAATGATACACGTCGAATCCACGCGCATTATCATCATCCTCGTCTCGTTCCGCTGCTGCTGTATATATCGGCTTTATCGATCTCTGCGCAGCTTATATGAAGCAGATCCGAAACTCGGCGGGGAGCCGCCCACGAGCCGCTACTTTAATGCCGCAATAGACGCGCGCGCAAATTTCCTCGAACGAGCCGAGCGTCGAAAAATCTATAGGCCGTTGCGATATGGGCAGTTTGGCGATCGCTTGGACCTTACCTTACATATGAATATAACGCGTAATTTTGTTACTTTTTACTCGTAAATCATCGTACTACGAGGGGCCCCTCTCGTTAAACTTAATGCCCTATGTGCAAAAATCGCCTCTCTGGGCTCTCCTTCCAAGGCGCGCGGTGTAAAAAAGAGGCGCTAGACGCGCAGATGTTTCCGTTGTCGTGTGTGTACGAGAAAAAATTCGGATATATATATCGACGATCGATATACGTACGCGCGGGGCGATCCGATCGCGGCGATACCGATAACGATCGCCGCAGACAGAACCCGACCATTTTTTCGAGGGGTCAAATTAGTAGTGAGCAAGCATTTCTAGCCCTTCTTCTTCTTTCTCGAATCTCTCTTCCGAAGAACAATATGCTCGCAGACCGATCGCAATCGCTCGGAACAGGGCGCTGAAGCCGATCGAGCGTGCCAAATTGCTCATACGCATGCCGTTAAAGCGCATTAACACGTGTGGCGTCCAATGCGTTACATATATTATGCATAAACTGTATTGACTTTCATTTGGCTTGCTCATTGGCTCGACAGAGAATTTTTCATCCCGAGACTTGCAGTCGCTAATCTGTATATGATCGATTACGATCTCTCTCTCTCTCAGCGGCTCTGGTCGCGATCGCGCGGCGTTAATGTTTAAGCGCCCGTAACGCACCATTAATCATGACGCCGATCGAGAGTGTGTGGAAGACGCGTTGTGATGTGTAGAGCGCCACGTTAACGCCACGTATATACGTTACGATTTCAAGGAATGCAAAATGGTAATACGCGTATAAGAACAAAGCCACGAGGCGGGGATATCGTACGAAATTAATTCAACAATCAGCGAGTGTATAACAACGCTTAATTTTAGGCCAATTTTCCGCGCTCGTGCACACGTCTCTATTAAAATATCCTTTCGAATCGGCTCTCTCTACAAAGCAAACAGCGCCGAAATGTATATATGATAAATCGTTTAAATTCTCGTGAAGCGCTTATACGAAAAAGAGTCAAATATATATCAATATATATTTCTGCCACTCATTGTGAATTCTCTCCATGCGCGCGATTAATTCGATAATTACGTTAACACTTTTTGATATGCCAATGTCGGCGCGATAGGTCCCCGTTGCCACCCAACAGCAGCAGCTATGAAACACAGCTGCCATCAGCCGGGCCTGTAATTATCGCAACTCGAGCGCGATTAAGAATCGCCTCCGCCGCACACGTACACACACCTCTAATCCTTTTTGCGGCTGGCAAACTTGCGGCTATGATTAAAAAGTATATATCTCGCTTTATTTTTCCTCGCGCGTCCACACACGATGACATAATAATCAAGCGGCACACGTAGAAACGAGCGCCAGTTTTTTCTCTCTCTCTTTTTATTCGATATATATTAGAGCTGTTTATTTTTCCTCCCCCTCCAGCGATATCTCTATACGTGGCGCTGAACCTATACGCAGTTCCTGCGTTAATCCTTTAAACTTCCTTGAAATTAAAAGCCGATCTCGGCCCGGCCTAAGTATTGATCCGCGCGAGATTCGTTACATGATCTACGGTGGTCAGCTGAGCGGTGCAGCAGCACATGTGTTTGCTCGCGTAAAAACGAGAGCCTCGATATTCGATTGGCGATATAAGTCAAAAAAAAAAAAAAAAAAAGATCGAACTTACACACACGTGTGTTGCGTTGTGTGGGCGCAGCTACATTAGGTGGTATTGTTTCGATTATGCTAATTCCCTATATGTATATACCTACAGAAGCAGCAGCAGCTGGAACACCCGCCCCCGTAACGCTGCTGTCTAATACGTAAGAAATTTTATACGTAGGCTCGATCGAACTTTTTTTTTCTTTTATTTTATATATTAAGCAGCAACGTGAAATATGGACGGATCAATTTTTGCGCGCGCGCGCGCCACGAGGCTTTTTTTTTTATTTTGAGTAAATCACGCGGCAAGAAGAAGAAACCCTTCGACCGTATTTAGGGCCCCGGAGCGCAGCTCGTGTGTGCCATGCCGATCATCTGTTAGTGCAAGATGAGCGCGGGGCCCACCCCAAAGCGCATACGCGCACTTTTATACATGCGCGCGGCTAATTCTAAATCATCGGCGTATTAAACGAGATAAACGCTGTGCTTCACTTTTTTTTTTAAACTTTGTTTTAGTCAAAGTTGAAGATTTAATTAGCGCAGGTCGTTCCTCTCGATCGGTTATTTTTCGTCGGTAATGCTCTGTATATAATGTTCATTATCTAACGATAGTGGAAAATTTAATCAAAATTTGGTATATCTGAGTCATAACGATCGTAAATCAGGTGATTAAAAATAGTCACAACAGGAAGCATCTGGTTTTTTTGTGGAAAAAACCTATGCAACCGGAACACAAATAAAGCAAGACGTTCAAAATTGTATCGTCTTTATTTTCTAAACGATTTGATTGCTTTGCTAAAAATAACTTTGAAAGTTAATTTTTGTTTGTTATTATCTCGGAGGACGATCGTCGTTGCAGGTTGCAACATTTTATGCTCCTGTAAGCTCGAGGAGAGGATATTTTTTTTTTTACTATAATTTGCGAATTGTACAATTGATTTAGATTGATTTTTTGATTCCCTTAAAAATTCACTCGTGACGACGACCACCGGGTCGACGCTGATTGTGCCCGCCGCCGCCGCCGCCGCCGAGCACGACGGGAGTACGTCCCTCGCGACGCGCCTGACGCTCGGCACGACGCTCGTCGGCCACGTCCAGAGCCGAGGGACGATCGCGGCGTCTGTCGCCTTGCGGCAGCAGCTGCTGCACCGCCGGTCGTTCCTGCACGGGAACCCGTTGCTGTTCGGCCCGACCCTTGGCGCGAGCACCCGCGGAGGCCTGTCCGGCGCCGGAGTTGGCTTTCGAGTTGGACTGGGCGTCGCCCTCGACGAGGATCTCGCCGGTGATGATGCCGTTGATCTGGGTGACGACCTGAGAGCCGGAATTGGCACCCGCAGAGCCTCGACCTGCACCGGGTACGCGTCCCGCGGCGTTGGCTTGGGCGTCGGTCAGGGCGTCGTTTCTGATCTGGCCGTTGACGATGCCGTTGACCTTGGTGATGACGTTGCCGGCCGAGTTGGCATCGGCGGCACCACCCTGACCACGACCTTTACCGGTCGAGTCGCTGTCGGAGTCGGACAGACTCTGGCCCTTGACCAGCAGATTGCCCTGGATGATGCCGTTTACGTTGGTCTCCACCAGGGACTTGGAGTTGGCCCCGGATCGGCCGGCCCCGGCGGCTTTGGAGTTGGACTGGCCGCGACCGTCGACCTCCACGTCGCCCTCGAACACACCGACGATGTTCGTCAGCACCTTCGAGTCCGAGTTGGCCCCGGATTGGCCATCCTGGACTGTTGATAAATTTTACTTATAATAAATAAATCTGCCGACTGCGAGTGGAATTTTTTTTTTTTATTTTTTTTTTTTTTTTACTTGCCTGGTACCGCGTAAGCGCCGCAGCAGATCAGCGCCGCGAGCACGAGGAGCGTCGTCGAATTTTTCCGATTTGCCATCGCGACACCGAGCGAAAACATACAAACGAGTGAGCTGTCATCCTACCTGGCTCGAGCTTTTATATCAAACACACGCGATGCTAATTGTCGAAGTGTCTGTTTGTGCACTTGCGCTTTTAAAGCAATATTTTCAGAGCGCTTGTAAAACTTTTTTTTTTTCTGCTCTTTTTTTACAAGTCCGAAAGTTGGGATGTTTGAAATTAAAATATTATCGCAACGATCATGTTAAAAAAAAAAAAAAGAAATTCAATTTATCCTATATACGGTGAGAATTATGCATCTCTCCGAAGAATATCGCGAAATTGCATCATTCTGTCTGCGGATTGGAAAATATAATCTCTCTGGGTAATTATCGTTACGTTAACCGATCAGAGACATGTCAATTCGAGCTTCGGTAAAAGGATTTGATAAAGACGTCGCGCGTATATAAAGTTTATTTCCTGTTTGAAAAGCTGCGAGCATTGATTAAAGCGATCGAGTTTTTATAATCGTCGCTTGTGTTATTTGTTCAAGTGAAAGCTCATTGTTTTATGTTAGAAGTCGATAATTACATTCTGGGACTCTCGACTTTTCTTTGCTAAACCGATGTATAATGATCAATCGAATCGAAGAAAAAGTCATCGTGAGTCTTGCGCGTATCATAACTAACATAATACAAATGATAACGTGCATCAAATGTCAAAAAGTTAAAGATTATACTTCGAATAACAGTTTTTATCGAAATTTTTTCGAAAATCCCCAAAATAATCTATAATTAGTAGTAGCAAACATAGTATACATTTTGATGTTTTAAGGTATAATTCTGTTTATTAAACATTTTCATAATTCATTTATATAATGTGTGCCTTAATGATGATGGACTTGTGCGAATCACAAAAATGTGCTGCATAAAAAGTCTCAATATTCGTTTAGCTCGTACAGCAACTTGAAAATATTGGTATAAGATAGTTATTACGAAATTTTTCAAGAATATTCGTGATATAGTACAGTTGATTTAGTCATTCAATACTCTGACAGCCCTGCCATTTTAGCTATAATTATATAGAATTTCATTTCGTTTTCTTTTTTTGTTTCAAAATATCTAATTAATTGTGTAAGAATGTTCACAGTTGCAAAAAACTAAAGTAAAACATTATTCTCCATTATTATTTATACGTCTATAAATATATTTTTACATGCATACATTGTAAAATTATAAAGTACTATTGAACAGACAAAAGTTTTAATACAATACAAAAATACGAATTCATTCGCTCATTCAAAAATTCATCACTCATCACTTTCATGCTTGTTTATGTATTCGAATTCAACTTTTTCTTGACTTTATAAATTTTTGTATATTTATCTGCTTTGTTTTGTTCTACCTTGTAGATTATTTAGTCAATAGAAGTATGATACCTAAAGTTGCAAAACTGCAGATATTGAGTTCATTAAACTGAGTCTTTGTTAGTTCTGCAGTTCTCTTGGATCATTTTTTAGCTGTAAGTGCATTGGATAACCAATCCATGGCTTGATCCAGTCCTTCACCACGTTTTGCAGAGGTTTTAAAAATTTGAAACGTACGATTTTTCAAAGCATCTAAACCAAGGGCTTGATGAACTTCCGCTACTGACAAACAGCCTGGCATGTCTTGCTTATTGGCCAGAACCACTAAAATAGCATTTTGTAGCTCATCTTCCTGAAATATCATTTAATGCATGTTCAAAAATTCCTGTTCACTCGAGGCATGTAATTAAGCCATTTATTTTCCTTTGATATCAAAATTGTGAATTACTGAATTATTATTAATAATTTATCCTTACCCTTAACATGTACAATAATTCATCTTTAGATATTCCTATCCTGTCTTTGTCAGCTGAATCAACAACATAGATTATTGCATCGGTATTAGAATAATAACATCTCCAATAAGGTCTGCAAAGGAAAATAAAGTTTGAGTGAGTAAAATATAATATTTACAATAATTGATAATTCTATATCATGGTAAACAATTTATTCAAACTCATATTTAATATGATTTATTTGTCAGTGATTGAAGGGGCATACTGCAATACTCATGTGTCATATTGAAGCACATACACTTATTACATAAAACTTGTATGCTTATTAAGCTATAAATTTCAATCATTTATTTTGATATTTTCTATCAAATACTTAATGGCACATTTATATTTAACTAATACCTAAATTAGCAACTAAAAAATATCTAAATATTATTTACCTTATACTTGTTTGACCACCTAAATCCCACACTTGAAATTTTAAATTTTTGTAAGTCACCTGTTCGACGTTGAAGCCTATTGTGGGAATGGTAGTAACAACTTCTCCAACTTGCAATCTTTTAAATATTAGATAAAATTATTATTCAATATGTTTTTAATTGATAATATTTACAAAAATACAATCAATATGAAATACCTGTACAGTATAGTAGTTTTGCCTGCTCCGTCTAAACCTAATATAAGGATTCTCATCTCTCGACTGCCAATAAGGCTACGAAAGTAACTCATTATTCCACCTAAAAGTTCAACATAAACACAAGTACATTAAACAATTCTATTAAAAAACTGTGTAAATATTTAAATTTAACCTACCCATGTCAATGACTTTTTACTTCACAGCATGAAATGGTAATCAGTCAAATGCTTGTAGTCTCCCTCTAGGTTAAAAAATGTATACACACTCTATGATTTATCACTATTTTAATTTTAAATCGGTATAAAAATTGAACAAACTATCGTTATAAAAGAAATTATGCTTACAGAGTACAAAAACTTTGTTAACACACGCGACACAGGTGGGATTAAAAGATGTGTGTATATATACGTGTCGCTTGTCAGCTGGTACGCGATTTACTTAGTACATTGCTCTTGCCTCATAGATGCATGTTGATAAGCTCGAAACGTCGCTGATGCTCGAAAAGCAATTAAAAAAGTAAAAACGTAAGTGTCCGAGTGGTGATCGATGCACACGAATTGGTCATAAAAATGTTCACGAAGAAATCAACAATTCATTTTATCGGGCGCATTAATCGGATTTGCACAATGCGTGCACATGCGATTGGCGAAATTGCAGAGTTACTGTCCCGCTGTATTTTGCAGACGAACATACGGCCGTACGAACACATCTTCTAATGAATTTTTACCTATTGAGAAAATGTTGATGAAAAATTCCTGAATTCCAGGCCTATAATTGTTTTTATGAGAAACATTTTTTTTCATTCAAGTTTGTTGTCAAATTTTAAGATGAAATTTGTAATTTATTATGCGACGAAAAATGCAAATCCTCATCAATTTTTGAATAATTATTCAAGTATTCTCTTAAATTTCAGAAAAAAATATTAAAACTAATTGTTTGCAAGTAAATTTCAAAAACTAGTTCAAAATTAAAGTCGCTCCACGGGTAATGTAACGTCACGTTGTCATGTTTCATAGGCGGCCGGCTTCGTCGATTGTGCCGCGGCAGCACTGCCTTATGCTGGGATCTTGCAGGCTCGTAGAGTGTCCACGCACGAAGCCTGTTAAAATAGAACACGAGGGTTTACGCCCGTAATTTTGTTTATTGTTTACGAAAATCATAACAACGGGTATCAAAATGCAAGGACCCGCCGTATGCATGGACTGTTCCACCGAGGATCAGGTAAGATTCGGCTCTGTCAAGTTTTAGTTGTCACCTCTCGCGACTGCTCTAGCTGGCTTATCGAGCATATAGGTTATAAAAAGCCAGATGTCGATGCGATTGATACAAAAAATATATATAATTTACGATATAATTTTAGGCTCAAGAGCTGAGAGTTTATTTCAAAAGCCTTGGGGCTGAGATCAGTGAAGAGAAATCACCAAAAGGAATCGAAGATGATTTACACAAGATCATTGGTGTATGCGATGCTTGCTTCAAGGAAGGCAATGAACCTGAAATCGAATCTATCCTTAGTGATATCGTGTCTATAATGATCCTTGTTCCAACTGAACGCGCTGAGAACATTGTATTGGCTTTTTGCGACAAGTTGACGAAAGCCACCGGTCACAAATTGGGCCTTGTTTGCCTCAAAGCGTGAGTATTCTCAATAACAGCTGACATGTGGATGATTTCCATTATATTATTGTGAATGAAAAATTGGATTGTCCATTTTTATTTATTATTTAGTTTGTGGCTGCTTTTCCAATCATTACCTGAAGACTCCTCCATGAGGTATCACGTCTACTACCACTTGGTTCAAATCGCCAGGAATGTTGATCAAGTTAAAGCAGTATACAATGGTGTTGACCAATTGAAACAACAATTTGCCACATGCCCACCAGCTAACGAACAAATGCAAAAACTTTTACGTTTGTTGCATGAAGTTCTCTTAGGATGCAAGCAAGGGTATGTATTTTTACAAAATAATTGATTCTAATATTTATTGCTTTATTTATTCACACACTTATTCTAATTTCAAATTTTAAATTATAGAGAACAAGCTGCTGCTGTAATGGTTGAGTTATTAGGAACTTACACTTCAGAAAATGCTTCAGCTGCTAGAGAAGATGCTCAACGCTGCATTTTGTCAGCTTTGGCTGATCCTAACACCTTCCTTTTAGACCCACTCTTGGCTCTGAAACCAGTGAGATTTTTAGAAGGAGAGCTCATTCATGATCTTCTCCTTATTTTTGTTCAAGAAAAACTTCCAGCTTATTTGAAATTCCACAAAGACCACAAAGAATTCGTAGAGAGCAATCTTGGTCTGAACCATGAACAAAATATGAAGAAAATGAGGTTGTTGACTTTCATGCAGCTTGCTGAAACTAATCCAGAAATGTCATTTGAAACTGTTCAAAACGAGCTTCAAATTGAAGAGGACAAAGTTGAAAGCTTTATTATTGATGGTAAGTTGTTATTACAAACAAAATTAATTCAAGATTAAAACCCTTATAAACGCTTATTCATTATTATGATGATTAAGTAACTAATTTAAAAAATTTAAGGGAATAGAAAATGTATTAGTACTGGCTTGAAGAAACTATTTTCTTGAAGTTATCGTAATATACTACACCTTCAAATAATAATTATTTTGATACTTGATTAATTTGAATAATAGATCAATACATGAGTAAAAAATAACTAAACTTGACTTTATTATTCTAGTTTTGAAAACAAAACTCGTAAGAGCCCGCATGGACCAAGCTGGCAGGAAAGTGTTGGTCTCCAGCACAATGCATCGTACATTTGGAAGACCACAATGGTTGCAGCTGAGAGATTTACTTGCTGCGTGGAAAGCCAACCTTAGTGGTGTGCAAGATGGCATGAAGAGTGTAGCATCTGCTCAAATGGAACTTGCTGCTAAAAGTAAAGCACCAATTGTTCACTGACACACGAAAAAATTTCGCTAAGCTTGAAAAATGAAATCATCTCTGGAAAGATTAGCAAGAGGACATAAAAACGTCCTCCTCCTATTTTTAGGTATATATGTTAATTAAAATGTATGTATTGTATCTAAGAAATCAAGTATCCAATACAAGCACAAATAAATGCTGTTTCATATAGATAAAAAGAATTTCATAATTTATACCATTCTAACATTATCAAAAATATAATAAAAAATATAATGATGGGTAAAAAAAAGTATAACGCTTGATTACTTGTTTTTTGACAGAGAAAAATTAATAAACTATTTGAAAAATAGTTTAAAATAATCTCGTCAATTTTTATTCAATTGTTTTCTCATGTTATGAGCATTCATTACATATTTTGGCATGAAAACTGTAGTTACATCGTTGTTTCTCTTCTTTATATGTTTCACTTTTTCCATTGAAATAACTTTACAAGTTTATAAGCATTACTGCCATGAGTATTCAAAGTCAGTCACGATTTTTCAAATTATTTTTTGAATAAATCCATTTATTTGTTTAACTTATACGCCCTTTTCTGCTTCCAGTTGGCGTAAGCACAAGCTCGATTTCTATATTAAAATTTATCAATTTGAACAAAAAAAGATTTGGAAATCTTTCTAAATGGTCATTAAGCTTACTTGCATCGAAATTTTTTTCGATTAGAAAACCAAAGTTGTTCAAAATGTAGGACAACATATTCAAATATTTGATATGCATTTTCTAACTTTAATAATGAAAGAATTTAATAAAACTTGTTATCAACGACTATAGAAAATATATGTATTTCAGAAATTCATTTGCAAAAATGAGTCAAAAATCTCTCATCATTATCAAGAATATACAATATGCCAAAAATAATTTTTTTTCATAAATTTCATTTAGACGACGCTAATATAAAACAATCAAAGTTGCATTAATTAAATGTGTCACCTGTAAGTATGTAGAGATGATTGGATTTAACATAATACAAGTTCGTCAAATTACAGTAATGATTTCTAATATTACAGATCCAATTGCTTTTGACTTGCTACATTTTTTGTTATATATTTATATACTGTAAAAAATTCAGCTCAGTTTCATTTTTATAAGTGAGAATGTCAATGACTTAAATATTGCAACAACGGTCGATATAAACATACTAAAAAACGGTGGGTTTTAATCATGTCATTATATTGAGAGCCTATAATTTCTAATTTACAATGAAAAAAATAAAAATCTATTCTGCTCTTCAGAATTACAAGCAAGTTTTAAAAAAACAATTAAAACAACTTATTTCTCAGTTATTAATGTTTGACGTTAAAGTATTAGAAAAATTCAAGGAAATGTTTCTTCAGGCGTAAAAGAACTACCTGAATAAATTTAACATTTGATGCCACATATGTGATTACTGACTGAATGCTGCTACCATCTCAAAATTATTAAAAAGTATAAATAATAGCTACTGACTTCAATGTCATTATCAATAAAAAAAGAAAGTTATAATCACATGGGTTAGCGTTTCCAATTCATGAAACGCTGTTAATAGTCCTCACTTATTTCTTCAAGTCAAATCTGCGTTGAAAATCGAGGACGTGGTAAATCGCCAAAGACTGTATCACCATGTACACTTTTGGCTAGAGCTTTTATAGATGCTTGTATACTACTAGGATCCATAGAATTCACTGATATCTAAAAATAAACATATTTAGGTAAATGATCAAACATTTATCAAAAAAATGAAAAGGTCAACTAAGCAATATCATACTTGTTCTTCATCGTCATCATGCCTATCGAAACGCTGACCGAAAGCATGAAAGGTAGGCACAGTTACAGGCAATGATTTAGCTATCGCTGGATGATCGCTCCTGTGATGTCTAGTTAATGTAATAACTTCAGTAGCTGAATCTAAACATATCAAAAATATATCATTGTTTGCCTGTTGTATGAAAAATCAATTTGTTCAAAAGCATTTAAATACCTTCAGCATCTGATTCAATTTCTAAAGCTTGCAAAGGCCTGATGGGCATATTGTCAATACCTTCAAGTTCAAATAAGAATTCGTCATCGAAGTTGCTTCTTGTTTCATTGTTTCCATTCTAAAAGACACATCATAGTTCAATATTTTTTTTCAAAAGTCCTGAATAATGGTCAATATATTAATATTTACAAGTGAATGGATTTCTTTCACTGCTTTATTTGATGATTGATGACGGGCAGCATTTTTTGAATTCAAGCGTACTACTGTAGTATCTACATCATCTTTGGGAGCAGTTTTATTTGAAATGTTTTCTGCAGTTGCTGGAGGAGTAGCAAAATTAGACGAATTCTTCGAATTTTGATGTTGATCACATATTATCCTACAAGAAATTATTTTTTATATTGATAAGCAATGCTTGTATGCAAAAATATTTGAAATCAAGAAATTAAAAGCACCTTGTGAGCACATTATGTTCTTTATGTACACGTTCTCTGAACTCTTCTAAAATATTATATTGTTCTTTTGTAAAATCACGAATTTTTTTATCTATTGTTCTCACTTGATGTTGGATAGCTTCTTCTAATTGCTGTTCTAATCCAGTAAGAGCAAATCTTAAATTATTTGAAAGTTGGGATACTGAAAAATTTTCAACAATTTTTACAAGTGAAATCTTTATAACAGCAATCTACAAATGAAAACTTGTAATATTCATACCAGAAAATTTTGTTGGTGTTTCCAAAGGATCAAACATATCATCAGTGACTTTTATAACTATTCTAAAAGCTAGACTATAGTTTGGACTAGCTTTTAATTTCTTGATTTCATCTTCGGAGGTCTGAAAAATTAGTAATTATTAATAAAAAAGCAGAAGCTACTAGCTATTTCCATATACAATCATTATAAAACTATTCAAATCAAATATTACAAATAACGAAACAAATGTAAATTGATTATTCAATGACTGTTAAATATTCATTAACTCACAATTAGTTCAGAGCTCATCAAAACCATAGCAGCTCCAAATTCTCCATGAACTGCATGAGTTTTCATATCACAATTGTAACAACGATAGATAGCCCATGGCCCAACATGTCGAGTTTCAACAAGGCCAGGCTGTTCTTTAACAACATTTTCCAATTCCTTTGTAGTAACGAGCTTCTGTAAAATAGAAAATTCATTGGCATTATTAAAAGATATAATCAGACATATGTAAAATTGAATGATTTGAATTATTTTATAACTCAAATGATTGATACTAACATTTTTGAAAAATGAGTCGTCACATACATCAGCATTCAGCTCCATCTCATCAATATTGACATGATGCAGCTCATTGGTTTTAGTTGTGATGGATACATTCAAACATTTGCATGTAATATACATTTTAAGTATTTTTCATTAATCTTCAAATTGAAGATATCAAATGAAATTTTTATATTGATAAATTATTGATCTGTTCTTCTTCGTCTGATATTATTTTTCCTATGAGCTCAATGACATTTTCTCAAATTGTTTACAGCTCTGCACCAATACCTAAAAAAAGAAATATTATATGAATCACAATGAAGAGTAATAAAACTCATGTATTATTATTTCAAGTATAAGTGAAAAAAAGTTTGATTTCTTGAAGTACTAGTGTAAGGAATTGAACAATCATAGATTTGTATCATTTTTACGAAAAAAATACGCAAAAAAGACGAATTTATAATGAAAAGTGAATCCAAATAGCGACAACGATTGGTGGAAAACATCAGTCATAAAAATTGTCAGTGTAAATATGCATTAAACATTTACGTGATTTGCAAAAGCGTTCGTCAGTTGAAAAATAATAAATAAGCCGAATGATAAGTGCTCCGAAATCAGTAAACAGCAGTATACGATCGAATTTCGTTTTTTAAACAAAGCCAACAGCGAGCGAGTCAACAATCCAAAATATGGAGTCCAAACGAGTAACGCGAGACTATCGTTAACGCGTTTAACGGGGGTGTAACGATACACAATTACAAAAATTCGAAGATGTTATTTGCCGACTCTCATGATAGGTAATAGAAGAAGTATATATAAAGAATATAAAATTGTCCGAATGTTTGAAAACTCACGTACACACGCGTGCACATTGCAGAGAACACAGACACGCACACAGACAGGCGGACGCACATAAGTGACCCTTCGAAGTTTCTGAATTATTTGCGATAAGAGCACACGACCAACAACCCAAACACACAAACTTTATCGACGAACGGAGAGCAATTTCGAGCAATATAACGCGTCTAACGTATATAAACGCGTGTCTATATAATATATAAAACGTACTTATATGTGTGCGGTATCAAGGACAAATCGAAAGTATAGACACACAAAGAAAAGAGAGACATTTACACGGCTCATAGAGAGGCACACGATCGTATAGACGTGTGCAGTGTTATAGCGAGTACTGCTGCTCGAAAAGGGCATAAAAATCGCCGTCACTCCGATTAAACGTAAACAAATTACGTAGTCGTTTTCGCGGAGGAGCAGCAGCAGCAGCGGTAGCAGCAAGTATAAAGCTGCTACTCGACAAATTAATGAGGCAATTTATGCGATCGTACGTACGTGCATTTTTATATATACCCGCAGAGACAGAGACAGAGAGAGAACCGAATTCAAGTGCCCAGCGGTATAGCAGCGTTGGAAGTAAACAGGACACGGTGTATAATATTTAGGGCTTCTCTCGCTCGTATATACACGTATAGGAAGTATGCGGAATGAAGGGTATTTTAAACCTTTGTATCGTATGTATCGTACACTGTACACGCGGGGCTGCACTGCACTACTGACAGAGTCGACACACAGCTGCACGTATACGTATCGAAATATTATCGCCGACGCACAGAATTCCGCAACAACAACAACGACAAAAAAAAACCAGAAAAGACGCAGAAATAATCGCTCGAAAGGCAATAATAACTTTGCAGTACCTTCGGTTTTAACACACAAGAGAGACGGACAGACACACACGGCACATCAGCAGTAGCATATATATACACACACAGGCTCTATACAATGTTCGCGATATACAGTACAAAGAAGAAAGAGAGCTGTACTGCTGCTACTGCTGCTGGCTGGCGAACTTAGTCGCGCTGTGGCGGTGTGCTGCTGCTATATACTGCACTGCGCGCGTGTGCGAATATATATATCGCTCGAATGTGTGCGTGTGCGAGAGTATAAGGAAAGCGACGACCAGCGATGCACACACGCGTGTCTCTCTGTGCGGTAACTTTAAACGCGGAGCTGCTGCTGCTGCTCGCAACACACGAATACAGAGTGTAGGTTTATATTTAATTAACGATTTATATATATACGTACTGCTGCTGCTGCTGTTGCGGCGCTTGTACTACCACTACTACTGCTTAAAATCGGTGATCGGACGTTACTATACGCGCACATTAGCACGACGGCGATATATCGATAATAATTATAAAATACGTATCACCGTGTAATAACACATCGCGCGACAAGAGCCCGGAGCAGAACTAAGCGCAGAGAGGAGAGAAGAAATACTACGAGGGACCAACACAGTTCGGAGTCAGCAGCGGCGGCGACTCGGAGCAGACCATTATGCCTCGCGCGAATATATACCACTATACTACTACTATATTACGTGCAGATAGCAACGTCGCACGATTCGACTCGGAGTAGATGTGTGTCTGTGCGTGTGCGCGACTTATGATATGTATTCTTCGTGCCCCCGCGTGTTTCGACTTATAGATATAGGCGCACTTGCACCGCAGACCACGCGGCGCGGCTTGCTTCGTTATTTTTTACTTTAATTGATTATAATTGATCGCCGAGCCGAGTAATTGTAATAACGAGTTTGGTTGTATTCTACCCCCGTTCGATAAATCGGTAAAGTACACAAGAAGCTGCTGCAGATTCATCCGACATATAGTATTTATATTTAAATATGCCGTAATGGATTGCGATAAAGATCCACGCGTACACACACACGTGCCAATGCTGTCTTACATACGTAGATATACACGAGAATCGCGCGGGCGCGCACATATCCCTATTGTTTCGCACTTGGCAAAGTAAAAGTAATCATCCATTATATAGCGGTAGAATATAAACATTACGTTATAAGTTGGATTCGACGTAAGCGAGAGCCAACTACTCCGCATTTGTACGCTTTTAAACATTCGCATTTTAGCGTATAAACAAACTTAGAGACTTAACTCGACACACGTCTCTCCTCCTCCTCCTCGTGGATCGCCATCTAGTAGTTTATATAGGAGAGAAAGTAAAAGTTCTCTTCTCGACTTATCGCCTTATTCAGTTTGTATAGTAGTTTTTTTTTTTTCGCTACTATATGCTTCGTAATGTGTGCCGTGCAGCACGTAGATACGTTACAAACGCGCGTATTATATATAAGTAGCGAAACGACAGGCAGAGATCCCATGTGCCAAAAGCACATGATCGCGGGGAGATTGACAGGCCTACACGCAGCGGTTCGCGTCTCTATATTTTTTTTCTCTATCTACTCTCATCCGCGTCCGTCCGCGTCTCGATCGCGTTAATCGCGTTATAATATGAATTTTTTTGTTTTTTTTTACGAGTGACAAAAAATAGATATGCACCATTCACATAGTTGCGCAAAAATACGACGATATAGGATGTCTCGTAGAGCGAGCGGCTCTTTTCGGCTTACGATTTCAATTCGATGATTAATTACCCGACGCGTAATTAATAATTTCTTGACGCGACAGCGAGTTTTTCCGTTTGCCAATGAGAACTAATTCGAGTCGTTGGATAGCGAAGATTAAAAAAAAAAAATTTCCTACGATATTTTTTATGTATCGAGAGCGGAGTATAGTTTTTCCAAAACGAAATATGGCAATTTTTAATATCATCGGTCAAATCGTTCGATTTCGATTGTTACTCCGCGACGATCGATTTTTTAAAAGTAATCTTATCGCGCGCGTCCAGTGTCACTCGAGATTAAATCGCTTTTTCGGGACAAATCTCATCGTCGTCGGATCGTATACGAAAAATAGTATTTGCAGCGCGTTGCACCACGATTTATTCGCCGAATTTACGTAGACTTGCACTATCGAATCGGTATATCAAACGAATACGTATAAATTTAACCAAAATTCAAGCGAACAACGTAATCGAGAAAAAAATTGAATTTTTTTTTTCGTAAATTCCATTCGTTAAGTGTCGTATTATAAAAAAATTAGCCTCGGCGATATCTTAACGACCGCCGATATCTTCTAATTATCGTTCAAATTACACATTGTATTAATCATTAATTAAATTAGATTCGTTCGTTAATTTGCCCGTATATAGTAAGTGACTTTTACAATACGACAATTAGATGTTGTATTACATTATAGATAAAATTCCGCTCTGTCGCAGAGTCTCGCGCACGTGTGTGAAACATGCGTTAATAAAGTGATCGATATTTACATAACTAGCAAACATATTATATACATGTAATGATTCGTAGACTGCGTGAACATTTCGTGATGAAAAGGTGCTGGAAGCGCGAAGATATACCGGTACCATCGTCACTCTTGCATCATGAAAAAAAAAGTCAAGTTCGGGTAATCGCGATTTTCGATAAGAATTCACAGAGGTGTAAAAGAATGACGGCCCTAAGAAACACAAGAGAGTCTCGGTGTGTAATATGGTGCGACTTTCGAACCGTAAATGTTTTTCGTCCCCGCTGTACTGCTGTTCAAGTTACCGCGTGTTACGTATAATACAGTTTCGCGGAACATCAGGTCAGGTTGTCCGTAAAAAGGCCCAGTCGCGCGTAACGAGAAAATCTCGAGAAGACGCGCTGCTGCTCATAGACTCATCCTCCCAACATTTTTCATCATTTTTATTTACATACAAAACGCGATCCTCTTTGTAGATAATCTGACTAACGAGTACGAATAAATTGCGTGTGTGTCTCTCCAAAAAAAAAGAAGTGGAGGAGGCAGCAGGTATGTCCGTGTCTGTGTCACGCGAAGCTCGCGCAATTGTCAATGAAATTTCAACGGATAAAGAGTTACTATACTTATATCTATGCGAGCACATTCGCGCTATTAAAACTACTACTACGAGTTATAAATCAAAACATTCGACACCCGACGATGAAGCGCGCGTATATGCTGCGGTGGTGGAAACGGATAAAGAGCGCCTATTATTTTTAGATACGCTTTTCTTTATTATTATTGCTTAAAACGCAGCGCAGCGCATATATATACGAGGAGGCGACCGGTCGAAGTTTATAACCGTCGCGTTTTAGCGCGATGTGCACGTTTCCGCGCGATGATGAATTTTCAACTAACACACACACACACATGCCGGTTTGTTGTCGTTGGTAAAACGTTCGAAAAAAAAAAATTAACCGGTAGAAATTTACAATCTCTGGCGTTTTTTTTTTATTTTTTTATTTTTACGCTCCGAAACAATGTGACAATAATACTACACTATACACACTCGATAAGATATAATAGGCGTGCTGCAGGCTTTAAAGAGCCGTTGGCGGGCGCGCGGAGGGAGCGCCGAGCTTTATTGTTTTTGAACGTTTTAAAATAAAATGAATATAATTGTATCGTAAATACAGAAGACACGTTCTCTCTCTCTCTCTCGTTCTGCCTATATGTACAGAGATATATTTCGAACGCCCGCACGTTTACTATATAAAGAAAAATAAAATAACCGAGTTTTCGTCGCGCAAAAATGTGTTTGTGTGTGTATATTACGCGAGAGAGTAATACACCCTATAGACCGCTGGCTGCATGCGCGGCTTATAATGGAAAAAAACCACACGGCCGACGAGAGCCGGCCCCCGAGACGTCTCCTTCTCTCTTTCTCTCTCGCTCGCGCCTCGTGCACTTTGAAACCCAACTCTCTTGCGTTGCGTTGTGTTGTGTTGTGTGTGCAACATTCGAGAGAGAGAGAGAGAGAGAGAGAGAGGCAAGTAGCGTGCTGCAGCACAGCCGGCGCACGACGACGACGAAAACAACAAAAAAAAAAAAAAAAAAAAAAAAAAAAAAAAAAAAAAAAAAAAAAAGAAAGAATGAAAGAAAGAAAAGAAAAAAAAAACACACACGGGGCACAGAGTGTCGTCGATGAACGGAGCAACATTTATCACGTTATTTTACACAAAATTGTATTTTAGCGAGCGTGAAAAATCGTCGATATCATGCACTTACCTTCGATAATTAGTTGCGATCGGGGGAGAGAGAAAGAGAGTTAAAAACGATCCGTGTACGTATCAGCTGTGTGTGGACACTGTACTGAACACAAGGCAACTGCGCGACTGTATGTTGACTAAAAAACTGGCAAGTCCCAGAGAGACGACGACGACAATGATGATGAAAAAAGTGAAAAAGCTTGCGAGCCTCGGCGAATTTACCGGCTTATATAGGCCTATGTATACTATTACTGCCACTAGTATAAAGTATAATATAGCTCGAGCCTCTCGAAGAAAGAACGGGCGACTGAACTGCCTGTCTTCGATGAGTGCGGCTCTCGGCGGCCCGCGGAATAGCGACGACGGAATAGAGCTCGTGTGTATACACACAAACGCACACATACACACGTGTATAGATATATGCGAAGTGACTGCGCGAGCGAGAAAGAGAGAGAGAGAGAGAGAGAGAAAAAATGCCGGAGAAAACAAACAGCACGACGACTTCGGTCTCGGGGGCTTGTGCTTACATACACACACGCGTATATATATTTCGCGCGTTCGTGTGTACGTGTATTTCGCGATATTCGCCGGCTATTATAACTCGCCGATGCTCCGAGCTCCGAGCTCCGTCCACGAACGGACCGAGCTAACGAACAAGTGTGCGTGCGCGCGCGTGTGTCTGTTGTGCATATGTGCGCGAATATTTCGCGAGAGTCGCGCGACTCTCTTTTTTTCGTGTATACATCACACTCTCGCGTGACTTCGGCACGAGCGCAAAAACTGACAAATACATACAGACAACAACCGGCTAGACGCGAATTATACAATTGTCGTGCGTTGTACCACGCGTAAACGTATACGTACACACTTGTCGGCGATTTTCATCGCTGAGTCATCATCGAGAGCGTCGATATATATTCACGTTATTTTGTTCGTACGCATGTTATTATTTAATACCCGCGAGAGCTATCGCGTGCATTTGAAAGCTGATGTTGACAACGAAGCGCGAGGTTCTCACAACGACGTAAATTTACCTTGGATATAGTATACAGCGGCTCGCGTCGCGATAAGAAAATGCTGACGAAACGACAAGCGGTTCTTGTGCCAAGCTGGCTGCTCCGGTTTCGAATTCACCCGCGCCGCGGAATATCGCCGCGTTTCGTGGGATAGCAGACGACGACTCTGAAAATTGAATACGTGACTGGGAGCAAGTGCCGATGGCGCGAGCTAGCTATCCGGCATCAATGGGGCTTCTCCGGTTTGACACCTATATTGTCATTTCTTCTGTACCACCTACGAATCAACTATACGGTCTATGAAATGCTCATCGCATCGATCATCGAGTCCTTCGACTCGCTGCATCGTTCTGGAAAGCTCCACGCGCTCAATTCGTAATTCAGTCGTTTTCGCGCCCGAGCTAGTTGGTAGCGCGCCCCCTACACAACCTGTCAATCAACTAATACGAATGCACTTCCTTCGGATAATATACAATGATGCGCGCGTGCATTTACCACCTACCTACGGTCTATACAGACTGCGAAACACGCCGCGATGCAAACTCGCGGGCGACAGCTGCAACACACAACTGCACACGCACAGAATACGATGCCGTACATATTGGGTATAATTCACCTGCGCCGCGCGCGACGACTACCGCCTCGGCTGCATTCAGCTGCACGACGACGGCTGTACGACGGTGCAGCAGCAGCAGCAGCAGCAGCAGCAGCAGTTGCATAGGATCGAGTACGATAACGCGAAAGTGCACATCCGTCGTTGATCATCGTAGATAAATAATTAATACGCATAGTTCGATCGCCCGGCCAGTCGTTCTCTCGACCATATAGGTGCACTGCAATCCGTGATCAAGCTGACGCGTTCGAGCGACACTGCTGCCGTCACGGCGTCGCAGCAGCATCAACAACGCGCCGCTGCCGCCGCTGCCAAGAAGAGGAAGAAATCAAAAGCATCAGCTGCAGCAGCAGCAGCAGCGGCGGTAGCAGCCGTTTCAGATACTACAACAACGGACGCCGCCGCGTCGTCCGCGTTCACCGCCACTACTACTACTAGCAAACGTAACCGTAAACAAAAAGCGCCACCGCAGCCGCAGCCGCACGCGGCCTCCAGCTCGACGCCGAGTACTACTACTACTACCAGTAGTAGCAATAATAAGCGAGCCAAGATCGACGCCGAAGAATCAACGTCGGCAGCCATCGTCGCCAAGAACATAAGCAAGAACATAAGCAGCCCCACGAGTTCGTCGTCGACCAACGACCCTGCTACAACCGTTACTACTGCTACTTCTCGGCCGCAGCAGCAACAGCAGCAGCAGCAGCAGCAGCATCAGGTCGTCGTCGCAGCTCATGCTGCTGCCCATGCTCGAGTCTCGTTCTCCGCCGCATCTTCTCGACGCAGACGCAGGAGGATGCGTGGTCCGGGCGCGACGCCCAAGGGCAAGAGCAAGAGCAGCAAGAACAAGAGGAAGGGACGCAAGCTGCCCGAGTCGCCGGCCACGAGTCCGCTCCAGTCCCCGGAGAGCACTCCGCAGCAGCAGCAGAACGCCAAGTACGCGCTGGTAAGTTTGTGTTGACACTCCCACGTACACGCCGCGTCGTGCTCGTGCTGTGCTCGATTCGGGCCGAGCCGAGAGCCGCTCGCTCGTCACCTGTTGATATTTCAACCTCTCCGACTTTTGGTCTCTCTGAGTGGCTTGGAATTAGGTTAGGTTTTTTTTTTTTTGAGGTGTTTGACACAAGTTAGTTGTGTACTTTTTATCGAGTTTCAGTGAGTGTTTGTTATTTTCGTTATATCATAGTGTTTTCGAAATTCGTCGTTGTGAATGTTACCGTTATATTGTGGACACAGTGATAAATAGTTATGAATGCATTTTAAAAGTGAATTCTGTTACAGGTGACACCTTGGCACGAAGATCCCAACAAACCCTACAAATTACTATTTACTGACAGTATTCTTATCATAACACAAGATGAGTACGATTCTCATGAAAAAGTCACACCTCACAAAAACAGCGGATCGGCAGTTGACAAAGATAAAGAAGACAAAGCTATTTTAAGTTCATTACCTAAAGCTGTATCCAAAGAATTAGACGATTATGAAATTCAACTCGGCGTGGCTGATCCGCTTCCCAATTCCTATGTACGATTTATGGAACGCAGTGGAGAAGAATTGGACAGTACGTATGCTCGTGATATTCAAATCAAAACAAAACGCTAAGCTTCTCTTTACTTATTATAATTTTACTATCGTAGATGAAGTAGAGTATGACTTGGACGAAGAGGACGCAGCCTTTCTAGCTATTGTCAATGAACGTCGATCAGCCGCAGGCCTCTCACCCAATCTTGATCCGGACACTTTTGAATTGTTGATGGATCGATTAGAAAAAGAATCCTACTTTCAACAACAAACAAATGCTGGCGTCGCTGCTCTCTCGACAGCTCCAGACGAAGATGCAGTGTGTTGTATTTGTATGGATGGTGAATGTCAAAACAGCAATGCCATTCTATTTTGCGATATGTGTAATTTGGCAGTACATCAAGATTGCTACGGTGTGCCATACATTCCAGAGGGACAGTGGCTCTGTCGCCGCTGTCTCCAAAGTCCTTCTCGGGCTGTTGATTGTGCCCTCTGTCCCAATAGAGGTATTTGAAAAATTTTCTTTCAAGACTTTATAAGAACTTTCATAAGGATTTTTAAAGAACCAATAATTTAATTCCAAAATTTTTCAGGCGGTGCTTTCAAGCAGACCGACAAACCGGCGACCTGGGCGCACGTCGTCTGTGCCCTCTGGATCCCGGAGGTGCGCTTCGCGAACACGGTCTTTCTCGAGCCCATCGATAGTATCGACTGTATTCCGCAGGCCCGTTGGCGGCTGACCTGCAGCGTGTGCAAGCAGCGCAACGTCGGCGCTTGCATCCAGTGCCACAAGAGCAACTGCTACTCGGCCTTCCACGTCACCTGCGCCCAGCAGGCCGGACTGTGCATGAGGATGCGCACGGTGCAGCCCGCCAACGGCGAGCCCATGCTGGTCCAGAAGACGGCCTACTGCGAGGCGCACACGCCGCCCGACTACAAGCCCAGCACGAATCCCACGGACGCGAGGCGACGGGCCATCGCCAACAAGAAGACGACCTGCGCCCCGGTGATATCGATTCCGACCATTCCGCCCGAGAAGATCAAAGAAATCGCCAGGTGAGTAGTCGAAAATAATTATTTATTTGCTTACGTACATTTACAGTTATACATTACACTTGATGCACATTTTCCATTTGTACACTCGACTTACCCAAATTTATCTAAAGACATTTCAGCAACAAATCTGTGAACGAGCATTTTATATTTCACTCGATTGACATTTTCCATTCGTACACTAGACTTACCCAAATTTATCTAAAAACATTTCAACAACAAATCTGTGAACAAGCAATTTACATTTATAACGCGACACAAGGATTTGCTGTGAACAATTGTTGATTTCTCATTGTAAAAGTGCGTGAAAAAAAAGAAATCGATCCCAAAAGATTCGTCGTCGTCGTCGTCGTGGTTTAACACGAGTCTTTTATGAAGCTCAGACACATGGGCTGCTCGTTGCAGTGCGTCAAATTGAACATATCCCAGGTGGTGAAGTGCGGCATTATCTTGTACATCACCACGTCCAGCGGCAGCCTGTGCCTCACGATCTGCATCAAGATCCTCGTGGCGGCGCTCATCAAGTCGTGCCTCAGCAGCAGTCGCCGAATCCTCAGCTGGATGGGCTTGGCGTAGATGGGGAACGTCCGCTCGATCATGCTCCGCTGCTGCTCGGTGTTCCTCAGCGCCCTCAACAGATCCTCGTTGTGCACGTAGCCCAGCCTGCGGGCGAAGTCGCGCGTCAGCAGATCGAAGAACGTGACGCTGCCGTAGAACTGTCGACCCCGCATGAGCTCGAGCTCGAGGCCGCAGCGCCGATAGAAGTCCCGGAAGGGCGGCTTGTTCTCGATCATGGCCAGGTCCTTGGCCAGGGGCGGCGTACCCAGACCGTCCAGTCGGGCGATCTCGCGCAGTATCGCATCGAGGATCCTGCGGCCCTCGGCGGGCAGTCCGCGCATCCGGCAGAGCTCGTAGACGCCCGAGGCGAGCCTCAGCACCGTGAGCGGCTGCGGTCGCGAGTTCACGTCGGCGTCGTGGTCGATGATCAAGCCGAGCACCTGCTCGTCCAGCTCCGTGGGTATCTCCACGCCGTTCTCCATGCGATCGAAGTAGACCCGCAACAGGTCGAGGCCGTGCTGGTCACGGAGATTGACCTCGGCCCCGAGGCCGATCAGCAGCTTCACGAGTCGAGGCTTGCCGCTGGCCAGGCATCTGTGCAGCAGCAGCTGCTTGTCGCAGGCCTGATTCAGCCCATCGTTGACGCTGGCGATCTCGCAGAACAGCAGGTGGTCCATGGCCTCGGCTGGTGTCCTATCCGGCCGAGTCATCGCGTGCCTCTCCGGGTCCTGACAGTCAAGGTCGTCGTCCTCGCCGCTTCTCAAACTGGCGCCGCTCTCCAGCAGAAACCAGACGAGCTCCTCGCTCGCCGCCCGGAACAGCGCGTAGTGCAGAGGGGTGAGTCGGCGCGCGTTGCGCTCGTTCACCCGCGCCCCGTTCCACACCAGGATCTTGGCGATCTCGAGGCTGCCCAGGGCCGCGGCCACGTGCAGCGGCGTGTCGCCGTCCAACTTGCTGCGGCCGTTCGGGTCCTCGCAGTGGCGCAGCAGATGCTTGACCTGCTCGAGCTTGCCCTTGCGCACCGCGGCGTGCAGAGTCGGTAGCTGTTCTTTGCCAGCAGAGTCGCCGGAGGAGCCGAGTATCGAGCCGAGCTGGTCCCACAGCATCATCGAGGCGTGACTCTGATTCCAAGACATCATCTCGGCAATTTTGTTTTTACAAACTCGTGCTGCTGCTGTTGTTGTGGCGCATCCTGTAAAAACGTATACACACCAGACTACGTTACGAAAAGTCGACTGCGATTGATCGGAAAATTGAGCGATCGAAACGTCGATCGACGTTTGAACGATTTTCGATCATAATGCGTGCGTGTGAATCCGCCACGGCGCACACACAACACCACCACTGCGAACCACAGACAGGACGCCTCGCGATTCGAGAAAATTACTACTCTCCGTACTTTTCTGCAGCTTATCTGACAGCTACTACTGCTGCCTCGTAGTGTTTGTGTGCATTCGAGTGTGTGTGTTACAAGTTGCATACAAAACAACAACCGAGCGCATGCGTCGTGGTACGTCGCGATTCTTTTTCAGGCGCGCGCGCGATGCAACTCCACCACGTGCTGTTAGGTGCATTTCACAATGACGAACTTTGCGCGATAACTTCGCACTACTTTACGCGTAGAATTATGAAAATTAATCGCTTGATTTGTCGTGTAATACACGAGATTCGTAATCGATGCTCGATCGCGACCGTCCCGCAATCGGTCGAGTACGGTTCCATAATCGCAACCACTATATGTATGTAATCTCGAAGATATATCATTGCAGCGCGCGCCTCAATGCGTCCTTGGCTTTAGCCCTGAGATATCGTACATACGCGCGTAATAGAATCACAAGAATCAATGTCAACGTCGACGCCACTATATACTATTATATAGAGCTCCTCTATCGCCGCGTTTTTCGCGTGGCATGGTAAAAGCTCGAGAACGAAAACTCGCAGATCGTGCATTAATTTATTGTAAAATTACGAATCGTGAAAAATACGTGAACTCGAATGTACAATACGGTGAAAATACTCAATGCTGGTTATGAGATTTTTTGAACTATTTCACCGAAATAAAATAAGAAATTAGCTTTTACTTCGCGTTGTCTTATGGGAAATGTTTCTCGATGAATGCTAAAGTGATCCCCGCTCACCCGGAAATAGTGACGATATGCAGGTGATGCACGGGTCACGAATGATTATTTACCTCTTGGTACTTTAATTTCGAAAAGATGTCCACCCACACGAACGATCGGTGTTTCAAATATTATATATATACACGGCAAAACTTTCAATGCATCAAACCAGAGAGTAACGACGAGGTAGACTGTTGTGCCGTCTCCGTAATTCGCTGCACAATAGCGCGCACACGTATATAGCTCGAGTGCAACTGCTGCGTCTGCGAAAATATATAAATGTACCAACGTATATAGATGTGTGAAATATTATGACGCGACTAGAAACCGCGTTGGATACGGTCGCGCGCGGCCGGTTTCGCGACCGGCACTAGCGAATCGCATTAGCATTTTGTATATATGATAACGTCGTGGATAAAAAAAAATTTTTTTTCGCGCGAGTAAAATACGAAAATAATAATCCATTTTTTTTTTTGGTCAACAGTTTAGCCGACGGCATTCCGAAGAAGAATCAGCTGATACAGCGCCTCATAGCCTACTGGACGCTGAAGCGGCAGTATCGTAACGGCGTGCCGCTGCTGCGTCGGCTGCAGAGCGCCCACCTGCAGCCGAGGCCGCCCACCTCGCTCAGCTGCTCGTCGCCCTCGCCCGGCGACAGCGAGAATCGCGACGAGATCTACAGCCAGCTCAAGTACTGGCAGTGTCTGCGCCAGGATCTCGAGCGCGCACGTCTGCTCTGCGAACTGGTGCGCAAGCGGGAGAAGCTCAAGCTGGAGCTCATCAAAGTGTGAGTATCATCGTTGACACGCCGTTAGGGTTTTTGTGTGCCCGTTTTGTTTTCTCTCCGATTACGATTACGATTCGTGCGTGCGTCTTTCAGAAAGGAAAAGTACACGTGGTTGGAGCTGAGACCTCTGGACAGTATTCTCAAGCTGTTGCTCGAGTACTTGAAGATGCGCGACTTGCAGGATATCTTCGGGCAACCGGTCAACGTCGAAGAAGTGCCCGATTATTTGGACATCGTCAAGGAGCCCATGGATTTCTCAACGATGGAGGTATTTTTAGACTTTTCAAATTATTTACCACTGTTTTCTCATTCGCACCGCATCTCTGACCCCATTTCTTTCTTCCAGTCTAAAATAGATCACAACCAGTACAAAACCATCGAGGACTTCGAGGCGGACTTCAATCTCATGATCTCGAACTGTCTGGCTTACAATCGCAAGGAGACCGTGTTTTATCGCGCGGGAGTGAAGCTGCGCGACGCGGGGGGGCCGATAATCAATCAAGGCAAGAAGGATTACAGCACCCTGACGAATTCGTCCGTCCTGGCCGAATTGTACAAGTACAAGCAGGACTCGGACTCGGAGCGTGTCAAGGACGAAAAGTCCAACAACGCGGAAACCGAGCCCGAGCTCAATGGCGACGATCAGTCGTCGTCGTCCCCGGTATCGAAACGAAGAAAAACAGATAAGAGCGGCAGAACGCGTCATAACTCGGAATCTGTATTAAGGTACGAATTAAGCAAACAAAATTACGCGTATTCTCTGTGCAAAATAGTTGCTTAGAGCTTTCATCGATGCAATGTTATTTGATTTTTATTGTATACTTTTATTTCAGTGGCAATGAAAAGGATACGTCATTATCGAATTCGAAGCAAAACGCTAATGTATCCAATTCATCGGTCAATTCGACTCGTAGCACAAGCGGCGTCAATCGTCGCACAGCGGTACTCTTCACGCGTAAAGCTAAAGCCAGACAAAGCAGAAATAGTCAATTGCAGCATCGAGCTAGTCCCAGTAATCCGAGCAACGATAAAAAAGAAAGCGACAGTTTCTCGGTTTATAGGTACGTTCAGAAACTTTTGCGAACTGATTTGATTCAATTTAAACAAAATAAAACCAAATTTTTTCATAAAACTAAGTATGACAAAGTCGATAAAAGAAATGAATACTTTTCAGGAGTGGCGGTGGCAGTGACAGTGACGGAGCGGACGCAGAGAGAGAAATGTCTTCTTCTTCTTCTAGCTGCAGTAGCTGCTCCACGAGCCGTTCGTCTAGTCCAGAACCCGATGAAGATAGATCAGACACAAATTATGATCAAGAAGCTAGTTCACCCAGGTCGAAGTCAAATAATCACGATGACGACTATGATGGTGAATTATCTGACGATCAAGAATATCCTAAGATGGAAATCGATGATGATGGCACTCTCACTCCGCTGCAGTTGGTTTGGGCAAAATGCCGAGGTTATCCTTGGTATCCAGCTCTCATTATTGACCCCAAAACTCCCAAAGGCACCATATACAAAGGCGTGCCCATTCCGTCACCTCCTGACGATGTTTTGGCTTTGGCCAATAACTACAAAGACCAAATCTATCTAGTTTTATTCTTTGATACAAAACGAACATGGTGAGTTGAACTAATAATTTTCTACTTATTTTTAATGTCGACAGATTAATAATTTAAATAACTTGTTTTTTTTCTAAGGCAATGGTTACCTGGAGAAAAATTGGAGCCCCTCGGAGTATCTCAAGAGCTCGACAATGGTAAATTGATTGAATCGCGAAAACAATCAGACCGAAAAGCTGTGAAAAAAGCGTACCAAGACGCACTGAATCACCAAAAACAAACGCGTAATTCATCGACGGATGCAACGGCGAGCGATTAAATAATTGATTAGTCTCTTTCTATTTAATATTATACGAGTATAATATTTATGTTATAATGTTAACGTAATGAACTGTAATATTATACGTTTATACAATGTACAAAGTTTACTTTACAAAAATTAGGGCGAATAATTGCATTTGTTTTTTTTTTAGACAAAGACACGTTATGATGGTTTGAAAAAAAACTAGATGAATTTTAATCGATAATTTCTTTTTTTACATTTTAAATAAAAATTTTTTACACCTTAATAAGTTATTTTGTTAAACTAAGCTCGACATATCTTTCACTTTTGTAATTAGACTCATTGAATACTCTAGAAAATAACTTGTAGCGAATTACATTTCAAACCATTCGTAATGTGATAAATTAATAAAGAAGAAAAATTTCGATACGATAAATTTTTGTACACAGTTCAATTGCAAAATCGAAAATTTGTCGGTCGCTAGGAAAATCGACCAGATTTAGCAATCTTCATTGGCATTAAGAGCGAAAGGAGCCGTGGCGACGAAGTTAATGTATAGTCCCAGAAAGCTCTTGTTTGTCTACAGAGGTTGAGATCGAGCTCGGCCACTAGCAACCCGTCCATGTGTCGGTTGAGGCCACGAGTCCTCGAGCCATCGGGTGCTGCCACATAGGACGAGCCGAAAAACTTGCCGTCTCCCGAGGTGAACTCGTTGGGGAAGCGCTCGGTGCCGACGCGATTTATCGCGCAGGTGTAGTAACCGTTGGCTATGGCGGCGTTTCGCGTCTCGATGACCCACAGCGGCTCGGATTGTTGACCATCGATGGCCGACGGATTGAACACAATCTGTTGATTGTTTTTTTTAAATTTTAGTAATCGCTAAAAAATAATGGGAAATATCAAGGTAGATGCTAACCTCGGCTCCATTCGCAGCGAACATTAGCCAGTTCAGAGGATGCTGCCTCCGATAGCAGATGTTGACACCGATCTTTCCGAACTCAGTATCGAAAACCGGATGACCGGTGTCACCTTCCATGTAGTACGTTGATTCGTTAACGTCGCCGACCCGATTCTTGCGATGCTTGCCCAGGATCCGGCCATCGCTACCGATCACCACCGCCGTGTTCCAGATCTTATCTCCGATCGGGTCCCTCTCGAGGATCGGCGAGATTATCACCATCTTATGCTGCTTGGCCAGTGCACACAGTTTCTCGGTCGACCAGCCCGTCTCGTCGGCCGGCTCGGCGAACTCGAGCCAGGGCTTCTTTTCCCGCGTACAGAAGGCGAACGGCATCGCTGCGTCACGAGCAAAAAGAAAAGAAGAATCATCAAGTACAGCTCGCGATAAATCAAGTCGTGTCGCGAGAAACTTACTCCAAGCCTCTTGCAGACACACGATGTTGACCTTGCATTCGGCCGCGTGATCGATGTAGGCGGCGATTTTGCCCCATATTGCCTGGCGATGTTCTTCGGTCGATGCGTCGGTCGGCAGAACGATCGTGTTCTGAATCAAGCCGACTCGCACGAGCCTCGGTTCTCCGGAATTCTCTTGGGAAGTGCTGCCGATCTTCCAGCCTGCTACTTCGCATTTTTCTACGTCATCATATTCGGGAATGTCGAGTTTTCTGTAAAATTAATAATTTTTTAATTTTTAATCGTCATTTTTTAATATAAAAAAAGTCATTTCTCACTCGTATTCTCGTCCATACAGGACTCCATTGGCGAAAGCCTTTTTCTCGCCATCCAGCAACGCTTCATCTATAATTCCCTCTAAAGACAGTTTTTCCATTTCTAAAGTCATGGTGTTATCAGAGACTTCTTCACTTTCTATAAAAAGAAATAGGTACATTTTTGTTCTATTTTTAATTCATTATTCTCTGCCACGTAACATCGTCAACTAGTATCTAAATGTGTAAGAGAAGCTCCGATCGACAGTGTATTCTAGCGTATGATCGGTTTAAAATTAATGATAGAATTGCAGCTGCAGCGCCCAATCAATTGCGAGAATGCACACATTCTGTTAACATTTCCAGTATCGCGAGATTAATGAAAAGTTGCCACGAAAAAAAGCCCACGTCGAGAATTTCGTAGTATTTATAAGAAAAAAAGGAACCAAATTAGAATAATTAACCAGGAACGATTTATTTTATTTGTTGCATACTCTTATACTTCCTGAAGTCGAATTCATCGATCTGCACTACACTACTTCTCAATAAATGCTGAATAAACTTACTTCAATTCCCAATTGAAATAACAACGCAAAACAAAAACTACCGTGCAATATAATATTCTAGATGTAGACTGACGTCGTCGTTGTCGTCTGAAATGCGTCGAGCGATTCACAATTTTTCGGAAACACTGAAAATATCAGACCGAGACCTATGAGCCTTTAAAAACGAAGCAGCGTGGCAGCCTCTCTCGTGCGTTTATGCTCTCGTAAAAAGACGAAGGAGGGGTCGATAAGCTTTGCTATTTTGATTTTAAATTCATTTTTTCGCGCGACTCTATCTCGTTTCGCGAGGCGATATTAATCTTTTTGAGCGCGTAAGCGATGTGTAAATCTCGTATATATTTTAGCTGGATAATTTGTATAATATTATACAAAATTTATGAATAGCTAAATAAAAAATTGATAGAATACGATTAGTTTTTTTATTGATGATTTATCTTTATGGATTTTCATTAGTGAGCCAAGCACATGATTAAAAAACAATACACATGTACTCATTTAAACGTATCATATCAGGTTTGAATAGAAATCGACGTTTCGCGGTAAATTCTATTGATATTCTTAACATATGCACGCCACCGTCAAGTATAAACGACACGATAAATTTTTGTGCACAGAGTGCACATATTTATTTCTGTACGATTTGTTGCTTGAAATCTTCCTGGCTAGCTCTCGTCAATCCTTCGGCGTACATCTTCAATCGCTGGGTCATCTGAAACAGAAAATTGCATCAAATTCGTAAACGTCAAATGCGACAGAAAAGAAGCGATCCGCGCCAGTGTATTTACCGTGAAACCCCAGAGGTCCTTGGTCTGTCTGCAGAGGTTGAGGTCGAGCTCGGCCACCAGCAAGCCGTCCATGTGACGGTTGAGGCCGCGAGTTCTCGAGCCGTCGGGCGCCGCCACGTAGCTCGAGCCGTAAAAGTGCCCGAAGTCGCGATGGGCCGGTTTGCCGTCACCCGAGGTGAACTCGTTGGGGAAGCGCTCGGTGCCGACGCGATTTATCGCGCAGGTGTAGTAACCGTTGGCTATGGCGGCGTTTCGCGCCTCGATGCCCCACAGCGGCTCGGACAGTTGCCCAACGGTGGCCGACGGATTGAACACAATCTGTTGATTGTTTTTTTTTTAAATTTTAATAAATAAAAAATATATCGCTACAAAATAATGGGAAATATCGAGAAATACCTCGGCTCCATTCAAACCGAACATCAGCCAATTGAGGGGATGATGCCTGCCGTAGCAAATGTTAACAGCGATCTTGCCGAACTCGGTGTTGAAAACCGGATGACCGGTGTCACCTTCCATGTAGTATGTCGATTCGTTAAAGTCGCCGACCCGGGGTATGTGATTCTTGCGATGCTTGCCCAAGATCCGGCCATCGCTACCGATCACCACCGCCGTGTTCCAGATCTTATCTCCGATCGGGTCCCTCTCGAGGATCGGCGAGATTATCACCATCTTGTGCTGCTTGGCCAGTGCACACAGTTTCTCGGTCGACCAGCCCGTCTCGTCGGCCGGCTCGGCGAACTCGAGCCAGGGCTTCTTTTCCCGCGTACAGAAGGCGAACGGCATCGCTGCGTCACGAGCAAAAAAAAAATAAATAAATATATAAAAGAAAAATCATCATCGCATTGCTCGCGATAAATCGAGTCGTGTCGCGAGAGAGAAACTCACTCCAAGCCTCTTGCAGACACACGATGTTGACCTTGCATTTGGCCGCGTGATCGATGTAGGCAGCGATTTTCCTGTATATCGCCTCGCGCTGAGCATCGATCGGTTGATCGGTCGGCAGAACGATCGAGTTCTGAATCAGGCCGACTCGCGCGAGCCTCGGTTTTCGGAGCTGCTCCTGGTGAGCGCCGCCTACCTTCCAGCCGGCCACTTCGCACTTGTCCGGGTCGTCGTATTCGGGTACTTCGAGTTTTCTGTAAAATCATTAATTTTTCAATTTTTAATCGTTGATTAATGATCGAGAAGGGATTGCAGGGTTTACGTGTGCACTCACTCGTATTCGCGTCCGTAGAGGACTCTATTGGCGAAAGTCTTTTTCTCGCTACTCAGCGAGGCGTCGTCCAAAATATCCTCCAACGACAGTTTTTCCATTTCCAAAGTCGTCATGCTGCTGGAATCTTCTGCCGAGGCAAGGCAATAAAAAAAAAAAAAAAACAGTTACATTTTTGTTTAATTTTTAATGCATAATTTTCTGTCGCGCAACATCGGCAGAACTATTATCTAATTGTGTAAACAATTCGAAGCTCGACGACCGACAGCGTATTCTAGCGTATACTCGGTATAGAATTAATGATAAGATTACTGCAGCAGCGCTCGATCAATTGCGAGAATGCACACGCAGCGCGAGAATTACAATCGAGGCATTTTACGATTGAATTATGAATGGAATAAATCAATTTCGTTAAACTGTTTCTATTAACACTTCCAGTAAGGAGTTACCGAAAAAATTCGCGTCGAGTATTTCATTATTGAGAAACTAACGTATTCGTAAACGAACTAGATTAGAATAATTAACCAAGAACGATTTATTTTAATTATCGCGTACTCTTACACTTCCTGCATTCATCGAACTGCACTATGCAACAACGATAGAAGCTAAATGAACTTACTTTAATTTCTATTGGAACAACAACGACGCGAAACAAAAACTACTGCGCGATATAATAATATTCCAGATGCAGACTGACGTCGTCGTCGTCGACTGCGAGACGCGCAGAGCAAGTCGCGCGATTCATCGGCAACGCTGGAAATATCAGCGGCCAAGCCTATAACGAGTGGCTGGGCTTTGAAAACGAAGCGTCGTGGCAGCCTCTCCCGTGCGTTCATGCGTTCTCAAGAAGACGAAGAGGGGGTCGAATAGCTTTTATTTTTTTTTAATTTCTTTTTTCGCGGGACTCTCTCTCTCTCTCGTTTCGCGCAGCCGATGTGAAACTTCTTTGAGCGCGTTCGGTACGACCGCGTGTAATAATATTTTATAGCACTGCGTGGCATAAGTTCACATCTATGGCACGCTTTTCGGTGGCATAAGTCGCACATTCTGGCACCGCTGCGTTCGCATCACACTCGCATACGCTCGTGCGCTAACCTCACTTCGCGCTACCAGAAAGTGCGACTTATGCATCGGAAAAGGGGGCATAAATGTGAACTTTGCACAGTACTATAAAACGTTATTCGATACTCGGGCCATAGGGGACACTTTTCGGCCCAGCTATTAGGACCCTCGCTGCGCTCGGGCCCTAAACTACGCCGTGCCAAAAAGTGTTACTTATGGCACTTGTATCGAAAATTACTATTTCAAGCTTACCGCGTGCAACATCTTCCGGCGTTTTTGGCGATTCCCGCGATGTGGCATTCGTAGCCGACTCCTCTGATTCCGTTCGCGAATCTGCGACCGGCTCTTGTTCTTGCTCCGACGACGATGTGGAGGAAGTCGTGGGAAGCTGTGTCGATATATCATGCCCATTGAAAATTATTGGTACGTCCTGTGGTAATAATTCTTTTATAAGCTCCGCAATCTGTTTTGCTGACTCTTTGAAGCTGAAATTTCACGAAAATGATTCGGTTAAAGAGTAATTGACGATCTATTCGTTTGTTTTCTCGAGCCTTTCTTTTAAAATACCCCAATTTTTCTACAGGAAGGTTCTTCACTCTTTCCGCGAAACGTTGACATCTTTTGACCCATGAAGCTTGGTGGTCATCGGAAGGATCGTTGGGTATTTTGCCGATGATTTTAATTCTTGTTTCATTTTTATAAGTAGCCATGCCTGCGAGGAATCAAATTTTGACGCGTTAAAATCAAAATTAAAGTTTATCTCTCGCTCGATATTTTGATGCGACTGCATTACACACAACGAGCGATTGAAATAAAAATTAACTTGTTAAAATAATAATGAAGTATAAAATTTACTTGTTAACTGTATTGGCGGTTAAGATGTGTTAACGGCTCTTCACTCTTGAACTGTCAATGTCTGCTGAGCAAGTGTTTGTATTTCTATTTACAATTTCAGCTCGTATCGTGTGTATCGCGACTCGAAGTACGTAACACAAGGACTTATACAGGGGTATGTTAGAATATTTTTCGGGCTTGAAAATTTTGAATTAATTAAAATTATAGATTCTCTATTTACTATTCATGGCGGGGGGAGAAACGCTGTAAACAATTCACATTATCATCTGCTGCGAACTCATTTTTCAAATACGCCATAATGACTGAGAATACATTTTGTTTATTAGCATGATGAATAATATAATTTTGTTTGATCATTAACCACCTTAATAACATTTTCAAATTTTTGAACACAAAATTTCAATTCAAGAGAAGATTTGAAATATTTTCTTTGACACTTTGCAATTATTTTGTTGGCAAAAAGAGCGATAGGATTCAATGCAAGATTAAATCTCTTAATTATTTTGTACTTGTATAATCAAAAACTAATGTAAAATTTTGGGGTAGCTAAATAAAAAATTGATCGATTACGATTATTTTTTCAATTAATAATTTATTCGCATGAAACAATCTTTTTTGGATTTTCATTAGTGCACCAAACACATGATTAAAAAACAGGACACGTTTACTCTGTTAACCATCTTAGATTTTAATAGAAAACGATGTTTCGCAATGAATTAACATCATTATTAGTATTATTATTTATTATACACTCGGCAACAAAATTATCGCAACAAAAAATGTTAACTCGTCATTGACTCGAATCTTATCATAGTATATATGGATTTAAAGAGGACAAAATTTCCAAGAAATCAAAAAAAAGCCGTGTCGATACTATAAATATAGCCTAAGATAGAAGCATTTGACAATCGACAAAATTTCGATGAAATTTTTTGTTGCTATAATTTTGTTGCCGAGTATATATTATTAAAAAAAGCTTAAATTTAATGCAAATTTAATGTGAATTTAGATATTGAAATTACAGTTATCGATGAATTACAATTTATTTTTTATTTACGGTAACATCAAATCGTTGTGAAAAATGAATGTACCGGTACTGGTGTATTTTTGCGTTAATTTCTCATAAAATGTTTTGAATTCAGTCTCAGCTTCCACCACTAGATGGCGAGTACCTTGATCTGTAAATCGCAAAGTGAAAAGTAAAAGTAACTGTATTAATACCTGTATTAATAACTGCGTCTACAGGAATAACGACATCTCTTAGTGAGCTCCTACATATCAATTCCAACATTCCTTGAATAATCGGGCTGTTAAAATGATTCATAATTGAAAATTATTTTTCTCTCAATATTTTCGACGGTTCTTCGATCTCGATGTCTACTGAGCAAGTGTCCGCGTTTCTGCTGACAATTTCAGCTTGTATTTTTTTACACTTTTCGATCCATTTAGCAGGGTCTTTAGGAGGATCCGTCAATTCCCATTGTATTGCCCTGTAGTGGGTCTCTATGATAATTTCCTTGATTGTATTCCAATTAGCTATTTTTGCAAGGAATCGAATCAGACACGTTAAAATAAATTCAAAATTTATCTCTCGCTCGATCTTTTTATGCAACTGAATTACACCCTACGAGCGATTGAAATAAAAATTTACTGAGTCGATGTTCCACGATTGGTGCTATTATACTCGAAGAAACTACTCTGATTTTAAGAGTAAGCACTCGTTCATTACGTATCAGATGTGAAACATCAATGCTTGTGTTAGGATTTTCTGAGTTTTTTTCTTATTTCTTGATTGTTTATTTTCTAGTTTGGTTTTTTGTTGTGACCATTGATTCATGTTTTTGGATTTTTTTTTAGTTTTTTACTTATTTGACTTTTTTTATTATTACTTAATCAATTTTCTTAGTTTTATTTTATTTAAGTTTGAATTTTTTTTCTTTAATTAATTGATAAAGATCTTTCATATCTTACAGCTGTTTAGCAACAGCTGATTGTTTTACTCATAAGAACATCAAATTATCATTATTATTGGTATTATAATTTTCTGTATATTATTAAAAAAAGTTGAACTTTAATGCTGATGTGAATTCAGATATTGAAATTGCAGTTATACCGATGAATTTTAATTTATTTTTTATTTACGGTATCAACAAATCTTTGTGAAAAATTAATGTACCGGTACTGATTTATTTTTGCGTTAATTTCTCATAAAATGTTTTGAATTCAGTCTCAGCTTCCGCCACTAGATGGCGAGTACCTTGATCTGTAAATCGCAAAGTGAAAAAGTAAAAGTAACTGTATTAGTACCTCTACGTTCCAACATTCCCTGGATGATAGGGGAGTTAAAGTGATTCATTTCTGCTTCTCTCTATATTTCCAATTGTTCCAACTCGAACTGTCGAATGTCTACTGAGCAAGTGTCCATGTTTCTGCTGACAATTTCAGCTTGTATTGCGTGTATCGCGACTCGAAGTACGTAATACAAGGACTTATGCGCGGCTCTATAAGACTGTGTGCGGAGACTCGGCTTATTGACAATGGCTATAGTCCCTCTCACACACAGCTCAATGTTACTTTCGGCTTCCCTCGAGTATTCGTCGTTGGTCGCGTACAGAGTGACAAACTATGCCTTGCTCGTTCATACTTAGGCCCATATCATTAGCTGATAGCGCCGACTACTTGATGCACAATCTCGCGATCAATCATATGATCGATATTCAAATGTGTGTGTATCTCAGCTGCTCCATATGCATCACATAGCCCTATTTGTCTCTTTCTCTCGCGTAGACTCGCCTCCGTGTTACAAGCTAAATGAAAAATTGATAGAATAAAATTTTTTTTTTATTAATAATTTGAACAATATTTTTTTGGATTTTCATTAGTGAGCCAAGCGCACGATTAAAAAACAGTACACATGTACTCAGTTAAACGTCTCGGGTTTGAATAGAAAACGATGTTTGGCAGTGAATTCTATTGACCGAAATTAGTTAATCTTGAATTCTTTTATGCGAGCTACCGCCAAGTGTAAATGTACGATCGAAGAGTCAATTACATTTTCTTAAAATCAATTTTGAAATAATTTGTGAATTAGATTGGACTATCTATCTTCGTGTGCGTAATTATTACTATATACACGATGTAGAGTCGCACTTGTGCAAATAAAACTACCGATGATCCAGATAGTTCCATATAACATATTACATAAATAAGCTATTACAAAAGTATATTTTTTATATTGATTGTAATAAATTATGACACAATTTTATGGTTAATTTTTTATTTATTTGCGAAAGGCCTTAAAGTATACATTCTTTAAACTATTTTATCGAAAGTAAAGTACAGATTAGGCTGCTTAGTTTTATTGGTCGAAGCAAGTTTATGACGCTTTCTGCGAATATTCAAAACAATTATACATTAAAAAAAAAAAAAAAAAATTGGTACAAAAAGAAACAGTAACGAAAACGAAGAAGTTTTTAATTAACAATTTGTGGCTCGAAATCTGGCTCGGCCGCCTCGACCAATCGCTTCGAGTACAAATCCAATCTGCGGGTCATCTGAAAAATCCAAGAGAGAAAAAATCGTCATTATACCGAGTGAAAATCACTCACGCGTATCATCGATATATATCAAATCTTACCGGGAAGTTCCACGAGTCCTTGACCTGTCTGCACAGGTTGAGATCGAGCTCGGCGATCAGCAAACCGTCGCCGCTTCTGTTCAGGCTGGGTGTGCGCACGCCGTTGGGCGCCGTGACGTAGCTCGAGCCGAAGAACTCGCCGAGCTCGCGATGCGGGGGTTTGCCGTCGCCCGAGGTGAACTCGCGCGGATAGACCTCGGTGCCCACTCGATTGATGGCGCAGGTGAAGTAGCTGTTGGAGATGGCGGCGCACCTGGCCTCGACGTGCCACAGCGTCTCGAACTGCTCGGCTATGATGGCCGACGGATTGAACACGATCTCGGCGCCGTTCAGGCCGTACACCAGCCAATTGAGCGGATGGTGGCGACCGTAGCAGGTCACTACGCCGATCTTGCCGTAGGTCGTGTTGAAGACCGGATGGCCGAGATTGCCCTCCATGTAGTAGGTGGACTCGTTGAAGTCGCCGTTGCGCGGTATGTGATTCTTGCGCTGCTTGCCGAGCACGCGGCCGTCCGCGTTGATCACCACGGTCGTGTTCCAGATGATGTCGCAGTTCTTCTCGTCGCGCTCGAGGATCGCCGAGACGATGACGATGCCGTGCTTCAAGGCCAGCTTGGTCATGAGCTCGGTGGTGGGTCCCGTCAGGGCGTTCTCCGCGAACTCCGTCCACGGATACTTTTCCCGGGTGCAGAAAATCATCGGCATGGCTGCAAAGAGTCGCGATGAATTTTATGTAGGAATGTAGCTTTACAAAAAATCGTAGAAAAAACTAGAATCTTAAAACTCGATGTTTTATTCAAGCGAAGCTGGCTGCGCGTTACGCAATAATTAACGATGCAACGACGCACCTGCACTTATTCATCGGTAATTTGCAATTAACAAACTCATCGCGTAAAGGAAAAAATCGTCGATCCGGCTTTATTTATTATGTATGTATACTCACTCCAGAGCTCCTGCATGCAGACGATGTTGACGCCCGAGGCGGCGGCGTGCTCGATGTAGCGCACCAGCTTTTTGTGGATCTCGTCGCGCTGGGCCTTGATCGGGTCGCTGATCGGCAGCACGAGGCCGTGCTGGATGATGCCCACACGGACGATGCGGGGCGCTCGCATCTCCTCGGGCTTGGCCCGGGGCAGCTTGTAGCCCTTGAGCTCGCACTGCAGGTCCTTGTCCATCGGCGGCAGCTCGATCTCTCTGTAGGATCATTATTAATTTTTTACTTTGAGCAATAATAATTCACCGATGAAATGAAACTTTAGAAAATAGTTATAAATTTCGATAAATTATTGTTGAAGTGAATAAACAGAGTTCGATTTAATAAGAAGGGTAGATAAAGTATATCTTGAGCACTAATAATATGAAAACAATAACATCATAACAAATATATTTTAGTTAAAAATTAAAATTTTAAATTTAACTAGATAAATTGTTAGACACATATCAGAAAAATACTCACTCAATCTCGGCTCCATAGATGACTTTGTTAACTTTCTTCAACAACTCTTCGGGTACATGATCCTTGAGGATTTGGTCAACGGTTTGCTGGGAATCCATTTCTCTTGATTTTAGTTTAGGCAGGGTAAGACAAAAAGCAGCTATATAGCTATGTGCGAAATAGTGAAGATATGGTATCCGTAGACAAACGTCAAGTGCTATGCTCCGATCATCTGCGCTCCGGCTTTATATATATCGAGTTGACGGCGAATCGAGAGCTCTGACTTGCATTAAAAAAAAAAAAAAAAAAAAACACATCTTCGCGCGTCGCGCCTCGTATATCTTTAGCAGATTATAAATATACGATATTTACATTAGGAGAGCTTGAATATACATGCGGAGGAGAAACATCGTACGATAATTTTGAAACTGCCTAAACCAGGGCAGAGGATGATTTTCGATTTTTTTTCTTATGTTCAAGATTCGGCCGAATCATGGCTCTTCATCAATTTCCGAAAATTGGATTGTTACGGTTCTCATTTTTCACGATAAAAATATATAGTTCAGCGACGTGCAATTGTTGCGTTAAGTGATGTCACATACACACACACAGAGTGACCATTCACGCACCGCGAGGGGTCGCTTCAAATTTACAGATTAAAAAAAATCTGGTTACGACCAGTTTTGTATTTTCGATCATCTATGAGCGCGAAAAGAATAAGATGAATAGTTGCCGAATCTACTGTATTATTGTATTTTTTGCCTCTTTGATAAATTCGCTCGTTTTCCTAACACGAGCGAGATTAAGCGATAAACCAGTTTTAGCCTAGATTAATTGATATACAATTGTATATTCATGCGATGATAGATTCAATGACATAATATTTTTTCAAGACTTTCGTAACTTGGGTTTTAATCTGGTCTGATCTTTATTAAAATTGATCGATTTGTTGTCAACTTTTGTTTTATGCTTCTTGTTTTATATTTTATTTTTATTTTGTCTCGTATATTTTGCACGGTGATAAAAAAAATCATACGATTCTCCTCTTAATTTATGATTATCTTTTTGTTATGTTGATTTTTTTTCTAGAAACTTACTCTTTTTCTCTGACATTTATTATTTAACTTTTTTAAGGTGCAGATAATCATTGTTAAATGGATGTAATAACCCGTTGAAACATGAAGAATCATTTATTTTTCTGAAAACCTTTTGATGAAGTAAGAAAAAAACGCCGAGAAATGTATTTTGTAAATATTCCAAAAAATTGGAATAATTGATTTATTGTTAATAAATTTGCAAAAGTGAATTAATAAAACTGCACGAGTTGCATGAATCAGTAAAAGGAGATGTGCTGACAATAATTTTCATGTTAATTATTAATTAATCGATAACAAGAAACTAAGTGTTTATACCGATCTGCAATCTAAAATCATTTCTTCGCGACACTCAAAGATTATCTCAAAAATCAAATGATTGTCTGTCTGCTTATACGTTACTCTTGAGTCATAATATGCATTGTTCGATTTCTGATAAGAGTTCGGAACACCATAATTATTATTTATAAGCTATATATTATAAGAAATTTACTTATCTCAACAAGAAAATCAGTTTAAATGCTCTTTTTTTACTACATAAATTTTTCAAAAAAACACTTTAAAATTAATAAAAACCAAAATGACAGCAATAAATTTTGTTTGTTTTAATTGTAATAGTAAAATAGGCCTTTCAGGCCCTTCTAAGAAGAAGGTGTATTGTATAGAGAGAGAAAGTAAAAAAAAAAAGTAAGTTCTTCAAACCTCAACTTTATTAGCACTAATAGTAAATGCAATTTATTTTGATGATTCAACTTTCCATTCTCATACATATGCACACACACGTTTTCGAGTCTTCACATAGTTTCCTGATGGTTGAAATTTTTGACGATGAAATCGAACCGCTTCGTGATTAATTTTTGCATTATTGCTTTTGGTTGAACTTAAGTTTGAGCAGAGATATAATTTCATTAGCTTCAATTGATTGTTTTTATACGATGACATTTTTTTTTATATTTGCATTATTATCCGTACAATGTTTCTCTTCTATGAGCATATTTTTTATGGCTTGAATGTATTTATACTTCAACTATTGCATGCGCGCATCATGTCTATCTCGTCTGCTAATGCAATTTCTACCACCTTGACTTCATCTGCTGCTAGTAATGCTGTTCGATATTTGCAAGCACTCGAAATTGCTCGACTGCTACTTTTTCTCACGTTGAGTCGTCATTATTCTGATTTTATTGTTACACTTGATCCTTAAATTATTCTTAAGTTCAACAAAATGGAGTCTACCGATACAATAAACTATGCTGCTGAGTAATTATTATTTTGTAAATTGAAATAACAAAATAACTAAGAATTTATTTTATATTATTTTATCGTTATTTACAGAGTAAAAGAAGAACCTAATGATATGAGTTATTACGAAAATGATGGTGGCCAAAAGAAAAACCAAACCTTCGGATGTCTGCAAGAAAATACCGTAAGTTGATTGATAAATATTGATTAAATTGTCATTCTTTGAAGTAAAATTTCATAAGACTTCAATTTTATAACAGATTCACACGCTTGAACAACACAGAGAAAACCATGAATTCGAACCTAACCAAAAAATTAAAATAGAATTTGAGTGCAAAGATGTGAAACCCAATGTGGATTTATTAGTACTTGATAAAGTGAGCGAAGGTATCCGTGGAATTCAACCGATGCAAGAAATTAAAATAGAGTTTGAGTGCAAAGATATGAAACCCAAAATGGATTTATTAGTAACTGATGAAATGAACGATTGGTCTAATCAATGTAAAGATGTGAAAACTAGCTATAATCGTATTTCTTCTTCGATTAAAATAGAAAATGAGAGGATAGTAAAAAACGAGATCGATAAAACCTTCGATATAAATACTAGCTGCACATTCAACGGACAGAATAAGAAAATTCATCATCCAATGAAGAAAAGTAAGCGATCTAATCAATGTGAGATGTGTTTTAAAAAATTTGCTTCAAAACAAAACCTGAACTTTCACATTGATTCGGTGCACCATCATATTACTTACTCGTGTGAAATTTGTGGACAATCATTTTCCCGTAAGAGCAATCTCAAAGTTCACATTGATTCAGTGCATAATGGTCGAAAATATCACAACTGCGATACGTGCGGAAAGTCATTTGTGCATAAGCAAGGTTTGAGAATTCACATTGATTCGATACATAATCATATCAATCACCCATGTCACACGTGTGGTAAGACATTTGCATATAAGTATAATCTGAAAATCCACATTGATTCAGTGCATAATGGTAAAAAATTTCACAACTGCGATACGTGCAGAAAATCATTTACAACAAAAGGTTATCTGAAAATCCATACTGATTCGGTGCACAATGGTATCAAACATGAATGTGATATATGTGGAAAGTATTTTAAAGACAAAGTTTATCTCAAAGTCCACATCGATTCAGTGCATAATGGTCGAAAATATCACAACTGCGATACGTGCGGAAAGTCATTTGTGCATAAGCAAGGTTTGAGAGTTCACATTGATTCGATACATAATCATATCAATCACCCATGTCACACGTGTGGTAAGACATTTGCATATAAGCATAATCTGCAAATCCACATTGATTCGGTGCATAATGGTCGAAAATCTCATAACTGCGATACGTGCGGAACGTCATTTGCAAAAAAGGTTATCTGAAAACCCATATTGATTCGGTTCACAATGGTACAAAACATAAATGTGAAATATGCGGAAATTTATTCAAACAACAAACTACTCTTAAAACCCATATTGATTCGGTGCATAAAAGTATCTCTTATCTGTGTGAAATTTGTAGAAAGTCATTTAAAAGCAAAGCTTATCTCAAAGTCCACATTGATTCAGTGCATAATGGTCGAAAATTTCACAACTGCGATACGTGCGGAAAGTCATTTACAACAAAAGGTCATCTGAAAATCCATATTGATTCGGTGCACAATGGTACCAAACATAAATGTGATATATGTGGAAAGTCTTTTAAAGGCAAAGCTTATCTCAAAGTCCACATTGATTCAGTGCACAATGGTACCAAACATAAATGTGAAATATGCGGAAATTTATTCAATCAACAAGCTACTCTTAAAACCCATATTGATTCGGTGCACAAGGGCATTTCTTATCCATGTGACATTTGTGGAAAGTCGTACAAAAGTAAAACTTATTTCAAGTTGCATATTGATTCAGTGCATAATGGTCGATAGCTTACACTCAATTGTACTCGCTAAGACGCCATATTGATTCGATGCAAAATAGTATTACTTAACTGTATAACGATGTATTATCATATGAGGATAATCTCAAAACCATATCAATCATACAAATTTGACGTGTAAAAAGACATTTACACGAAAGGGTATATTCAAAGCCCACATTGATGTAGTGCCCAGTCGTATTACTTACCTGTACGACATTTGTGGAATATGTCATTTGCCGAAAAGTAAATCGATTCTAAAAGTCCACGTCAATTCAAAACAAAAAGGAATTGATACATATTCAAGATAGAAATCAAATGTAAATTATCAAAAAAACATATTCAAGTTCATTGTATTTAATTTATGTGGTATTATTAGAAAATATTACATATTTTCAACCATTGTAACCGCTGCAAATACATTGATAAGTAGCTTCCTTATAAAACTAATAGATGATTTGCATTTTTTCCATACAATTCATTATCATATAAGTACAATTACGATTACACAAATATTCCAAAAAATAACTTTCACTCTGCAAAAGCATAGCAATTGAAGCAAACCTCTTTTTCATTTTCATAATATAACTTTTAAATTAATTTTTGGAATACTTATGTATCTATTCTTTCTTAAACTTTTTTACTCGTCTTTCAAAATCACTGCTCTAATATTTAAATAAAAAACATTTCAACCCGGTAAAAGTTATAAACAAGTAAATGAAAAAAATTCAAAAGAAACATGAAAAGCCTAAATAATTTTTAAATATCAAATTGATCAAGAAACCCCTTTTTTGCTTTATTCTCAAAAACGATGTAGATATTTAAAAAAATTTCCTTCTTTCCTATTTAAAATTTGAATAAAAATTTATTTATACAAGATACTTTAAATTGTTATACCTTTTTTTTAAATTTGTCAGTATTATTTTCTACAAAGATAGATTGAAATTCATAGAAAAGACATTGTTTACTTTAGTCAGACTCGCTTAGATTGAACACTGAATAATAATAAGAAATGAAAAAAAAATGAAAATCTCAGAGATCTTGGAATCTTTTCTAGAAATTTATCAAAGTTGTGTTCAAATCTTTTCTCGAATCTCTTAAATGAAATATTAAAATAGAGCGACATCAATTACTTCATATAAGAACACGACAACTGTTCAAGTATGTAATGCGATTTATGTATGAATTTAAAATTTAGAACATAACGTTACGTATTTAAGAAGACATTTGATGTAAAACCTTGTACCTCATGATAAATTGATTTATATGTAATAACTAGTAATGAAATTGGAAAAATATATATTTCCTCTATTTTCTTGCATTAATAAAAAATAAATTTCCTAAAATTTCTCATTACCTGCATTGTTTTTTGACCAAAACAAATAAATATTTTCATGCATATTTTTTACTCGACTGTTACAGTGTTTTGAGAATAAAATAATAATTCCTGAACCATATTAAAAAAATAATTTTTTATAGTTACATAGCTTTTCGCGTTCGCCGCTGATACGGATCTACACGTGCCGCTATACGTATATTCCGGTTCATTGAGTCAAATAGAAGCGTATCGTAGCCGCACTGATAAGTTTGAGCGCGACATGGGATCACGTGTTAATTATAGACATTCATTGAATATTTATAAAATATAAAACGTTCCAATTAATCGATGCGCTAAACGTCGTTGAAAATAATTGTTGAGAACCATTAAATTTGCCACCTCATTCCACACGTATTAATTTAGAATACACCAATTTTTTTCAATATCGATGAAATAAGTAACACATAATAGAAATTAGTTATGTAGAATAGACAGGGCTAATGAGCTTATCTTCTTTTTTTTCCGTTACATCGATTTTTCCGATATTCGGGCATTAATAATTGAAAAATTGCAACCATCCGAACGTTTTTATATATAAAGCGATCGTGTTCGCGAATCAGTTCAGTGTCGGTGGCGACGACAAAAAAAAAGCTACGAGTCGGCAAACTCGTATATAGTCGAATGGATTCGATCCATTACTTTTAAAATCTAGTATTGTTAAATTAAAAAAAAAAAAAAATGAAGTGTACAAGTGCAGTTTTAATCGTGGCCGCTTGCTGCCTCTTCGCCCCGGGCCAGGCCAAGAGACAGTCCATCACCCAGCGCATGACCAGCGACGGAACTCTGTTCGATCCCAACGGCGTTTACAAGCTGGCCCAAGAGGTCCGCGAGGACATCAACGGCAAAGTCGACACTAAGTCGAGCTCGGACAAGAAGTGCTCCCTGCCCAGTCGCGCCAGCCTCGACTACACCATGACCAAGTTCCGCATCACCACCCCCATCTTCTTCTCGCTCTTCGCCCAGAACTCGGACGTGCAGACGAGCTACGACAAGTTCATCATCAAGCTCAATCAGCTGGATCACTTCTTCGCGCAGTTCCTGAACATACGCAAGGGCGGCAACGACACCTTCTATCAGGTCATGAAGACGAGCTTCGTCCGGGGGGTGTTCAACGCCGAGCACGGAGTCGAGGCCATCCTCAGGAGTCTGCACGAGAACGCCATGGACTACAACGGACTGCCGGTCTTTCTCACGGATCGCATGACCGACGCCCTGGTGCACGAGGAGAGTCAAAAGATCATGTGCAACCTGGCCATATCGCCGCAAGCCCTGGTCTTCGATTTCTACAAGTCGGTGTCCCTGGCCGAGGTCAAAGCTCACGTCATCATGATGGGTGCTTACGACTTCCTTCGACAGGTTGGAAGTAAGTATTTATTTTCATTCTTATAATTTTAATTTGGGACTACATACGATAATAATAATTGCGATTTATCGAAAGAACCCGAGGCCGAGGATCAAATCGATCAGAAACTGGCCGATCTCAAGGAGAGAATGGCCAAGCTGTACGGCTTCATCAAGCCGAAACTGCACGAGGCCTCGAACGACCTCTGGAAGTGCGACCCACACATTCACGTCAAGGGCAAGACGTACGAGGAGTTCGGCCCCGTCATCCAGGACTACCTGATGATCGAGAGCGCCCCGCATCCGTTCGAGAGCGTGAAGAGCCGAGCGGACGGCCACTGCTCGCAGACCTGCGACGACATCCATCTCGCCGAGCAGAAGGGCTGCTCGGCCTGGAACGACGACGGCTGCGCCGAGTTCTCGCCCAACAAGTGCCAGGGCAAGATTCGCAACTGCAAGAAGTTCGAGTCGATACTGAGCGTATGCCCGTCCAGCGTGAGTTATAAATCATACTTTCTATTTTATTCCCCTTCGAATGTTTAAAATAATAGAATTAAGCCCCTACGGAATTTTGAGCGCCACTCTAATTCTTGAAAACTCTTAAAAACTCTTTAAAAGTCTAAATAAGTCCTGAAAATTCTTATAAATGTTCGGATTTCGTAGCATGATTTTTAAGAGTTAATAAAACTTTATAAGAGTTTTAAATGATAAAAATAGAAATATTCAGACGGGAATGTTTACAAGTTACAATCATTTTTATAAAGAGTTATGAAGAGTTATTAAGAGTTATATAGTGTTGATGAAATTTTCAATATTTTTAAAGACTTCTTTGATCGATATCCACGCTCGCCAAAAGTCATGGTGAAAAAACTATACAAGCGACTATATGAACAATATAGAAAAAATAAAAAAATTGAAAAAAAACTTAACATTTTTGCTAAAAAATTGAATCTCCAAAAGATTTTATGAATTTTTAAAAACTCTTATTACTTCTTTTGTAAGACTTTTTTAGAATTTATAAAACTTTCTCACGAGAAAAATTTCCGTCGGCGAAATGTACTTAATTGTTTGTTTTGTATACAGGCCGACAGCAATCGCAGATACGAGTACGTCGAGTTTCCCAACGGCGAGGCCTACGGCACGACTCAGTGGGAAGGCCCGCGTGACTGCGCCGCGAAGAAAGTGTCCGGCTACACCTTCCTGAAGCTCTTCTGGAAGTGCGACTACTGCCAGTGCACCTGCGAGGAGAGCCGCACCGACATCGATCGTTTCGTCAATCTGCGCGAAGTCACCTCCGACGTCGACAGCAACAAGGTCGTGACCGGTATGCGCTTGAGAAGATCCAACCACATCCTGCACATCCAGATACAGCAGGGCGTTCTGCTGCCCCACGGCGCCGTCAACAAGTCCAGCATACGCTGGCGAGCGATGAAGAATTACACGGTGCAGGACGCCGGAGTCGTCGAGAACGTGGACTATCACAGCCTCGACTGGGACAGACGAGGATTCGCTCTCGATGACGTGCTGCTGCCCACCAACCGCGTCGTGACCGGCCTGAAATTCATGCAGTCCAACAACGGCCTGTTCCTGCGACTGGCCGTGCGATCGACTCCGTTCGACTTCGCTACAGGCAAGCTGATGAGGGAGAACGAGACGTGGGTGTTCGCCGATCCGAAGAATACGAAGTAAGTGAAAAATTGATACAGTGGAAATCGTATGATTCGAAATGAATTATATTTGAAATAATGTTAAGAACGTGCATCGAATCGAATTTTTTTCAAAAACTACAAATTATGAGATAGAGTCCCTACCCAGTGAATGAAAGGTTTCAAAAAAGTTTGCTTAAATTTAGCTCAAATTAACGATTTTAATAAATTAAAGGCTATTATTCAGATGGATTATAATAGTAAATGTCTTTCTCTACCCAATAGAATTTTTGCAGAATTTTTACTTTCGACTTTCATTAATAAAATAAGGGAAAAAATACACGATGCACCAGTGAATGAAGCATTTTTACCAGCAAATAAAACCATTTTCAGAGTCATTTAATTAATAATAATAATATTCATAAAGTTGTTAAAAACTATGGAAATATTTAGTATTAATGCTCAATTATATTATAAAATTTCATTATCGATGAATTAGTTCAGTATAATTAAATTATATTAATTTATAAATAAAGTTTCATTCACTGGTGCGTTTTCAATCACTGGAGAGGTGACTCTACTTCAAGATACATTCAACATTTTTTTTAAATTCTACGATCAAAGAACGATTAATTCTTGACCAATTAGAGTTTAGAAATACGTATGTAGAAAATCTTTTCCGACGCGCTAGTAAACCTCATCTTTACAATGAGCGAAACATCCAATAGTACTTACATTATCGCTAGATGGCGTGTGGCCCGATTTTCGTAAATCACAAGAGACAAAGCAAAGTTGTAGGAATAAATATCGGGAGGAATAAACAGGGGCATCCCATTTCCAGTCGTACAAATAATTCTACCGCAGACATTTCTATCCCCGATAACATCGAACGCTCGACTCTACACGAACCAATTTTTGTTTTTCCTCCGTACAGCAACGCCCTGACTCTGATAAACGCCCTGCCACCGACCAGCACCATGAAGCATCAGCCCGACTCCGTGCCCGGACAGTACGTCGAGCTGGTGACGTCCAACTTCAAGCGCGACCTGGGCCAGACGGTGCTGCCGTTCATCGACGTACAGCCGGTGCGCTCGAAGATACCGATGCCGCTCGCCGGTGCCGGACTGTTCCACAAGGGTGCTCGGGACGACGCCCGTCACGTGTCGGGCGGTTTCTTGGCGCTCAAGATGTTCACTTACGATCTGACGGCTCACATGGAGAGCTGAGATATGCGAATCGTGTCGAAAAAAACATTGTCGAAAAAAACGTAGAACAGGCATATCTTTCTACACGATTTTTATTGTTTCTTGTAGTATTACAATTTAGTAAATTTTTAAAATAATTACTCGTAGGAAATTAAAATACAAATTTGTTGAACTAATGTTTTAAGAATAAAATGTTGTTAAAAGAACGTTGAGATTTCGTGACATTCTTTATTAACATGAATCTACGATGAGTATCGGTTCAGAAGACTATTGACTTTATCCATTTTCATATCTTCGTCGATGATGAGAGCCTCGAAATTCTTGCCATCCTTCACCGGCTCCCACTCGACCGGTACCAAATCCGTCTTTGTTGGATTCGGTTCGCTACGATGCAACGAATACAAATTATAGATGCGTACAAAATTTATAAAAGAAAAAAATGTATGAAATTTTATTTACCCCGTGGTCGCGAAGTTGACCCACATCTCGATTATTCGCTCCATCATCTTGAAATCGATCGAGCCGTCCTTGATCAGCGGAGCACCCGTGAACTTTTCGATCATGTTCATGCGGAATTGCTGCGAGAGCTCGTCCCCGTGAGCGGCTCCTACCATATCAAAACATCATAATATATTTCGAATCAATAATCAATCGATTGACCTTACCCTTGGCCGAGCTCTTCAATTCCATCTTCGACAGCGAGAAGCCCTTGTCGTAATCGTAACGGTAGAAGTAGGTGGGGTGCTTGCCATTGGTCACCTGCCAATTGACGACCCTGTGAACGCCCTCGGTGATGTAGGCGTCGCCCAGCAGATCGATCAGTTTGTCCTGATTATCGGCCGTGATCTTGTCGTCGCCGAAGTAGAAGCTCTTCAACTTTTCTCCGGACATGTCGGCCAAGCCGTACATGTGCTTCGGTACCATCACCACGTAGGGATGGATCTGGCTCTCGATGTCCTTGTCGAAGTCCTCGTAATTGCCGACTTTGAAGGAAAGTAAAATGTTAAAAATCGAGAACTTCCATTGGATTATTACGAATATCGTTACGTCGGTAAAAGCTGATTCCTTCGCGATTCGTGTGGCCGATCATGAGGGGAACGTGTGCGCCTGCCGTCGATCTTTTTATTATGCAGTCGGGGAAGAACGGATTGTCCGACTCGGCGTCGATGTTCGGACTGAAGGGGAAGGCCACCATCTGTGCCATTTGCTGTATGGATTTTTTTTCCAAATTAAAAATCAGTCTAAATTCAAACATCAATAAAATAATTACCGGATAAGGCACCAACTGTCGCTGAACGTCGATGATCTTCTTGTAATCCACCGTGCGCAAAAAGTCCATGATCTGCGCGTGATCCTTGGTCGGATTTCCCAACTTCTCGCATATCTCGTAGACGATCTCCGCCGCCCTGGGATGCGGCAGCGCCCAAGGATTGATCGCCACGCCGCTCTGAGCTATGGCCTTGTGCAGCAGACCCTTGGACATGGGCGAGATGGCGAGGTAGTGGGCCACTGCGCCACCGGAGCTCTGGCCGAACACCGTGACGCTGCCCGGATCACCGCCGAAGGCCGCGATGTTCTCCTGGATCCACTTGAGCGCCAGCACCAGGTCCTTCATGCCCTGATTGCCCGGCGCCAGCTTGTCCTTGAGATTGAGAAAGCCGAAGGCGCCCTGGCGATAGTTGACCGTCACCAGGACTACGTCCTTGCGCATGAAGTAGTCCGGGCCGTAGAACGAGTCGTCGCCGCTGCCGAAGATAAAGCCGCCGAAGTAGATGGCCATCATGACGGGACGTTTGAGGCTCGGGTCGGCTTTCTTCGTGAAGACGTTGAGATAGAGGCAGTCCTCCTCGCCCATGACCTTCTGCTGCATCATGCAGAACTGCGGGCACTGGGCCGCGTACGACTTGGCGTCGAGCACACCCTGCCACGGTTCAGCGGGCAGAGGATCCCTGAACCGGAGCTCGCCCACCGGCGGCTTGCCGTACGGTATGCCCTTGAAGGCGCAATAGTCGCCGCCGTCGGCGATGCTCTTCTGCGAGACGCCCTCCAGTTTACCGCCGGCCACGCTGATCTGGATCGTGTCGCACGAGCTCACCCATCGGCTCTGTTCCAGCAGCAGCAGCAGCAGAACCACCGCCAGGGGTAAAAAATTATAAAAACTACTACCCGATCGCTTCATTGTCTATTGTGCGATGCGCACGGTCGAAGCTGCGCCTCGAAACTGAAGCCCAGCTCTAAAAGCTCGGCGTGGAAGATGACTTACGTGAAAAAAAAAAAAAATGTTCATGCGACTCGCGTGCGACCCGTACATTAAACACGCGGACTATACTAGGCTTTTTAATTTATCATTACGTGTACGATGCAGCGAATGCGCGACTCTTAACGAATCCCGAAATTGTGCAAAATCACGGCACTCGCGAATTAACTACCGCATACTGCTACTGTACAAGTGCAGCAGCTCATGTGCGGTCATTGTCAAGTGCGGGCCGGTAATTACTTAACAAGTAGTCACCGTAGTTTTCCAATTCATTATATTTCATAAAATGCGGCAGAGATGTAATAGATATTTTTAAATCAATTTCGAAGTTAAACGCAGGCCGTTTGTTCCTAAAAAGGGTAATGTCGTTTAATTTTTATTTTATTTTATTAGTCGAGTCATGCTTTGGCAAAAAAAAAAAACGAACGAACTCCAGCTTGAACGCGTTCGGTTGCAATTTTCATGCAATCCTTACAAAAACACGTGTGTATTATGTCGGCGATGTGTTTATGCGTCCAGAGGTACACAATTGCTAGTAATCATTTTGAGTAATATTGGGCTCTGCGGGTAAGCGGTACATATAAGAGCTTCTTGGAAAAAATGTGATACAAATAAATAGATAATAACAACAGATATCCTCTGATGTTTGACATTTGTCTCTGCGAATCGAGTAATATTTTTTTTTTTTTTGGCGCCGGAAAACAATGGAAATATAATGTTACGAGTGGACGCGTAACGTAGTAAATAAAATATAAACTATGTAAGGTAATATTATGTGAGTACAATTACTGCACATACCACGCATAACTTTTCACAAATGACATAGTCTTACATATATTTTATAATCATTTCAATGCGCGACACACGATGACTCCGACATAAAAGTTTGAAAATGAAACTACCGCTTCTATTCGAATTAATTTATTATCTTTAATCGTATCACACTCGTGTATTAACTCGAATCAACTTTTGTGCACGTTCGCCGTGTGAGCCTTCAGGTACTCCTTCCTGCCGAAGGGCCTGTCGCATAGCTCGCACCTGTACGGCTTCAGCTTCAGGTGCACCGTGTGCAGGTGTCGCTTCACGTGGTTGAACTTGCTGAAGAGCTTGCCGCACTCGGCGCACTCCAGCCGCCTCGCGTCGTGCACCCGGGCCACGTGCAGCTTCAGCGTCACCTTCAATCCGAACGCCTCGGGACAGCGATCGCACAGGAACCTCTTCAAGCCCTGATGCAGCACCGCCCGATGCTGCCTGAGATTGTCCTCGCGCGCGAAGCCTCTGCCGCACTCCCCGCAGCGAAACTGCCTCCTGCCCAGATGCACCGCGGCGAGGTGCTGGGCGAGCTGGCTCGGCTTGCCGTAGCGTTTCGGGCAGATCCGGCACTGGTGCGGGGCCTCGTGTCGCGCCACCCGGTGCTGCCTCAGGCCGGACTTCGTGGCGTACGCCGAGGGGCACAGGTCGCACACGTAGCGGCGTCGCAGTCGTGGATGGGCCTCGGCGTCGAGCAGATGTCGCTGGAACGCCGCGTGCTCCTCGTAGCGAGCCTCGCACGCGCAGCAGTAGTAGGTGGTCGGTTTGTTGTTGTTGCACTTCGTAGAATCCATAATTTTATTTTAATTTCAATTTTTGACTCGCGATCGCCACTGTCCACTCGACGCGCGAGACTGTTATAAAAACAGTTTCAAAGTCGAGTCTAGAGCCGTGTGGTCATTTTTGATAACGATTTCCCAACTGCCTTATGATAATTCAATTTAATCTCTCAATTTCTTTGATTCGTGTATAAAATAAAAAAATACGCACACAAAGCAATAACAGTTCCACATTTTTTATTTACTCGCTTTTTTCTCTTTTTTTAAGTTGTATGTCATGTATACTTTATTTAATATACAAAATAGTATAAAAATTAATAATCTAATTAATTATCACATAATATATTATCATATATTAATGGCTTTTATATCTTATTTTGTTCATACGCTACACTACAGATAAAGTATATTTACATCAACAACTTATACGCTGCTCGTTTTATATACATCGCCCTTCAATTTTTCCCCCTCACATTTAAACCTGCCTCGTGCTTCGCCCACCCAGCACGTGTACACTGACTCGATGCGACTCCATATTATCCTTGCGCGCGAACTGGCGCGGACACTCGGGGCACTTGTGATACCTTATGCCGAGATGCACCGATTCCACGTGGCGCCTCAGATGATTCCTCAGGCCGAACTTCTTGCCGCACTCGTCGCAGCCGAACTTGGGCGGCAGGTGGCAGCTGGCGAAGTGGAAGGTCAGAGTGCTGCGCCAGCCGAAGCTCATGTCGCACTGGCCGCACTTGTACTTCTTCACGCCGAGATGGACGAGATTGACGTGTTGGCGGAGATTGTCCTTGCGCGTGAACGCCTTGGCGCACTCGTGACAGCTGAAGGGCTTGAGGCGACGATGCTCGCGATCCTTGTGCTGGCGCAGATAGGCGCCCTTGCCGAATTTCTGGGGGCACTCGTCGCAGGCGAATTTGGGCTCGTGCGAGTTGGAGCGATGCTGTCGCAGACCCGCGTTGGTGGCGTAGGCGGCGCCGCACTTGTCGCAGATGAAGGGCCGATCGATCTCCGGGTGCTGCTTGAACACGTGCTGCTGCAGATCGAGCTTCTCCGAGAACAGGGTCATGCAGATCTTGCAGTAGAGTTGCTCGCCGTCTCCCATGGACGCTGGGAAGTTGTTCTTCTGGCTTTCCTTTCTGCACATGCTTTTCTATGAAAACAAAGTGAGATTATTTTCGTAAATGAGTAAAATAATCATACTCGATATTGTCCACGCCCGCACCTTCGATCGAGTAATCATCGCGCTAAAATTTAAAGTTAAAACTCGGATTTGTAATGTTGTATAATGCCTTATCTTTCGGCTGTGCTCGTATTTACGCACGATATTACTACGAGTACGGTCGCTCGACGTCTATATTATTATTCTCGATAGCTGATTAATTAGAGCTTCGCGAGGCAGCGTTTGACCCCGTCTGCATGGTGTTGTAAAAACACGTACGAGCACTTGTTCACATTCGCGAAAGCAATTTAATTCCTATCCCCTACGGAAATTTCAGCGCCACTCCAATTCTTAAAAACTCGTTAAAAGTCTAAATAAGTACTAAAAATTCTTATAAAAAATTGAGTCTCCAAAAGGTTTTATGAATTTTTAAAAACTCTTATTAACTCTTTAAAATTATCAATCAGGTGTGCGAAATCCGAACATTTGTAAGACTTTTTTAGACTTTATAAAACTTTCTCATGAGAAAAATTTCCGTCGGGGATGCTTTCAATTAAGGATAAAAAATTATTCAATGTTTCCTCCCCTGTGTCTTATCTCAGCGTACGAAAACGTGATCTTTATTTATTTATTTTTTATTATACTCGTAAGAAACAGATGTACCGAAAATTTAAGCAGCTTCAAAGGTTCTTTTTAGTCCAGTTACGTTTGACTCAAGTCAAAGTGGAATCTAGCGACATCTATGATGAAAAAAGACACTAAAAACTCGAATGAAAATTACTAATAAAATCAAAACACATCGGTATTCGTAGCACGAGTAGCGATTTGCAATTCCGGCTTCGTAATGAACTCGCGTGTTTGCACGCGAAAAAAAAACAATATACATCGGAGTGGAGACCACCTCCCGCGGAGTGTTTCTTAATCTCCACTCGAAGCTGATAATAACTAAAACTCGAGATGAAATTTCTATACGCACAATACGATTGACGATAACTGCCATATTTTTAGAATATATCGACTGTCTACACTGAGAAAAAAAAATCATTGAAAAAATGAAAATTTCATAGATTCAACAAAATTATGTAATCTTTTTTATTTTATTGCACGAATGAAATTATTTGGTAAAAATTGTTAAATAGTTCATTCATTAAATAAAATAAATTTATTAGACTGATGAAATATTCTTTTCAATCTATGAAACATTTCTTCAAAATAAAGGAAAAAAATTTCAAAAGTAAAGTATCTTTAATGACAAATACTAATTAACTTTTCTCCAGTACCTGTAATGGAGTATAGATCGTTAACTATTTAATTATTATTATTAAATATCTTGTTGATTTTACAATTTATATACATATTCATTTGCACTTATAGTTGCACTTATAGTTTTAACTTAAGAATAATTGAACAATTATACATATTTATTAATCTTATCAAGCTATACTCGCAGTTTTACCTAACGATTAGCCTACCTAGGAACGCACGCACTTAACAACTATTAATCGCATTGGAGTTGAGTAATGAGAGGTTTCTTGTATAGCATTCAAAAATTCATTTAGCCACTCGCGAGTTTTGATATGCGCCCACTAGAAACTTCGGTTGAACAACAAAAAAAAATTATTTCATTGGTGCAACAAAATATTTGATAATTTCTGTTAAATGATATTATTAAATGAACAACATGGATTACATTTGAATTATGAAATATTTTAAGATGATGCCGAAGCCCCGATTTTGATCGACCGAGCATTATAAGTATAAATTCAAATAACTTTTTCACTACACTGAGAAAAATATTTGGCCCGATCAACCAAGGCTTCATTGTTTCAACGAAATTATTTCTTCGCGGGCAATCAATTGATTAATTTCATTGATTCTATGAAATATTCTATTAAAATTTACAAAATATTTAATAGAAAAAAAGTATTAATTTGAATAATAATACACGATATATAATCGAGTTAACTAAATATTTAGTTGAATTGTCAAAATAATTTAATTAATTATGACACAATTTAATTCTAGCAATGATATTTTTTGTAAAATTAATTAAAAATTTTTTTGTTTTGATAAAATATTTCGAAAATTTTAACAAAATAATTTTTTGATTTTATTTTCTATTTAAATAGAATATAAAATAAATTCTTGTGTTTTGGTTTTGACTTCTTTGAAGTCTTACACACTGATATCAGTTAACAGTCATTTTATTTTCGATTTGAAGAAATTATTTTAATTTACATACATAATTTTATAAATTTTTTTGCACTATTTAACACATATTCTATAACCTAACGCATTTACACGCTTGTAAACGATAACGCGACGCTATCGCTTACTAAGGGGTCGCTCGCTTATTTACTTATTCAAAGATGAACCTTCCTTATATACCAATCTAAAAGATATTTCGTCATTTGCGGAAACGAGAAAATAGTTGCCGAATACCTTTTAGCGGCAAAACATTAGACTCATTTTTTATTACGGATTATTAAATCAATGAAATATTTTATAACAATATTTTGAATGAAACTAGGTTCATCAACTTGATGAATCAAGTAATCCTAACAATGAAGCATTTCGTCAATTTTGTGAAATATTTATTTGGTATGTCTGCCAATCAAATATTTCATCGAAGTAATCATAATTTTATTAATTTTATTTGATCATTTCATTCATTTCGTGAAATACGAAATATGAAATGATATTTTCATATCACTTCATATCGCAAATATATCACTTCGTGATTGTTTCAATGAAATTTTTTTCTCAGGGTAGCCCGATTTTCGAAAAACGGATTCTAGTCTGGGCATTAAATAGACCCAAGAAAAGCTTGTATCTTCGGAAGCCTCGAGAGAGGCTAAAGAGAGGTGAATAAATAAACTGAGTTCTTTGAAAAGGGAATCTCGACTAATTCTTTCACCTACCTCCCAGTCTGGAATATATTGTATAGCGACAAATATAATGAAAGCAAGCAAAAGTTACTTGAGCGTCGAACCCTGTTTAAAGAAAATCGCTGGATTTCCAGTTGAAAAATCGAGCAGGATATGACTGGAAATCGAACTCGATTTGACTAGAAATCGAGCTGTACTTGACTGGAAATCTAGCTCGATTTTTGAAAATCCAGCTCGAATTTTGGCCTGAAATCTAGTTTGATTTTTGATCTGAAAGTAACCCAACAAATATTTGAGTAAATAGTCCGTTGTTGAAAAACAATCTCCTAAACTGCTCGTGACTTACTCCTTCATCTCGATGTCGGTCCAAATCAAACTCGTGTTCTTGGAGAAATGCGATGCCTTCAGGATTAAACTTGTCCTTGAGAACGTCGAACTTGAAATTTATTTGCCACGTGTTGATGTGAAAGATCTGATCTTCATTCACGCCGTAAAACGCGAGGCCAAATTGAATCGGACTTGAATCTCGTACTGTACTTTTTATGTAAGTCCATTCATGCCTTAATTATATTTGTCGCTATACAAGTTCACTACCATTGCAGTTTAGTGGAAAATTATTATATTTAAGTTTATCGCTAAGTATCGATGCCCAGCACTCCCAACACTGAGGCTAACATTAGTTCAAGTGAAAGTACATCAAAAAACGAAAATTTTAAGAGGTTTTGAAAGGTAATCGGTCAAGTAGATGCAAAGTTACAGCCTTCTGAGCTTGGTTCATGAGTTCATGTTGCCTCAGTGTGCACGCCCTAAGCGCTCGCTCGTTTCTACGCTCAAACTACGAAAGTTTCATTGTCTCAATCATTCATTTGATTAAATTAATAGTATATAAAATATTAAATTAAATTTCATTGAATCAATGAATTTTTTTTATCAGTGTAATGGCAAATGGGGTATTATGAATCTCCGAGAAGCCTTGAAAATTTGAAAAAAAGAACTTGAAAAAAAATTGCCTTCATATTTGAACGTTATATTTTACGCACCTGATATCCTCATCGTTGAATACGTTTTGCTTTTTCTTGCCGCCACTTTCTTTTGTTTATTGGTATGATAGTATTTAGGGTTAAGTTCCCCATGCTTTATATGTTTTTTTTGTGAGAGTGAAGAGTAGATTTAAAGGAATCTAAATTCTGAAAAGAGATAAAAGTTTCAGTATATTTATTTCATATTTTCTAACTACAAAAAATTTTCAAGCAGTATTTTTCTATCGTTGCATCGAGTCATTCGCGAATCATTCATATTCCATCCAAAGGAACTATCCAAGTGGAGGTCAAAAGAGGTTAAGAAGTTCCTAGTTCAACTTCAGTGCGCGGAAAATTCATAGATCGATAATACACAGAATACACATGAGTCTCCAAAGCGTCACTTACGTCCTGGCCTCGTCGATGGCCTTCGATATAGCCCCACCCCAGTTACCCCGACGGCAGTCGCGAGTCGAACCAGCCCCGGCCATCGGCAAAAGAGGCTTTGTCGTGGCCCGTCTCGACTCGCGCACTCTGCTCTTTTACTGCGATACGTGTCCTCACCGGTCCGTCGACCACGCGGATTTTCAGCTGCACGTGCGCAGCCACCACCCGGACACGTGGCCGGGCGGCTGTTTCGTCTGCCCGCGATGCGGCCTGACGTACGAGAGCCAAACCGAACTCGACGTGCATCGCAGCTTCATGCACGACGATGCCGGACTCCAGTGTCGCAGATGCTACAGCACGTTCGGCTGCGAGGCGCATCTCAGGAGTCACGAGTCGAGCGTGCATCGATTGAGCAGGAAGAGGAGGGAACCACGATGTGGTGATAATGCGGGACAATTTTTCTATCCCAGATGTCGTCAGCGGCCGAATTATAACCAGCAAGATAGGAAATATAGATGCAGCACTTGTTCGAGAATATTCAAAGGCATGAGAAATTTGTTGGCTCATAGAAGACAGGCGCATCCCAAATCGTCGCGTAATTGAGAGAAAAAAAAACTTTTGATTCGATCGTCCGAAGGGATAGAAACGAAGCGACAATTTTTTTTTTAAACGCGAAAGGAAACCAAGTTATATTAGCTTTTAATCGTACTTTATTTATTTTAACAAACTTTTAAACATATAATATTAGCTCTCTTTGCAATTCTCGCTCTCACCTTGACGATATTTTTCTAAGAAAAATATACACCCAAGTGTTTGTTATAATCTTCGTTATCAGTTTGAAAATTTTTTAATTTTCTACACCGGCTTCGAGAGAGAGAGAGAGAGAGAGAGAGACACTCTTTCTGCGATGTCGCGCGCGATAAGATAATGTAATGTAAAGGTACGTTTTTCGTGCAAAAAGTAATTATAGTGTTTGAAATTCCAAGCTATGTCACTAGAATTAAGGAACCTGTTCTCATCCGTGTGAAGTAATTATAAGTTTAATTGTCCTATTATTGTTTTGTACCACATGCGACGATTCAGAATAAAGAATAATTTATAAAGCACACACGACTCTCCCCAGCATCTTTATTTTTTTTCGAGATTAAAACGTTTACCAAGTCACGAACGTATAATGAATCTTATATCAAGCGGAATCTCGAGCGTTGTTTACTATTTCAGCACTTTTTATGATGCGCGATGCACATATGACGGATTGTTTATCTGCATACAACGCGTGTACGTAATACTTGTAATACGATCGAAAAAAACGTTTAGGATATCGCTCGTAGTTAATAAAATAATACCGATAGCCTAAGACTTGTATCCGCGATGAATTACGCACAAGTAAGCTGTTTGATTTGGTTTTTAAATAAATAAATAATTTAAACTCGAAAACAATCCCCAGCATCTTAACGTCGAACGTTTAGCTGTTAAATGTCACGCGATACGATAAAAAAGTCGAATCTCCATCAAGTATGTGAATAATCAGTTCCAAAAAATCACCGAATCTCTCAGTTCTAGGGTATACTTTTATCAAGGACACCATGTGCCTAAAAATAGCTCATTGCTCAAGAATGGGATCAAGATTTCGGAAGGCGTACCATATGCAGCATACGGTAGAAATTGAAAATCTCGCTCAGACTTTCTTACGAGTTTTTTTCCAGATAATTTCAAACGCGCACAGATGCGTTCCGGATAATTTCAAACGCGCGCATATGCGTTCGACATCACAATTTCTAACCAGCTCCGAAGCTATGCAATAACGTTGAACGCTTGAAAGGTATATAATTTCTTGTCTATGTACAATATAGGTCATAAACGCACGCGAAGGCGAGAGAGGTCTTACGCAAAATAACTCGTATTGCGAGCTCCGAGTGACTATTCATTTGTTAATACGTGAATAGCGAATAATGGGCTATTGACAATTCGTTGCGAGTTTGTGCAGTTTGTTCAAATTCGAAGCGATTCCTGGCTTACCGAATAGACTTAAAAGTATATTTATTTGAAGGGGTCGACTTACCGTAATTTTTTATTAAAAATTTTCTTGTAGTAGTCGATCGAGGATATAACTCCGCAAGAAATTCGGCCGAAATATAACTCCGCTTTACTCAAAAGAAGAAATTTCACTTGAATCAAGTTACCTGTGACTAAAACTCGCCGCAGCACGTGCGAGTGGGAGAATCTTCTGATGCTGGTTTTCACACGACGAATTTCGACCGACACGCAGATCGAGTATTGTGGAGTGTGGACTAGATGCCTGTACTACTACTGCCTGTAGTCCGTCGAAGAATCTTGAATGCCGCCGCGCCACCACAGCTGCGTCATTCCTCTACTAAGCTAGCGGAACGGAGCAGCAGCTGCTTCCTTATACCAACTTAGCTTCGTAGCAGCCGACGCGAAATGATAAACATGCCCTGCGTGACAGTCGACTTGCCACATTTGTTGCTTGTTGCGGCTCACATCACTGATAGCGAATTTTATCGCGTAGCATTTCAAGATGAACAACAATAACGTCAAGGTACTCGGTCAAAAGTTGCTGTCTTATTCGAGGCTGCGCTGGCGTGTCAAAAATGCCAGCAGCTTCATGACGACCGCCGCGGATCGATCCACCGTCGAGCAGTGTCAACAAACCAACAGTGTTAACCAAAAATCCGACCTCTGCAAGGATCTGCAGTACAAGATCAAGTTGTCCGGGCCGCTGAGCGTGGCCGGCTACATGAAGCACGTGCTCACCCATCCGGCCAAGGGCTACTACATCAACAAAGATGTACTGGGACCGGAGGGCGACTTCGTCACGTCACCCGAGCTCAGCCAGTTGTTCGGGGAGATGATCGCCGTCTGGATAATAAGCGAGTGCAAGAAGATACACAACAAGAAGTTTCAGATCGTGGAGCTAGGGCCCGGTCGTGGCACGCTGTCCAGAGATATCTTGAGGGTCTTCGACAAGCTCAAGATGAACGAAGAGGTGTCTTTGCATCTTGTGGAAGTTAGCCAAGCTCTGGCCAAAGTGCAGAAAGACATGCTCTGTGGGTCTGAATCGAGTTCGGAAGATAGTAAAGAGAGTAAGGGCAAACACTACATGAAAGGCAAAACATCTAATGGAATAGACGTCTATTGGTACAAATCTGTGATCGATCTTCCTCAAGGATTCAGTATCTTTATAGCGCAAGAGTTCTTCGATGCCTTGCCAATACACAAGTTTCAAAAGACAACAGATGGATGGTTCGAGGTGATGGTGGATGTCGATGCGAGCAATGAACAAGAGGATAAATTTAAATTTGTTCTAGCCAAAACAGAAGCGTGTGATGCTATTTTAGATAAAAACGATCCCAGAGATCATGTAGAAATAAGCCTCGAAGCGATGAATGTAATTAGGTACACTTCTACTGCTATTGCCCAGAATGGAGGTTTCATGCTGATTATTGATTATGGGCACAGTGGGGAAAAAACTGATACGTTCAGGGCTTTCCGACAACACAAGCAAGTAGATCCATTGGTGGAACCAGGATTATCTGATTTGACTGCAGATGTGGATTTTGCCCTTTTGAAAAGGATAGCTAGATATCACAACAACACTTTGTGCTTTGGACCTGTAACTCAAAAAGACTTTTTAACTGAATTAGGAATCAATATTCGTTTAGCAAATTTATGTAAAAATGCTACACCTGCCCAAAGAAAGCAATTGGAACATGGTTATAATAAGATAGTTGGCGATGATGAGATGGGAACTTGTTTTAAAGTTGTTGCCATGTTTCCCAATGTTTTAAAGGATCATTTTAAAAAATTCCCTGTCTATGGATTTAATACCTACAATGAAGATGATTTAAAGTGAATCACTAGTTAGACACTAATTTATTTGTTACAACTAATATGATAGTTGAATTTTTTGTACTTATCTAGTCTAATTAAAGAACTAAGTTCATTTGTAAAAATATTGATTTGTTTGTAAATTGACCCTACATTATAATCATAAACTTTGAATGACAAATAATACTGAAGTATGACTTCAAAATCAAAAACCAAAATATATTTTTCATCACCTTCATTTATGTCCAAATCAAAATTAAACTTTACAGTACCTCATATGATTGTTCAGCACATTATTCAATTAAATCAATTAAATTTTAATAAATTTTAAATCATTCCAATTGACATTCAATAAATCTGACATTTTTGAAAATTCCCGCCTCTCTCCTGGCGGTGGCGGCGTCGGCCGTCGCCTCCAAGTTGGAGCAGCATCAGTATTAAGGAAGAACCGTCAAAAGTTCACGCCGCTGCATGGGCTACCTAGTTTTGGTTAGCTCGCTGTGTGGTAGTCTACTTGTAGGGTACATTGTGTACACACGCACGGCATTTAATACAGAGAGTGTTAGAAATTTCGGCACGCGCGGGCAACTCGTCTCGTCGATTTTCAAGTTGTATACGGTTCAATTACTACGTTATTAAAAAATGAGTATGCTTGGATTAATTGTGTCCGGTCGTCTGGTAAGTGAAACATCCATAAACGCATTAACCTGGCTTTTTCCACCGGGGTTTTTCACTCGAGCGTCAGCTGATTTGTCAAATTTATCCAAAAGTTTCCAGAATATTCGACAATCGTCGGCAATCGAAAATACGCGATAATTCGTGAAATTGTCTTGAAATTAAAATTTTTTAAATAGCATTTCAGTTTGAAACTCGAGTTTAATCTATTTGGTTTTATTTTTATAATTATTAAATCGAAAATAATGAAAATTGCATTTGTGTTTTCAGGTTCAGACTGACTTTCAACCCGTTAGTGATCATCAGTTTTTAATAACTGTACCCGATGCTGATGACATCAATCACATTGTTGTTTTTCTAACTGGATCAATTCCACTTGCAGAAGGCATGGGTGGTGCTGGTAAATACTTATAATTAATTACTAAAATTACCTCATGTCATACAATTCTAATCAATAATATTTTTTTTCTCAGTGTACTTTAGTTGGCCTGATCCCAGTGCACCACCAAACTGGCAGTTCTTAGGATACATAACAAATCACAAACCTTCAGCTATATTTAAAATTTCTAATTTGAAAAAAAATCATGAATTTGAGAATAATAATTTAAACATCTTTGGAGGGAAGATATCTCATGTTGCACAAATAGGTGTGTCAGTTGAGCCATTGAATATCATAGAACAGCAAGCCATGATGGCTTCAGCCACATTGAATGCAAACCACGCAAATACAGCCCTATATTCTGCACAAAAAATTGTACAAAACTTCTTGAATTACGTATCGAGCTTCTCAGTGACGCAATCACAAATGACGCCAAACCCTACAGAAAATTTTGTGCCTCTATCGTCTATACAACAGTGGTATCAAACGTTCGAAAGAAGACTGCAGCAAAATCCAAATTTTTGGAGAGAAGGATAGAGAAATTTGTAATTAGATTCCCAATTACTTATGCTCTGCTTTCAAAAAGCAGAAAGTAACAGTGTGTGTATGTGTGTGAGTGTAATTTTCTACACAATCAATTCAGCGAACATCTTATACATTTTGCACGAGCATCTGTAAACGATATAAATATTTTTATAAAATTTTGTGTATAAGTTTTACCTAGTTTTAAAGATAAACGAATGTTTTTGTAATGCAGACAAATTTGAAAATTTGAAAGAAACAAATAACATTGTACAGAAATACCGTGTGTAATTTTTGTCTCCAGTTTTTAAATTAATTTAAAGAAAAAAAAAAAAACTTTATTTAATAATGAACTTCATCAAAATTGTAATATTATTTTATTATTTTTAACTTACAAATAAAATTTGCCATCATCTCACATCTAAAAAAAGTTCGTTTCATTTTGTAATTTTCCAATGCTGCTGTACGTGACTCGTTATCTATACTGATGTGCGAAAAACGGAGCTTCTACAGTGGCGCCTTGTGCGCGCGAAGTGAAAACACGATAACAATTGCGAATTTCAATCATTCCTAAGCCTAAATTTGCTCAAACTGTCGATTTTTAAATATAAATTTGTTAAATCCGTCTATTCCTTTGAATCTCGTCGATACTTCGAATGCTCCAGTTGAAATTGCGCATATTCGTAACTGCAGGCTCCGAACTGTACACAGTGGCTTAATGATATTACACAGAGAGAGAGGCTACCCGCCGTACATCACGTATAGTCGCACACACACAGAGACAGGGGCCCTACCTGCTGCTGCTATACTGCAAACGGAGCGTAGGAGTGTGTGTGTGTGTGTGCGTGTGCAGTCAGCAATGCTATATGTGTCTGTGTCTGTGTGTAAAAGCTAGCTTTACCAACGAGCTGCTGACTCCGTAACAGTTGCATGTCAACGTCTCTTGTTGACTGCGTCGGACGCGTAGTTGGTAATTTTAACAGCGAGAGAACATCGACGCTCTACGCCCGCGACCGTCGTCGATTCGCGCATCCCGTTGTAATCGTTATAAATCGCCGTTCGGGCAGTGAATCTTCGTCAATGGATATCGTCGAAATAATATAGTGAACGACGAGTTTTGGCTGCGACGCAAGCCAGACGTCAGTGTCGCGGAGCTGCGAGGCAGAACATTATCTATATAACAGTTGACTTTGTGCGTGCAGCAGCAGCAACAATAATAGTCAGTGTCCGTGTTGGTGTGTATATATCGAGTATCAAGTCTCGCGAACAAAAGTACATCGTGCAGCAGCAGCAGCTATCGCTGAGTGTTGTCGTTGTTGTGTGCGCGATCGCTTTTATTTCGTGCCCCAGTAGTGTGGTCGGCGACGCGAGGAGCTGTGCTCCGTGTGTGTGCTGCACAAAACAACCGCAGATGATGCGTTGTTGTTAATATCTCGCTCAACGCAGCAGTTGTTGTTGTAGTATACTCTACTATCTCGGTGCAGAGTGAGAGAGAGAGGGACTCCAGTTTGCGCAATACCCAAGAGAAGTTTCGTGTATACGCGTGTATACGCGTTTGTGTTCGTGTGCGCGAGCCAACTCCGTATTCCAAATTTCGCTGTATCGCGACCGTGTACAACGCATCTCGACAAAAGAGTGCTGCTGCTGTTCGGAGTGTGTTACATATAATCGTTAAAGGCTGGGCATATAATTCGCAGGTATTATAATATACCACAAGGAGTGCAGAGACAGACGGACACACACATATGTGCGCGCGTCGTCTCCGCTTGTGTTGCGATTATTATTCAGCAGTGGTGGGCTCACGCCGTTCGTTGTTATTTCGCTGTATCGCACAGAGTCACTCGCTGCTATATATACTATAAAAATATAGTACACGAACTGACAGTGACTGCACTACTCCGCTGTTTTACACACTCGTCGGTCGTACAGTAGTAGTAGTAGCAGTGGTGGTGGTGATGTAGTAGTAAAGCGAGCAAAGAAGAAGCAAAGAAGAATATATTACAATAACAAAAACATCGGGACATTGTGTGTGCACGCGAATAACGAACTATCCCCCGATATATTTTATATACATATAAATCGCTGAGCGGTGTGTGTATAGTTGACATACGTGCCTGCTCGACGCATTCGCGACTTTACCCAAGAGTGCAACAGACAGTTCTCGGTGTCTGTGTGTCTGTGTGTGTGCGAGAGGAAGAGAGAGAGAGAGAGATAGAAATTGATCGACGAGTCTCTCTCTCGAGGTGTGCGCGCTAGTTTCTCTCTCTGTGTACTGTACGTACGTGTGTCTTTTCTTGCGCTCATATACCGCGAGCAGCTGTGCAAATTGCAGTGTATGTGTGTGTGTTAGCATCATCATCATCATCATCATCATCATCATCATCATGCCATCGACATTAACGGCGTCGGCGATCATCGACATTCTGCTGCTATCTGCTGCAAGCTAAAAGGATACTACGTAATCATCGTCGCGAGTAGCTGCAGCAGCAGCAGCAGCAGCAGCAGCGTCGGCGGCGCCAGTCGCAGCAGCAGCAGCAGCAGCAACATCAACAGCAGCAGGGTAGGTGTGTTTTATAATCAGCCTCCTTCGTGTGTTCGTGTGTGTGTGTGTGTTATATTATGCCTGCGTTTCGGAGCAGCAGAGAGGCTATATTATAATAGACAGCAACGAGGCGCATATAATACACAAGTCCGAGGCTCGCTCGATGTTGCTCGTTTTATTATTATGTGCATATCTCGCTCTCTCGCTGCGGTCGGACTTTGTTATAAAAGAAACGCAGAGAGACAAGAAACATGACGTAGGCAGAAAATTTTGCAGGCTACATTTTTACGATATAGGTAGCACTAAAGTGCATCTCTGCCGAGATTGTTATGTAGTGCGTATATAGGCACACGAGCCAGACAGCTGTACTAATGCACGCATGCACATACCTACTGTACTACTAGGTAGTGGTGCAGCAGCAGCAGCAGCAGCAGCAGAGACAGTAAGACGAGATGCGAAGGCTGCCGCCGTAGTAGCCGCCGTCGTCTCTCTTGCTGTTGTTGCTGCTACATACCTATACGTCGTGCTGCAGCAACATTCTGCATGCTTAAACTTACACACGCACACATGTGTGTGTGTGTGTGTGGGGCATGCTCCGCTCTGCTCTGCACTCGACTCGGTTGATTCATTCCTCTGAGCGCGGCTAAAGTGGAAGAGCTCCGACTTGGCCAATATACTCTACACGCGCACAATATGTGACACGAGTAAACAGAGAGAAAAGGAATAACTGCATGAAAAAGCGACAAAATCAATGAATCGGATCGTACAGCCGCGAGCGAGTACTTACCTGCGCGTAATATACCTATGATCGAAGGTGGCGGCGCGTCTACGTGCGTAAAAACGCGTACGCTTACGGCGCTGTAGTATTTACGCACGTACCTTTTAATTTTTTTTTTTAAGCGTTAAAAGCGAGTTAAAAAACAGTCGCTATACATGCCTATATTGATTTTTGCCCGCCTCGATTCGGCCTGTATATACATACGTTACCTACATATTAACTCGTGCGTGTGTGTGTGTGTGTGTGCAGTGCATCTTTGTGTGTTAAAAGTGTGACTCTCAACGTGCTGCTGCTCATGCTCCTCGTGCCTAGTGCACACTCCACATTGTCTCGAACGCCTACATTTTTTTTATACGATATATATCAATAATAAAAGAGGCTCTAAAGCTCGTCGACCACTATATTTTGTATACTCTACCTATATGCACACACGCACACACTCACAAACACACATTTATATGCATATCTCTCATTGATAAGCTGCTCCAAAGTGACTCTCGGCGGCTCTCCGCGTGCAGCAAACTGCACCGAGCATAGGAGAGAGATTATTTACGAGTGGACGTTGTGCATGTGCATGTAGTAGCGGCGGCGAGCGCACAAAAATCCATGTGTCTATAAATAACCTGCCGAAGTAAACAAAACATGTCTAACGAGCTTCTATAATTAGTCGTCTGTGTGTGTGTGTGTGTGTGTGTGTGTGTGTGTGTGTGTGTGTGTGTGCAAGTCTGCTACTGCTGCTGCACTGTACAGTCTCGACCTCTTTTAATCGTGTGCGCCCCGTCGACGACGACGTCTCGAGTCCGCCTTTACAATTAACGTCGTTACTACGTGCGGGCTCTCGAATATATAAAACGAAACGATGACGATTCGAGTATTTTCTTTATCTTCTCGTCCTTTTGTGTTGTACGCAAAAAATAAACCAATTGCCACGTGTGCGAACGATTCGGAAAATTTTCCGAGCTTTCCTTACGGCACCGCTGAAATCTCGACGAATCTAACGAATTTATATCATCTTCTTTTTCGTCATCTTAGTCACCGGAATTTCGATTCCGTGACTCGGAATCTCGATGTCGCGCGGCTCTTTCAGGCCTTTCGCGTCGTCGCGACTTCCTTAAAGATTCACAAAAATAAAAGATTCAATGCGTATCGCGAGTAAACAAATCCATTCGTCGATTCCAACAATGTCTTCGAGGAATTTTCATTTTTTTTTATTCTTCGATGCACGGCGCGATACAGATTATCGCTGTCGCGCTCGCTGCTTCGAAGAAATCGTATAATTATTTGACTCACGCGCGAATTGTGTTCTATTAATTTTTCGATATAATCGTTCGCGGTATATACAGGCCAATATCATATCTACACACACACACAAGTGCGCATTTTCTTACTCGACGTTGACGTTCCAATGTCACCCCATTCTCTCGAAAGCTGTATAGTAAGTAGCAGCCGTCCTTTAACTGCCGCGTCAAAAGTCTCGAACGTGTGCAGTCACACGTAGGCGCTTCGCATCTTTTGAGCTTCGCTGCGCGCAAAATGAAATTTTCATCACGCATCACCGACGCCTTGGGTTGAATTTTTGTTAAAAAAAAAAAGTGAGCTCCGCAAGCGACTACACACACAGACAGGCAGACAGACACATACCACACTGGTATATCGCACGAAAGTGCAAACAACTTTCGAAATCACTCGGTAATAGTATTTTCTCTTTTCTCGCCGCGCGTATCGCAGCCGCCGCCACCGTCGTCGCTGCAAATGAAATGTCACTCCGATAAATGAACTCTAGCAATATAATTGTCCCAAGTATACAATAATAAGTATATATAAAAAGATAAGTGCGACAATGAATCGCTCGACGAGCTTATCGGACAAACCGCGGTGGCGGCGAGCTGTCAATGTTTATGTGTACATAGAGCGCATCAATTTTTTTCTTTCTCTTCAACGAGCTCCGAACGTCGAGTGTTATTATTATTTGCGTATGTAAACAACGTCCCCCGCGCAACAAGCCGGTGCATTTTAAAATCCACGCGAGACCTTTAAGATTGCGCGTAACACGCGTAAAAAAAAAAGACGTATTTCACTCGATATATAGGAAATTTCAAGGTGCTCAGCTGCAGCTAAGCTCGAGGCAATAATCTTCGGGAAGAACAATTTTTTTCTCTCTCTCTCTCTCTCTCTGTTCGCCGCTATATATCCGCTATGCACGTAGTAGTAAACGGGTTGAGCGCCGCCGCCGTATATATATACGCGCACACGTGACCCCGTATACGTCGTCGTCGTCTCTCTCGCTCGCTACTCCGACCAGCTAGCAGCTTATCTGTGTCTCCGCGCATTAATTGTACATATGTATACAACACACGACACCTGCACACACGTGACCTCCTTTTATTTTATATACTAATATTATACTATAATACGCTTCTATCGAGGAGGGAAAAAATTTAAATCCTAAAAAACACGCGTAAATAAATACACACTGTCTCGCGAGAGCGAGCGTAAACAAGCACACGCAGTTATACGTGTAGTGTGTGTGTGCAGCCTTGCGTCGTCGCGAAATATAATTCTCGAATTCGCATGTACACACGGATATATAAAAGGCAAATCGATCGCGCGCCTCGGGACGCTGCTCGACACGCTGTTTTGTAATTTTGTCCCGCGCCGCGCTGTACATACTCGCTGATCGCTTTTCGTTTTGTTGTATGTGTGCAGTGCGGCGCACAATGTGTGTACACATATAGTAAGAAACTACTCTCTGTGAGTGAGTGTGTGTGTGTAGTGCAGTGTGTCCTTCTTTCAGCTGTCTATAACATATTGTGTGTGGCTGAGCTACATGTGCATTATATACCTCTATATATATACTGGCATGTAATGCACAATGTGTATAGGCAACGGCGCCTCGTTCATTACCGATTGTATACATGTGTATCTGTGTGTGCATGTGCGCAGCTTTTCAAAGGAAATAATAATGTCGGACACCGATGAAAAACGCGAAACACTTTTTCCGACTTGTTTTTCGCTTTTCTTGCTCCGCGTGGTTCGTGCCGAGATAAATGCACGTGCGATGATGAACTTGCGAGATATTTTTACAAACTTATTTTCGTATGAATATGCTTGAACTTTAAAAAAAAAAATTGTGTGTTTAACATTGAGAATGAACGATCGAGTTTTATCCAGACGCTTTCGTAAAAAAAAAAAACAACTTTTATGACTTTTTTTTTTACTTCCAGGTGTAATCCGATACAAATCTAAGGTATCCTAGATGCTCGGAGATTAAGGCTGTAACCCTGGTCTGCTCTTACAAAGGTGAGATCGGTATTACCTATATCGGTTTTATACACTTGCATAAATTTCACAATTGCTTCCTTTTTCTGTACTAAAACACAGACGAAAAAAACAATGGAGAGCTCCGAAGAGCCGACGAGTCTGCAGTCGATCTGCCATCTGCGCGCCTCCGAGCTCTTCCCGAAATCCACGAGCTACGAGTGCGAGGACGCCACCCTGGCCTGCCCGTTCGCCCTGCTGAGCGGCGAGTACGTCGTGGCGCTGGGACACACCTCCGACGGGGTTCTCGCCCTCTCGAATTACCGACTGTACGTGCAGGTGGGCGAGGGATCGCACAACGTGCCACTCGGGCTCATCGAGCTGCTGGAGGTCAAGGAGATTTTTTACCTGCACATCAGCTGCAAAGACGCCAGATCGATCAGCTGTGCTTTCTCCACCAACGAGCATTGTCTGGAATGGTTCAAGAGACTGCACAAGATCACTCTTCCGAGGAAGAGCATCGAGGATATGTTCGCCTTCGCCTACTACGCCTGGTCGATGGAGGAGCGAAAGGAGTATCCGAAACTCGGCAAGGATAACGACACGTACCTCGCCACGTTCAATTCGGAAGTGAGTCATTTACGAACGCGATACGTATAGTCATTTTCCGTTTACTAATATAATGTACGATTTGACAGGTGGAACGTCTGAAATTCAATCTGCACGGCACGTGGCGCATCAGTCAGATCAACAAGGATTACCAGCTGTGCCCGTCCTATCCCCCTCAGATCCTCGTCCCGGCGTGCATCTCCGACAAGACCCTCGAGACGGTGGCGAAGTTCCGCACGTCGCGGCGCATCCCCGCGGTGATCTGGCGTCACGTCGGCAACGGGGCCGTGATAGCGCGCAGCAGTCAGCCCGAGGTCGGCTGGCTCGGCTGGCGCTCCACCGAGGACGAGGATCTGCTCAAGGCGCTGACAGACGCCTGCTTCTACGACCGGGGCGAGTCGACCATCATGAGCGACGCCACCACACCGACGACGCCGACGACGACGGCGACGACGACGGTAATCAACAATTACTCTTCCCCGGAGCTGAGCGACGAGCCGGTGGTGCCGGCGCCCGTCAAGAAGGTCCTCATAGTGGACGCCAGGTCGTACACGACGGCGGTGGCCAACAGGGCGCGCGGCGGCGGCTGCGAGTGCCCCGAGTACTACGCCAACTGCGAGATACAGTTCATGAATCTGCCCAACATACACTCGATACGCAAGAGCTTTCACGCGGTGCGACAGCTGTGCGCCTCGGACGCCGATCAAAACAAGTCTGTATCTCACCTCGCCCGAATGAAATCTTCGTGATAAACATTTTTTATTGTTCAATTTTTTTTTCTTTTACGATTCCACAGCTGGCTGAGCTTGCTCGAAGGCACAAAATGGTTTCAACACATGTCGGGCTTATTGAGGACGGCCGTCACGGTGGCATCGGCGATCGAGCGCGAGGAGAGGCCGGTACTGGTTCACTGCAGCGACGGCTGGGACAGAACCACTCAGATCGTCGCGCTCGCCCAGCTTCTGCTCGATCCTTACTACAGAACGATGGAGGTGAGATTTACAATAAGCTCGCTTATATAAGCACGAATAATTTTTTTCCGATCGTTTAATATTTGATGTTTTTTGATTTGCAAAAAGGGTTTCCAAGTTTTGTGCGAGAGAGAATGGCTGGATTTCGGGCACAAGTTCGCGGATCGCTGCGGGCACAATGTCGGATACGAGGATCCGAACGAGCGATGCCCGGTATTTTTGCAGTGGCTCGATTGCGTCCATCAATTGACCACTCAGTTCAAATGCAGCTTTCAAATGTCACCGGCTTATCTCGTAAGTTATCTTTTTCCAATGATACATATAAAAAAAAAAATAATAATATCAGTTACTTATTGAAATTCTTGTGTATTCAAGGTCAAATTAGCTCAACACGCGTACTCGCAACTGTTCGGAACGTTCTTATGCAACACGAGACAGGAAAGATTGCAGTTGCGAATAAGAGACCGTACCTTTTCCATTTGGCGCTTCTTGAACTCGCCCTCGTTCGTCAATCATCTGTACACACCCACGAAAAAAGTATTATGGCCGAGTTGCAACGTGCGCGATCTCAAGCTGTGGCACGACGTGTACCTGGGCAGCAAAGACTCGACACCGGGCATCGGCGATATCAAGCAGCAGCGCGTGAATCTGATCGATATCGAGAACGGAGACAGCGAATCGCAACTCACGGAGACTCGTTCCTACGGTGATCTTATCCAAGTACAAGAGCACACGGCTTATTTACCTAGACGGCAAAGTGATCCTAGCATTTCAATAGAAAAGTGAGTGTTTGCAAGGATCGAAATTACGAAATTTTATCCGAAAAAAAAAAAAACGTTTATCGATCGATCTTTTGATGTTATTTACAGAAAATTTGATACAATCACGTTAGAGGGTGGTCGCGCGAAACTCGGCAAAGAGAATGGCGACGAACTCGTCGAACTGAAACGGCAGCCAAACGAAACCAATTCCATTACCGAGCAATTACCAAAAGAGACTGAAGAAGTTAAAATTCTACCGAATGTTAAGCAAATTTCTATCGAAGCCAATACTTCTGTGGCTAGTTCGACTGACACGATCGTACCGAATGGTGATTTAATCGTTGCTAAAAATATTGACCAGGACAAAGATTTGTAAGTTACTTAGAATTTAAAAATTCGTACAAAAAAAAAAAAAAAACAACTGAATTGTCATTTTTCATCGCACATGCACATTATGAATTAGTGATCAAGAAACCACGTGTAACGACACGCAAGAATCTACGGATTCGCAATGGGTCGATGCCGCAGCCGTTAACGACTCTAGCGAAAAATCGAGTACCCCTAATAACGAAGGTGGAAGTGATTTGAGTGAAACTAGTGCAGCTCTAGCCTCGCGAACACCGAGCAGTATTTGTCCGGCGTCGCCGATCCATCAAGAAGCTCTGATCGACAATTTGGACAGACTCGACGACGTCGATGGTTTGCCGGTTATCCAGTGCGACGTTCAGATGCGAGTTCAACAAATTATCGTTGAGAATAAGGTACTTTGACAGATTTTATCATTAACGCGAAGTCATATAGTAAATAATTTTTTTATAAATTTCAACAGTTGAAGGAAGAAGCGTTGAGAAAAGAACTGCACACAACGAGAATGGCTTTGATAAAGCAAGTTTGTTACCACAATGGAGAGGCTGAGCCGATTGACGATGTTGTTAGTAGAAATTTTAATTATAATCAAGACATGAAATTCTTTTTTTTTGTTTCAGTATTATAACGAATCTTATTTTCAGGGCTCTTTACCGGATTCGATGGGCAGCGCCGGCGAACGCGGAGAGTCCTTACCGTCAGACATGTCGTGGGAAGCTCTAGATGAACCAGGACCAGCTCCAACTTTGTGGGTACCGGATCATGCAGTTAACCGATGCATGGGATGTGATACGGAATTTTGGCTCGGAAGGCGTAAACATCATTGCAGGTAATTTATCAGTGAACAGGAATGAAATATTTTTAATTTCATCTCCAGTTTTTCAATATGACTGATAAATAACTATATCACAGGTGCTGTGGGAAGATATTCTGTGCCGACTGCTCGGAAAATTCAACTCCGTTACCAAGCGAACAATTATATAATCCAGTTCGGGTGTGCAGTGAATGCTACACTCATTTACACCATCACACAAGTCCATGCCAATGCCGACAACAGCATCACTTGCAACAGCTGGAGACACAAGCACCACAAGAACATAAACCATGCCAACCTCAACAAACACTTGCGCAACATCAGTATCCGCAACAAAAATTGGAATCACAACCACAGCAGCAGCAGCCGCAGCAGCAGCAACAACAACAACAACAACAACAACAACAACCGCCACCTCCTCCACCACCACTACCAAAACCAAATAGTAATAACTCGATAGAATCAGTTGACGTTGCGGTACCCGCACCACCGATTCCACCTCCTTTCCCTCCCGCAAACGACTGTCATCGTTCGGCTGCAAACAGCCGAACATTTAATGATGAATGTTGCGAGGCTATCGTCGAACCAAGCGGCGCCAATTGAGCGCTGGCGCTCTCTCGTAAGCCATCGTTTAATTTGTTGATCAAGTGAGGCTCTTATTGAGATTCGTATTATATTTTTTTAAAAGCATTAACTTTGTCAAAGTTGAATGTGTAGTTGAACATTAATCGATGTTACGTGTCCTTCCCTTGAATTCGAGTATATATTAGAAAAATTTTGATAAATACAAACTTTTCAAATAAAGAATAATATCAATCTCAATGAATCATCACAAGTATTCGTAATCAAAGGAGTGCTGGCGATTCCCAGGAAATTTATACACTGAATTCTTTGTATTGTATACTTATATAAATGACTATAGTAGACCGCGCGATCGAGTGATCTAATAGTCCATAATGGAAAAGAAGATTTAAGAACTAATATTAAGAGTATTTCAGAACGCGTCACAAAAGATGGTATGATATGAAACTACATCTCTGACTTGAATGATAAAAAAAACGGCAAATATCGAACATAGACTATTTCAGTGTTACTTTTATTAAATTAGATTATTTGAAGAATCTAAAACAATTGTTGGAAACTGATTTCTAATTTTTTCCATCACAATTTAAAAACGTTATACTTAATAAAATAAGTCAAAGAGTAAAGTTTTAATAAAATGAATCGTGATTAAGCTCATTACTCTATTTAAAATTAATTTAAAATGCGTAAGTGTGATATATAAATGGTATATGTATTTGTTTGTGATTGGCTGTGACAGATATTTTAATTTTAAAGGACGAAAAATATTTTACCTATAACTTATGGCTAATCGATAATTTTTATTTAAGTAATGAAAAGTATGAATAAAAATTGGATTCTATAGTTATACTCAAATTGTTGTTTTTCAAATTCAATGGTGTAACAACTTTTCGAAGCGGTTAGATCTTTTGCAAAGAAAAATATTATAAACCATCATTAGTTGTTACTTTAGAATAAGCGAGTTTTAAGTGTTTTATTATTTACAATAAAACGAAATAATCTTAACAAATGATAACTGATAACCTGAACTTACCTTCTAAGTGGCCTGGTGCCAATTTTCTTCGACCAAAAAAGAAAATGGACATTCATGAAGTTTAAATGCCAATCGAGCAAAAAAATAAAAACCGCTCATGCATGTCCATATAAAAAATATAACGGGTGTAAGAATATAGAATTGGAAAAATATTTTATACTTGGGAGTCGATGGATTATACAAAAAAAAAAGTGGAAAATGATTCGATGGTCGATATCAAAAACTACGTGAAACGTATACATGTATATATTATTATACTTGAATTAAAAATGAGCGTATTGAATAAAAAAAAAAAAAAAAACAAAACAAAACAAACATTGATTACAACGCAAAGTATTAGAGTATTTATGATATCTAGACGTTGATCGCGACCTATTAGTTTTCATTTTAACAATTTGCACGTTCGCTCAAATTGCGAGCCGAGGTACAACAAATAAATATCATTTATTTACAGTAAATCGTAATATACTTGTTGTTGTGATTTTTTGATGCCTACAAATCTTTACGTAAGGATTATTTTTTCGAATCGATCGAGTTCATCTGACTTTGAAGGTAATATTTTTGAAGCTCGAGGCGTTCTTGAGTAGCTCGGTGGCGTTCTGGAGCATGTTTTTCGTTCCCTTGGTCTCGTCGGCGTTCTGAAACTGCACGAGAATCACGAGGTACGTCGTGACCGCTCCGGCAATCTTAAAAAATCACGCTCGTATCATATACATCTTTGCTCTCGAGGATTATATAATTTTGTATATATCACTCACCGAAGTCACCAGACCGCGATCCAGAAAGAACAGTCCGCAAGCCGTGAACTCCACGGGCCTCTGTAGCAGCTGCAGCGAGAATATCTCGAGCTGCTTCTTGGCCTCGGGCTGCCAGTTGCTGGCCAGGGCCTGGCTCACCAGGGTGCCGGTCTTGCGCGCCTCCACGGACACCATGTGACAGGGCTGGACGAGAAACAGCAGCCGGCAGACGTGAAAGAACGTCCAGAAGACCTGCATGGTGAGGACGTACCAGCTGCTGATGCTGTCGGAGAATATCTCGTTGTAGAGGAAGTAGGGCGTGATGATGAGGTGGATGAGGCAGCTGATGGTGCCTACCACGACGGCGCCGCCGTACGCCTTGTTGATGTTCTTGACGCTGTCGCAGAGGATGCCGTGGAGGCCGATCAGACGGCCGATCAGTTCGGCGGTTTTCGAGGGTGCCTCGGTGCCAATGCCGGCTCCCGGGCCAAAGTCCGAGATCTTGTTGTTGTTGTTGGCCCGGCGAAATCTGCCGATGTGGCCGATCTCGTTGGAAAAGAAGGCCATCGATTGCTCCTGCTGCTGATGACGATGGGTGAATCTTCGAAACAGCTGCTCCAGGGCCATGTTGCTCTTGGTGAGATTCGCCACGGACTTGTTGAGCTTGAGGAAGCGCTCGCCGACGTTGAAGAGTACGAGGGCGTACTGCACCTCGAACACCGTGACGACGATGTACATGAAGTAGATGGGCGCGTAATTGATCGGGCCCTTGTCGCCGAAGTGGGCGTTGTTCTTGCCGGCCGAGGAGGCGCGCCAGGACACGAAGTCGAGGCTGGAGATGACGACGATGTAGACGAGCGAGGCGACGATCACGATTATCGAGACTCTGCGCAGACGCTCGGACGTAGGGACGTCGAGAAGTTTGTCGTCAACCTGACGTAGTTAATGATATATATGGACTATATCGCATCAACTGTCCCCCCCCCCCCTTGGATCAGAGTTGTAATTTGATTTTTCATATTTTATTCTGCTTTCCAAGAGTGAATATGAAAAAATGATTGAAACATGATATTTTATGTAAAATTTGATGAGGTATTCAAATTTGATGTCAAAAATCATATTCGTAAAGTCCAAGTACCTTAATTTCTAAATTTCAGCTTAAATGGCAAAAATAAACATGTTCATATCCAGCGATATGACCAATATTGTAATATGTTCATCGATACACCAAAATACAACTTCGGATAAATTTTGGTAGTTGGAAGACAAACAGAATTCATTATTGAACATGATATGAGTCAAGAATAGAGGAAATCTAGAGAAAAACCAAGTTTTTTGACACGTATGAAGGTCAATAATGAATTCTGTTTGTCTGCCAACTACCAAAATTTATCCGAAGTTGTATTTTGGTGTATCGATGAACATATTACAATATTGGTCATATCGCTGGATACGAACATGTTTATTTTTGCCATTTAAGCTGAAATTTAGAAATTAAGGTACTTGGACTTTATAAATATGATTTTTGACATCAAATTTGAATTTCTCCTCAAATTTTACATAAAATATCATGTTACAATCATTTTTTCATATTCACTCTTGGAAAGCAGAATAAAATATGAAAAATCAAAACAAAAAGAGGGGGGGGGGACAGTTGACGCGATTTTGCCCATATAAACTGTTGTATTATCGATCGAAATGTATGCTATAATAAAAAGTCCTTAAAATTTGTGGCTAACACAGAAAATCCTCGAGGACGAAAAATTGTGCTCAACGAAACCGTTCGAAACTTTTCTCTGAGTCTTTGTTCGTCTTCAACATAGTGAATGTATAATATAAACAAAAAGCTTTCAGAGCTTGCAGGATCCATGTCGATCGAAAAATGCTGAAAAGTGACTTATAAAATTGACATCAACTTGAGAAGTTCAATATTGCATGAGCTTTGAAATTAATAATTTGCTTCATTTTCCGGCAAAAATTTATTTATCTTTTGGACATTGTTTTTACATAATAAAAGAACACTGGAGAAACTCATAATATTATTATTAATGAAAACGTTTTAATAAGTTTACTGAAATTGCGGATTAAATTTGAGGAGTAGTAATACGTGAGTGATGCATGCTATTGATGTGCTTTCTGAGATTAACTCTAAATGAGAATTTCTTTCCGCACGTATCGCATGCATGTGTGACACCATTATGCATCGATTCTACGTGAACTTTGAGATATTGCTTTCTTGTGAATTTCTTTCTACACGTATCACATTTAGGTGTGATATCATTGTGCGCGACATCGATGTGTTTCTTGAGATAATACATTACTGAGAATTTCTTTCCGCATTTGTCGCATTTATGTTTCTTATCATTGTGCACTGCATTAATGTGCATATTGAGATGTCCTTTTTGTGTGAATGTCTTTCCGCATAAATTACATGCATGAGTGACTTTATTATGCATCGAATCGACGTGGACTTGCAGACTCTGACTGTGAATGAATGTCCTTCCGCACATTTCACACGTAGGTGCAAGGGCGGATTTACAATTTTGGCGCTGTAGGCTAGGAGAGAGAAGCCGCCCCTAAAAAATCCGAATTCACACAAAAAGATTCACCAAAAAAACACTATTTTGAATCGCGAAAAAATACTTTGATTGAAATTTTTTTTATGAAAGAGACTTAAACTATGGCCAATAATACCTAAAATTGCGGATTAAGAACCTAAAGTTTAAAGTACTGTAGGTGGAATTTGAATATTCAATAAAATTTTTTTCTAAAGTAGATCGTTTACAAGCAAAAAAATACATTTTTTGGAACATTTTTTGGTAAATTTTTTGGAAAAATGTATTTTTTTGTGCCTACCATCTTGATTCTTCAAATCCCACCTACGGAACTTCAAACTTTAGGTTCTTATTCCACAGTTTTGGATGTTACATGTCACAGTTTAAGTTTTTTTAGTAAAAAAAATTTCAGTTATAGTTTTTTCAAAATCGTTTTTTTCGCAGTAAATTGTTCATAACTTTTTTAATTTTCATCCGAGGTTAATTATAAACTCATATTTAAAAAGTACATTCAATTTTACATAGAAAATGGGTACTCGAGAATTTTGCTCGCTCCAATAGATGATTTAATTGTAAATTACATAAGAAAAGAAAATTCTGTCCGTTTGGGCGTTAACGGGTTAAAAAATTTGCCCAACTTTGGGGTTTTTGACATGACATTTTCATGTTTACTTTCTTTCTCTTCAGCTTGCCGCCCCTCAAAATTTGCCGCCCTAGGCTATAGCCTACTTAGCCTATACCTAAATATGCCTCTGCGTAGGTGTGACACCATTATGCATTGATTCTATGTGGCATTTGAGGTATTTCGCAGTCGTGAATGTCTTTTTGCATTTACTGCATTTATGCTTTATACCCTTATGCGTCGTATCGATGTGAGTACGGAGACTGGTCTTGTGCTTGAATGTCTTTCGGCACGTATCGCATGCATGTGTGACACCATTATGCATCGATTCTATGTGAACTTTGAGATTATGCGTAGTTGTGAATTTTTTTCCGCACTTGTCACATTTATGTTTGATACCAGTATGCACTACATCGATGTGGTTTGTGAGCTTTCTCTTTGTTGAAAATGTTTTTTCGCGCCTATCACAAGGATGATTATGATTCAAATTTTTCATAACTACTCTTCTTTTCTTGGGCTCGCTGATTCTGCAGTTGGAATTCATATTTAACTGATTTACGTCGTTCACTAGTGATTCTTTTTTTACTGCATCCAAAGCTTCTGATTTAATTATGTTTTGAGTTAGATATTCGTTACCATTTTCAATAGCCGCCAAGTGATCTTCAGAACAATTTTCAATTTTCATAACTGTTAATGGACGAATGCTGGGCTTGACGTCTTCACATTCAACAATTATTTCCACTTCGTCGTCGAGTTCACTTCCAAGATTTTCTTCGCATTTTTTAATTGTTTGAATCTGTTGAAAAATCAGTACTATTATATTTTATTTCCATGAAAAGGAAAATAACTACCAGTTTCTTAGAATTATCAACACTTACCGAATTATCTGGTGGGAATGGTAAGAGTGGGAAGTTTTTGAGATCAGGCGACTCATCACTAGGCTCCTCTTTCACTCTGAAATAACCTCAATTAGATCAAGTTTATTGTTATGATTTTTTTTACAATTTCATTTTCATGAAATGAAGATTACCTGATGGCACAATTATTAAACTTATCACTGGGCTCCATCTTTCTCTCTAGGAACCACGTTAAATAAAGTAATCTTCTCGCGATGATTTCACGAATATCAAACTAACTGAACACAAAATAAATGACGAAGATCGACGTGCTCTTCGTTCGCTATATCTCGGAAAACTGTGTCTATGTGAAGAGGTCCAGATTATGCTCGATCAGCTCCATGCACAGTTCTCGGTCTAGTACAACACTATGGCATGCTCAGCAAAACACATACACGGTAAACAATGGAATGATCACAGGTCTGCACTCTTCAAAATATTTTATGATAATTTCTCGCAAGTTCGATAATTTTATCAAATGATTTGTAATTAAATTTGTATATTAACAGCTTAACATTCGTCAGCAATCATACTATTTTAAGATCATTTTTTCAAAGCTCATGATCATTTTTCTTGATTTATTGGATGTCCAAAGGCCAAAGCTACAAAAGAGAGTCAGAGAAAATTGTTTCGAATGGTTTCGTTCCAATACGTTAAACTCGGGATGAGCGGTGATACGTACGAAAAAACGCGAACAAAATACCCATAGAAATTTTCATTGTTCCCGCATTTTCCTATCTCCCAAGGGATCTCAACGAATACGTATACAGCTTGATCAGCCTCGAACTTCAAAGGATTTTTTTTTGCATAGAATCAAATTTGGATTGAATTACGTCGACGATCTTGTTGAGGGCGTCCTGGAGATGATGCCAGCGATAGCCGGAGCCGAGTATGGCGACGAAGGCCGCCGAGATGACGGCGAAGACGTCGCTGCAGGTGACGGTGATGGCCGTCTCCGAGGACAGCCGGGTGCTGTTCTCCCAGCCGTTGCGCAGGTCCCGATACAGGCCGTAGCACTGGGCACCCGCCAACGCCGCGACCAGGACGATTCTGCGAAAGCGCGACACAATTATATAATTATGCCGAGCGAAGCGAAGTCATTTCTGCATGAACTCCCGTGATTTTGCAAGGGTTTTTTGTAGACGCGGTACCATGAGTACTGCTGGATCGATCTTTTTGAAAATTTAGGAATTTGATAAAGGATGCTAGACAAAGATCTGATGACGTTCATAATCTCGATTGCTCAACCCTTTATGCACTTTCATGCATTTTAAATGCATTTTTTAAATATGATTCTTGTCGCAAAAAAATGCACTTTTATGCAGTTTCAATGAATTTTTTTTTCACAATTGCAAGAATTCTGTCAAATGTGACTGGAATTCTTTTATGATCCATTTGGTAGATAAAACATAATTTTCATCGTATTATTTTTTTATGTTTTGCATTAAAATGCAATTTTATGTAATTCGTATGAATTTTTTATTATTATTTATTATCATTTTTTTATTAATTTTAATCGGTGTTACTTGTGTATCGGTAAGTGCGTTTGTTTATAATTATATCGTATTTTAGTTAACATTGTACTGATGACAATTATATTATAAATCGTGTTTCGAGTAACATTACTGAACAAAAAATGATTGTGTTAGCTTAAAATAATATCGTGTTTCAGTTAACGTTGTACTAATGATAATTATACAAGTGGCAACTCGAGTTGTAGAATGCTGAGCAATTCCAATAAACTAAACATTCGTGATGATCACGATATAATATCATCACTGATGATACAAAATCATTAAATTTTTACAATAACTTTACAAAAACCCATATTTAATAATTTTCTGGCGCTGGTATGAAAGTTTATGTATTTGTCAATGGATGCAGTTATGCGCTAAAAAAAAAACCATACTGCGTCATAAAAAATGTGTTGCTTGGCTCAAGAAAAACAAAAAATCTTAAGACAGGCTAAAATTAAGCCTGACACAGTGCAATAGTTACCGCGTATCTATGTGGCAATGACTCGTCAATGGGCCATCCCAACTTCGTGTCCGCACTCCGAGGTTCTCGTGCACGAATCAAGCATAAAAGTCGAGGAGATGAAACATTTTACTTCGAAAATTACGAATATGTTGTCTTCGATCGCTGTCGGAGCACCTGGGGCTCAGGTCGGCAGTCGTCTACATCCTCTACGAGACTTTTACTTAAAAATTAACGGAAATTGTTCGTTTGCAATCGATAGATTTTTTCCGGCCTTGAGAAGTTTTTTCTTATACATAGATTCATACAAAATTTAATGTTCAATCAAAAAAGAACGTAAAAATTTGGGCGAAAAATCAACTTTGAGAATTTTTTTCAGACTGTTGCGGGGAATTTTCATCTCGAAAACCATTGAATTTATGAAAAATAGTTTATAGAACAAAAAATGTCTTAGAATTGGTTGATGAACAATCTCAAATTTTTTCAGAAATTTTGGAGCGCAATTTTCTGATTTCTGGATAATTTGTCGAGAGAAATTTCCCAGAATCACCTCAAAAAATTCTGAAAATATTTGAGAATGTTCCTTGATCAATTCTAAAAATTTTTTGTTTTTTTTTTTGTTTTTTTTTCTTGGTTTACTTTTTATTTTTACATCTAACTCGCGAGCACTGATAAATAAAAACATCAGTCACTGCAACCGAACAGACTATGCGCGGCCTAGTAGAAATTCGTACGAGTCCAAGATCGATTTACAGGTTAACGTAAACTTTGACTGTTGACACACATACACACACCCACATATGCATTTTTTGCTATATGATGATTAGAACACGTGAGAACTTCGGAGTGCGAACACAAAGTTGTGATGGCCCATTGTCGAGTCATTGCCGCAAAGATACGCGGTCACTTTTGTACTATGTCTGGCTGAATTTTAGCCTGTTTCAAGATTTTTTGTATTTCATGAGCCATACAACACGTTTTTCATGACGCAGTATGTTTATTTTTTTTCAGTGTGGTTTTGTGGCAAAAAAAGGGATCATGGCACAAACCGAAGGTGAATCACAGTTCTTGAAAATTTTAAATAATTAAAAATGCAAATCCAAGTAACCCTAAGTAACCCAATCGAACCCACTCATGTGTTTATTAAATAATTATGCAAGCAAACCAAGTAGCCTTAGTAATCCAGCTTATGTCATTTTTAAGAAATCAATGTCGCAAATAAAAGTAACCCCAAGTTACAGAATCAACTCCACACCAAATTTCACCGCACGCCAGTGTCCAAAAACGCTTAATGCGCACTAAAAAGTGTGCGCAAACCGACACTTTTCGCCTTTTATTACATAAAAATTTGCGCTCAGCATACTGCAACCAGAGTTGCCGCTAGTTATATTACGACCCGACCTGATTATTATTTATTACCCCCCGACTCACCCGTAAACCACCTCGGCCACGTCGAGGCGACCCTCGTACTTGCCGGCCTTGTTGACCTTGAACTTGACGGGCAGCAGTCCGCAGATCTTGCTCAGGTGGTAGACGGGCGCCAGCGTGTGGAACACGTCGGACTTGTTGCCGCCGTCGCCGCCACTGCCCGTGTCGGGGCCCTTTTTACGATCGTCGCTCGTCAATTTCTTGGGTCCAAGGGGTTGCTGCTGTAGCTGTAGCTGCTGCTGCTTTTGCTGATCGGCTGCCCCAACGCCGATCGGCTTCACTGAAACATCCGATCGTATTGCGGTTTTTTTTTTTACGAATTTTTAGGAGCCGTATATATTATTACTCGACTCACGATCTTTGGGACTGATGGACCAAGCATCCATATCGTCCGATTTGCGAGTACTCGTTGTTCGTCGTGGGATCGCGTGCTGCCGAATGCGTACAATCGTCGCTATTCGATCGAACAGCAGTAAAGCGACGAGCCGTCATTACGCCTATCTTGACTAAACATCGCCACTACTACCCCGTCCACGCAAGTGCAAAGTACATATTTGATTGGGGCAGCGATTTTTCTCGCGTGCGCAGTTACGATCCTCTGTAATCCTGAACAAATATTATACACACACCCCCGCCTGCCCAGTGCACTGCACACACACATACACACACACAACCTGGAATTAAATCGCAATTTTCATACGATATGAATTCGACCCGCGAGTCGTTGTTATTGTAGCTGGCGTCGAACGGGTGGCGCGAATTATTCATGATATTTGCCTGAAGCTCTGAAAAGGCGTGAGGCTTTTTTTTCTATATATATGGGCTGTATCGAGTCAACCGTGATGGTAAAAAGAAAAGGAAATTCGAAGCAAAGTATGTACTGGGAGATTAAATTAAAAAATGAGAATCCTGAAATTTTTAGCCCTGTAGGTCCTTCCCTCGTGGATCTACAGCGGCTCATAGTTTGAATTTGAATTTTCAAATTTTATTCTGCTTTCCAAAGGTGAAGATCAAAAAATTGTTGAAACATCATTTTTTATGTGCAATTTGTTAAGGAAATCAAATTTTTTATATGAAATTATATTCATAACTTCAAAATTCATTAAAGATCCAAAGTAAAAGTCAAAAAATGAATTTGTTCGTCTCCATTGATGGGACTGAAATTGAAATATGTTCGTGAAATATCTAAATACAACTTCTGATCAAGCTCAATAGAAATTTTTTTTCAGTTTTTCACTAGTGCATTTCTTTCAATACTAATGTGAAGTTCATCAAGAACCCTGTATTCAACTAAAAGTTTGCTCCTTTCAATACGTTAAAACAACATTCAGCTGACTTTCAATCGTTGCACGAATTTTTGCAAGAACCGAGTAGCAAAAAAATTACCGAGGAGAAGTATAAATTAACAGTTCACGAAATTTTATTTAGTAAACTAAACACCACCACAATAGTGAACAAAGCCGTAATGACAGTTGGTAGCTTTAATTTCAGATAACACACAATCATTTCGGTACAATTTTTATTGAAATCTTAGAAAAACGTCTATACAAGTATGAATATATATTTACAATTTAATAACTTTTTCTCGTACTTGTCTCAAGTTTGTTCCTTGCGTCCTTCATGGATGGCTTGTTGGTGGTAGAACAAATGTGCTTTTCGTTCGAAACAATTTCCTCTGGTTTCTTCTCAATTTTATCCATTTTGGTGCCTAAATTAAACGACGAATCAGTCTCTTTAAACTGAACGAGTAAAATTTATCTTTTGGTATTATTTCATCGGGAAAGACAACATTTAAACTAATTTATTTTCATTATAAACATGATCAGTGCGCCAAGGGGGCTACGTCAAAATCGTTCATGATCGTATTGTGTACAAACAAGCTACCGATTTATCTGTTTTTATATCGTTCTTATTGAATGTGAAAAAATTAAAAATTATGATTTGGCGACAATTCAACCTCCTAAAACTAAGTACTTACTGAAAATATTTAAACATTTTAGTTATGAACAATCATTAAATTTTCATTGAAAATAACTTTTTAGTTCCTTAAAAATGTACGATGCGTTATTAAAAGTGTATGAAATGCGACAGTAAAATTAATCTGCATAGCAAAGAGTAGTAAATAAGAACAAAAAAGTCACGTTATTTATATTAAATTGTTGATTTTTCAAAATAATTATCTATTATTAATATGCGATGAATTTTCAAAAAGTTTATTAAACTTTACATCAGAAAACACGTTTTTATACTTGTTTCGATCTTAAAAATTGTAAAATCACGTACGAAATGTACAAAAATGTACAATGTTACAAAAAATTCAAATTCAAACAAATTATGTTCTTATGAAGAGTTCATTGGCTGAAAAATTTAGGATTTTCATTTTTCAAAGAAATAATATCCAAAAATGCGCTTTTCAGGTAGTGAGCAAATAAATAATAAAAAAAAAACAAGAAACATCTTTGACCTTAATTTGCTATGATTTTTCCCGTGAAATCAAATAGCTTTATTGACTTTATTTAAAGAAAAACATTGAAAAATTCGTCTGAACCAACTTAAGGTGGCTAGTCAGTAAAATGGGTCGACAACAGATGTCTATGAAACTTTGCAGAAATGTCATTTAAAGTGTCCTTCATATGCTGTAGACATTTCAGCCTGGGTTATCGAACTAATTTTTGAGAACGAAGCCGTTGAAAATAGCAAATTTAACATGGGCTATTATGGGAGTCCACCATAATTTCATACATTTTACGCCATAACTTTTTTATTCGGCGACAGATCTTAACCAAAAACGAATATGTTATGCTTCAAGTCACTATACCTTTCGATCGGTATGTTAAAAATCACCCCTTATCGAACTAACCAATGAGTAATTAAACAAAAATGTGCGTAAAATCATTGATTTCGAATAGTGCGAGCGGTTGCCTGCCTAATGCGAGAAAGAGACAGACATACGCCTCGCTGCACTATTGCTATGATTATTGAATAGCCACCTTAATGCGCGCGATAGCATTTCATTTCGAAATTCGAATCATCAAGTATCGAAGAGCATTTTGAGTTTCTGGCTTTTCCGTCCTCTCGCAGCTGCGCAACTGCAGATTAACTTTTACTTTTTTTTCTTTTCTTTTCCTTTCTCTTCATGGATGCTAGTTCTAGTGAATTCGTTTGTACACGTTCGAACACGTCGCCACACAAGCATAGTGCATACACAGCAAGATTTAAAAGTGTTAGTAAAAAAAAGTATAATTAATACAAAATATTTAAAATTGTAAACAATTGTGTGAACTGTACGTGAGTACGTAAAAATGACGTTCATCTCGGAACAAGACTCCAGCAAAATTATTCAAAATGAAAATAAAGAATCCGACAAGCATGATTTCGAGCAAGCGGATACCATCGTCAATCAAGAAAAAGTCGAAATTTCAAAGGATCTATTACCTTCAGAACGACGAAAACTAGAGGTTATTATATAATTTTTTATAATTGTTTATATTATATAGTATATTACTGCCCTAGGCCGCGAAAAACAGAAAAGTCCCAGCGCCGAAGCGAAGCCGAGGCCGATAAACACGTGCTCTGGGGCTTTCTTTTTTCGCGGTTTAGGCCTGTATAACTATTTTTCATACACAGTGGCCCGAAAATGGCTCCTTCCGCTTTGCGCAGCGGCAGGGAAGTAGTCAATTTTGGGCCGTTGGTACGAAAAATATTGATAGAAGAGGTGTTACACGTAGTAAATTTACTCTCGAAATGTATTAAAAAGAATTTTTTCATTCATTTTTGCACGTTTTTAGCAATGAAAAATGTACTCGAAGAAGTGGTACAAAAAAAGAGGAATGTGCGCCGTTGACGAAATCTCGGGAACTAATGAACCGATCCTTACGAAATATTTACCAGACATTCTTCACGACTATAGCTATTGTATGGATTGAGCGATTTTCGATTTTTGCAAAATTGACAAAATGGCGGATATTTTTCCAAAAACAACAAAAAAACGCGCGTTTATTCACGAATTTCTAGCAAATAAAAATACTTAAAATCAAAATTTTGAAAAAGCCTCAATTCATGCAATAGCTATAGTCGTACTATCCGTACGGATGAATAGCGTAGAATGTTCTGGTAAAAATTTCGTTCATTATCTTCCGAGATTTCGTCAACGTGCCGTTGAAAAACCTTGTTTAGAGAAAAACGCGATTCAAGTTTTTTTTAGCATTTGTGCGCGCTTAAATGAAAAAGTAAAATTCGACTAAAAATACAGTTAGATTCAATCATCAATCTTCAATCTTTATGAATTTTTAATAAGATACTTTTGTATATATAAATAGGCTATTCCACAACAGGTGTTGCAGACCCAAAAATGAAGTTGAAACTAACTATTTACTCTTCAAGAACACAATGAAAAATGAAAATCCTGAAGAGCACAGCCCCCTAGATCCAACCCTCATGGATCTACAGGGGCTCAAAGTTGGATTTTCATGTCTTGAGGATATTCTGCTTGTTACTCTGCTTTTCTAGGGTGCATATGAAAAAATTTCTAAACCATGCTTTTTCATATAAAAGTTGGTGTAGAATTCAAATCTGTACTCAAAAATGACATTCATAACTTCAAAACCCCTTAAAATTGAAAAAATAGTGTAAAAGACCATGAAAGTAAAAAAATAAACATGTTCGTATACCTCAAATTGGCAAATATTGTATGTTCATCGATACACCCTAATACAACTTTTGATAGAGTTTTGTAACTGAGTCATCATTATAGACATTTTGGCTCTTCACAAGCTACCAAATTGTCTATAATGGTGACTCAGTTACCAAACTTTATCAGAAGTTTTATTTTGACGTACCGATGAACATATTACAATATTGGCTAATTTGAGGTATACGAACATGTTTATTTTTTTACTTTCATGATCTTTTACACTATTTTTTTAATTTTAAGGGGTTTTGAGGTTATGAATGTCATTTTTGAGTACAGATTTGAATTTTACATCAAATTTTATATGAAAAAACATGGCTTAAAAATTTTTTCACAAGCACCCCAAAAAAACAGAGTAACAAGCAGAATATCCTCAAAACATGAAAATCCAACTTTGAGCCCCTGTAGATCCATGAGGGTTGGACCTAGGGGGCTGTGGTGTTCAGGATTTTCATTTTTCATTGTATTCTTGAAGAGTAAATGATTCGTTTCAACTTCATTTTTTTGGCCTACAATACCTGTTGTGAAATAGCCCATATACTTTTCAAAAATGTAATAAAAAAAAATCGTTTTTTTGAAAATTCTTCAGGTAGCAAATCCCTTGAAGAGCTTACGGCAAAACGTCGTTGATTGGTCGATCGAAGAGCATCTATGGGCATTCATCCATCAACTTGATCTCTTGATCAGGAATTGGAAGGGCGATTATCCGAATCTCCGGGAAATCTTTCAGCCCGAAGAAATCGATCTTCTCCTCTCGGCAGCCTTGATGTTCGTCGAGGGCTTGGCGCGCTCGAGGAAAAACAAAGGAGCAGCCATCATCA